TTATTTAAACACCATAAATATTGATACAAGGGGGCACCAGATATATATGTGCAACACAAATCTCATTTGGTTTGTGTGAGGGCTGTGGTACTGCTCAGGTGCCCCAACTGAAACGGGTGGTTTTCTTAGGGGGGCCATACCCCGAGCCTTTGACCTAAAGGTCTGATCCACAAGGCAGTGGAGCATGGTGAGGAGATGCAGTCCCATGGTAGCTGGTGACCAACGATTGATTCATACGCCATTTATTTCCTCAGGATACTAGAGCCCATGTGCGCCATTGGTTTGGAATCAGGGTTTTCCAACTCTCCTAGATGAACTTTCCGTATCCATGAACTCGGTTAAAGCACCGGACATTCGCTTTTCATCCTCTCAATTTCGTAAACAACAGTAATGCCGAGAGAAGACAGTCAGTAAGACTTCCCTGGTAGAGGCTATATACGCGTGTCCATGTGAGAGGATATCGAGAGGGAGAGTAGACTCTCCCCATTCTCGACCGTACCAGGGCATTTGGAAGTAGTTTGTTGCACTATATGACGAAATGAATAAAGTTGAAATATTCAAATGTAAACATGTTTACCATGTAACGGAAATATTCTTATGACGAGGGAGGCACGTTATTGAAGAGATGATAAAAGCTTAGTAATTGATATATAAAAACTCTCGTCTAAATTAGAGCGAATAGTTTCACAGTATTTGAGCGCCGAATTTATGTAAGACATTAAATAAGAATAATATATATTTGTAAAATCTCAGTAAAATCTTAGTAATTGATATTTTTTATTTTCACTTTTGAAATCACTCGAAAATGTAATAAAAGTTGATTCTTTGTAATGAAGTGAATATCATTTATTATAAATGCTGTCAATAGAATACAAGATTCGGAAATTTTAATGAAAATAAATGTATTTCATGGATACTTGTTTAAACAATTTAACCTTTATTAATTTTGTGTTTTTACGAGGGGAGAATAACAATCTGTAACATTGTTTTGTTGTTTTCAAACACTTCGTCAACCACTTTTAAGTTTTTATTATCAATTGTTAGTTAGTCTACATCTGTTTGTCTATCACTTTATTTCATTTACTGTATTATCCCATCTACACACATATTCATTCATCTGTGTACATCTAAACGTTATGGTATATTATAAATAAAGATACATACATGCAGTTATAGAGACTAGTTTTGTGTATAGTTTTAGTAAATCAATGATTTAAAAGCTCAATGTCTTGAATGAAAACGAAGTTGTATAAGTCCGGGTCTCTGAAATTATTATGTACATACGTATTTACAAATATAACTTCGTATGTGTGTGTGTGTGTGAAACAGAAAGAAGGTTTAAAATAATTGTAAATTTTAATGAATACTTCATTTATGATAATGTAAGAAAAATATGATTATTTCAATTCATTGGTCTTATGGTTGTACAAATTGTATATTATAAAAAAGCTATGGTCTGTCTAGTTACAAGACACCGTAGATTAATATAATTTCATCACAGATTGTTTATTCTTAATAAGTTGAATAAATAAAACTTCTGGTAAGAAAATTGTTGTTATTCATCCAATTATGAGGATATCGACTCAGGTTCGCTTATCACAAATTTATTCATTCAGTTAACGTGACGCATGAAAAAAGGGGAAATTGAAAATTTCAGTGAACATAATCCAATGTCTACCATTTAAAAAAAAGAAAGATTAAGATATAGGAATGGATATATTTCAATGGCTATCAGTAAATAGTACTGGTAATCAATGTTATTTTAATTTGTGCAGTTACCAGTGTCTTTTGTTTTATATTGTGAATACGGTTGCAAAAAGCTGATAAGAGAATGTATGAAATAAAATGAATACATATTACTTTACAACAACTGTTGCTGTTGCTCTATTTTTAATACTTACTGAATTTCAATTTTGCCCTGATAATATGAATGAGATCTATCCATCAGTCGGCATTTCAGCTTATTCAACTATTCAGTAGAGTATACAAGCAAGTGGCTATTAGGGCTCAATAGCTGAATGGATAACGCGATGGCGTTTGAAGAGAAAGGTATTAGGTTCAAGTATCAGAGTGAACATCAACTCTAAGATACAGGTACATCAAGCCGACGAGTCCCAAACAGGACGAAACGCGTGTCCTAGATTCCACTGCTAGCCACTATCTATCTTTGCTTACAATGCTTGTGAATTAAGGCTATATGGAGTCAATACGCACAGTATGCACATATACTAATAAGAGACTGACCTGTTGCAGTCCTAAACATCAATGAGAAGATTCCAACAAACAATACTAAGTGAATTTATACATATGTTCGTTCCAACCTATCAGATAAGGTATAGAAAAAAAGATCTAATATTAATTACGTTATCTATATTAGTGCTTCATGACAAAATGATATTTGTACAAGAATGATGTTTAAAGCAAATAACACCTAACACTAGAAATGATTAATTTAATGTATATTTGAAGTAGGCACTAATGATTTTCATTAGAATAAGATGCACACTTCCCAATTAAACCGTCCGGTGCAGAGAACACAAAGCTGTTACAATAATAAAATAAAAAATTCACTAGTCTGCACAATTTGTTATAATACTCATTATTTATTTAGGGTAAAAAAAACTCAACATATCCTTTCTATTTTTAATATACGGGGTCACTTTTCCGGAAGTAAATAATCTTCATTAAAAGTCTCTCATGTTTATTCCTTTATGTAGTCAATTATATATATCATCAAGGGTACATAACGATAATTCATTCTTTTTTTCTCTTGCTACTTTGTCTACGCTTCTCTTTATTATACTGTCTATACTCTACTAACTTTTTCATATGTTTTTCTCATATATTAATAGCTAGTATAAATTTTTGCTTAGTTGTAAAACTTTTACACGAAGCGCCTTTTGTTCATTTCGTTGCTGTACATAAAAGTTAATTATTTATACTTACAAATATTCTACAAATGTGCGTATGTGTGTACAACGTACTCTTATGCATGCGTATGTACATATATTATTGTATGTCTGCTTATCAATCTTGTAAGAAATGTATGCCAAAATCTTTGAGAGATTGAGAAATACATTTAAAAAAATAATAATTTACTTAACGGTTACAATGAATAAGTTCTACACTTCATGTTACTTGGCTTTTTTGTATTTATCATCAGAGGTGCTCAGTCTTTGTTAGAAATGTTTTTTTAAACCTCTCCTAATATATACGTATATATAGTAAGTAATAGGTTCATAATCAAACTAATTCATCAGTAAAAATGTGTATCAATGGTTGTTGGTTTCACCTAATAACAAAATTTCCAAGAGGTGCAACCTACACATTTATAATTCTTACTGTCTTGGTGACTTAAAGTTCGAAGAATGATGTTATTCGACAATAATTTAAGTGTAACGTGATTAAATGTTTTGTTTATTAATCAGTAGCTATTAAAACACTAAATTTCAGTTTGTTGCAGTTGAAATCCCTTTCAATTTAAACGTGAATGAAAATACTTATCGTCCATTCAGTAGTGACCAGCGGAATCATGTCTAGTTGAAATTGACCCAGGTATCTCACAAATGATATTAAATGAACAAAGTAATAATGCAGGGCTTACTGAATGTGTAGTGAGCGAACGCTCGGGTGGGGAAGGCCAATTTATTACTATAGGGTACTTTCATAAAGTGTGAAAATCATACATTAACTACATAATTTGCACATCTTTGAATTGTCTCATACAAGCTTCATTGTTCCTTCATTCATTGGTTACCACTCAGTTATCAGTCATTTCAAGTGATTAGTGTACACATTGCTGAGTAGTACAATACTAGAATTATAAATATCTATTCAGGGTTCTTAGTTATTTTTGATGACTTCTTTTATTTAGTATCAGTTCATGATATGAGAATGGAAACTTAAAAGCATTTTCATTTCATCATAAAAGCAGTGCAGTATTGAAAATCGATTTGTACATGATGTTATTTTATCGATTGTTTTTATGGTTAAACTAATTACACTATCAGAAGCTGGTAGATACTACTGATAATTTATTATGATTGTTAGTGTTTCACAAGTTGAAATACATTGTAATTCTGTAATGATATGACTAGTAAACGGTCACTTCAAATATAAGAATACTTGTCAACATTATTTAGGCAAACGATTGGTGTGTAGCTTTTCTTTTATTCTTCATCTTTTTTTCTCAACTTCCTAATATCTTTAGTCATGTAAATTTAAAATCTTTAAAGTATGATTGAACTGGTGATTATTTCTATTGGATTTTTATTGAAACACCCAAATAATGTGTCATCTCTTGATGAAAAATTAACTTAAAATTTATATTTGTTGAAATCATAGTCACACTAATAGTCAAGTTCTGTTATAAGTACGAGGAGAGTTATTATTTCCTGGTTGCCCACACTATGGAATAATACTTTTTTGTGGTGTTTGGAAAGGAAACTGGATTAAGAGTGGACTTGATAACTTGGGATTGGGACTACAATGCCCGAGAGACCGTTTCTTGAAGACGGTCACTTGGTCTTACTTTGAGTACTTACAGATGAAGTAGCTTCTCAGACTCTAACTTCAGCTATAGGTGCAAGGTAGGGCAAGCTGTGGTACTTTTAGTCCCGACCTTTTCTAACCATTTTTATTCGTTGTAAGGGGTCGTCATCTCTGAAGATTCAGGTCGTCGGAAGCAAACACCTTATTATTGTTAAATCCATGTACAGTCGGTATTACAAAAGCTTCCTCAGATTATAAGTTTACTGCATTTGGTCATTCCATTCCCCAACTAACTTATTCGACATGACGGGACCTTAAATAATGAGTGTTCCAACTAGTACAACTCAGTTAAGTCAACACGATATCCAAGTTCGACCACCACATCAAGGTAACAGCTGCAGTCGAGAATCATAGTAAGAATTTTTGGGTGTATTTAAGCTATGCGAGTTCGTGAATCATATGTAATCATTTATGCTTTTAATTTTATTGTAATTATTTTTTTGTTTCAGCATTTACATGAATTCGTCGCATATCCCGAATTATTAACACTGCCCATAGATCAACTGAGTACGTGTATTTTAAAAGGTTTATCGATGGTACACTCATTGGTACAATATACTCTGTCAGTACCAAAAGAATTGTACATATTACAAAAGAATCACTTAACAGCACATGGAACTGTGAATAACACTAACGACAATGATAATGAGAATGGTAATAAAGTCCCAAAATCCGATGAAAATAATGGTAAGTTTATTTTTACGTGCGTGTGTGATTACTTCGTTCATTTTTCAGTTTGATTTCATTTAGTGTGTCATATAATGATCGATTAGTATAGTTTTTATCTCTTCTCTTTAATCTATGGTTATACATTCTGCTAAATTTAGTTTTCAGAGGGGCTTTTGTGGAGAATTTAGTATTTTCACAGTTGAAATCATGAGTCAATTGAAGCTAGACCACCATCGAAAACCTGGAAACACTGGACGGCCGTTTCGTCCTATTATGGGACTCCTCAGCAGTGCGCACCCACGATCCCGCACCCGCGAGATTCCAATCCAGGACCTACCAGTCTCGAGCTGAAGCCCTTAACCGATAGACCACTGAGCCGGCATCTAATGGTGTTAATGTCTAACTTCAACCAATCCACGATTTTGAGCAACCGTCCACCTATTGTCTTCAGTGGGCTGATAACTCGATGGTGTTCTATCTTCAATTGACTCATGATTTCAACTGTGAAAATACTAAATTCTCCACAAAACCCCCTCTGATCTATAATCGTATGCTCACTAGTGACTGACTTCAAGAGATATTTCCTTGAGTTCTAGTGGGAAGCAGTGACCAGTGGAGTTCTACCAGGTCTGTTGTAGAGTTATCAGCTCACTGAAGACAATTGGTGGACGGTCGCTCAAAATCATGGATTGGTTGAATTTAGACATTAACACCACTGGATGCCTGCTCAGTGGTCTATCGGTTAGGGGCTTCAGCTCGAGACTGGTAGGTCCTGGGTTGGAATCTCGCGGGTGCGGGATCGTGGGTGCGCACTGCTGAGGAGTCCCATAATAGGACGAAACGGCCGTCCAGTGTTTCCAGGTTTTCGATGGTGGTCTAGCTTCAATTGACTCATGATTTCAACTGTGAAAATTTAGTTGTATTAGTATTTTCGCGGTTGTTAAATAATATTAAATAATAATAATAATAATAATAATAATAATAATAATAAAGTAAAAACAGCTTCGTTCACTTCGGTAAACCTAATCACAGTAAGTAATTCTCTGCATCCATTGTACAGTATTAAATCAACTTTCTATTTTACATACATCTAAATTGGAATTATTCAGAAATTATATTCCACATATTATCTTTCCAATAGTCACTATCTTCCAGTCGCAAGCGTAAACTATTAATTCAGATGCTACAGGTGAGACTATAATTTATGGACAAGCCAATCATGTTTAGTACAACGTGTCTCGGATTTTGGCGCGAAATTCATTCACCCATTTGTCTAAATAACGTTTTGGCACTTTAGCTGAGGTCAGTTCGTGATGAAAACTATAAATCTAATTCCTGATCCTAACCATAAATTGTAAATCATAATCCCTATTCTTCACATTGTTTTATAACCATTTAGCTATTGTAGGTAGGTGAACATTCTCAAGGTTACTTCAGCACCGCTCAAAGGTCGTCCATAAATTATAGTCTCACCTTATTTCCATCTCATCCGTTAGATACTGAATGTATGATTTCCAGTATATTGGTCTCTCGTTTTCTTTTTCAAATGGTAGCTTAAACATTTTGAGCACTTCACAGTGATCCTTTGTAATACAATTGAATAATTTTCATGACATTTTGTACTGTTATTCATATTGCTTGAAAGTATAATGTGAAAGTTTTAACATTAAACTATTTAGCTGTGAAAAATGCAACAGGGTCAGATTAGTCAACATTTTGTAAAACTAACTAAATAGATTTAAAGTAACTATCAACCCAGCAATATGATAAATAGTTTAAACATTTCTGTGTGAATCTCATCTATAAAGTAAAAATTATTAGACAGAAAATGTATGATTGTCCTAATGTATTTAGTTCCATCACAAATATTTTAAATTAGTGAATTTGTCATAATTGAAATAGTAACAAGATTCAGTGAGGTAAGATGAGAAGGCATGAATCTGCTAGCCAAACGACATCAGGGCAATAAAAATGTTTCAATACATTTGTTGAATTAATGTGTGTTTGTGTGTGCACATTCACCGGTAGAAGCATTTTTTTGCGAACATCAACCATTTGTAAATAGTATATTTCTTAAATCAATGTTTATGAATAACAAATCAAAAATGATTGAGATATTGAACTGATCAATGTTAGACCACCACTGAAAACCTGGAAGCACTGGACGACTGTTTCACCCTAGTATGGGACTCATCAGCAAGGCACATCCACAGTCCCCACGCGGGACTCTAACCCAGGACCTTAGGTTATGTTCTGACACTTAATCTCTAGACCACTATGCCGGCATCCGACCGTGTTTGTCTAAATTCAACTAATTCACGATATTACGCAACCATTTTCTATTGTTTTCGGTGGTTAACTGTCTCACTCGACACGGTTGAACTCTACTGGTCACGGCTTCGAGAATGGCCTCTTGAAGCTATTCGCTAATATACACATGATATAATCAGTATAGGGTTGTAGAGATTAATTTTTTTGAACTGAACCGATCATGATCTCAATTTAAAAAAATTCAACAATCTCTACAACTCTATACTGATACAAACGATTAAGTGAATAAGGATTGTACAGTTTTAACGTTTAATTTTGCTACTTTAGTTATCATTTTGAACTATTTGTGTACTTTCCATTCAATTTGTTGCATGTATATATGTATGTATGTATTTGTTCAACAATAAGAATCATATTAGTGTGTAAAAAAATTTATTAAGTTGTAATTCATTTGACCTAGTTTTAAATCTCCCTCTTTCACGTCATTCGAGAAACCTAATAAATATGAATAAATGCTATTAATAAGAATTTATCTTATCATTTTTAGCCTTGGGCTAAATTAGCTTAACAGTGGGTGTATAATTTCAATTTTGTCAAATTCATTCGTTTATTTTAGTCCAAATATCTATTCTATCTCTCTCTCTCTCTCTCTGTTATTCGCCTGGAAATAAATGAAGTTAGTTGAAATATAAAACCGACTACTTTTGAATTAGTCCTGGGTTCACTAGATTCACGAATTTGTAAAATTTATGTTGTTTTTGTTGCATTTTCAAAATATGACATTAAAATACATTACTAGGGACACTATTTCATAACTCCAAGGAATACCTAACTTGTCTTATTAGTCAATCGGATTATTATTTTCATAGCCCAAATCATAAACTGTTCTTAGTTAGACCATCATTAGTTTGCTGACTCATAATTATTCATTGAGTGTACTTGCAACCTCTAATACGTTGTTATCCTCAAATATGCTTGAATTCCTATCTACAATATTTTTGTAATTGCGTTGATGTAATTTGGTGTCTACGTTGAAAAGTCGATCGATAAGACTCAGTTTTGAAAATATGACAATAACCTATCAATTACTGATAAATAAGTTGTAGCACAACAATTTGATAGATTTTTACAGTTGGTTCTGTTGAATTAATGATTATACAAGAAAGGTGATAAATAGGCCTAGGATTCTGTGTAAAGCTAACCGTAATTTATTCTTTATGATTAGAGAATATTTAGCTTAAGCTTGAGAATAAGAAGCATGTTTGATATAAATTAGGCGCCTCAACAATTAATAGTTAGAAAAAATCAAGTGATTAGTTAGAGGAACACTCAATATGAATTCAATATTATGCTAGTATTTTTACGTCAGTAACAAATTTGTGATGGTAACAGTTTCTGAACAAACTAAGCGTACAACTAGCTACATTACACGTTGTCTGAGTCAGCGAGATGCATAATAATATGGTGTTAAATTTCCAAATGAGTACATAGATTTTTGATGTACAGAAGTGCTCAAGGTGTTCAGTTCATAAAAATTAAGTAGAAATCATGAATTTTATTTGTTAGCTGTTGAAGTTATATTTTCCTGAATGCGGTTTCCGCAAACATATATATATATATATATATATATATATATATATATATATATAACTATAGGCCAGGTTTGAAGTTTGTTATGCGAATACCTGAAGAGTTAATGAGATATATACTCGAAACTTTGTAGACATCTGTGTGTCAGATGAAGGAGGGAAATGAAAAAAAGTCATTTGCACATATACGGCCATTCTCGTCTGCAATTCTAAAGGCATAGTATTTCTTGTAAGAGGCTGATCTATTGAGTAGGTTTAACATTTGAACTACTATTGCAGCATATATTCCAACTCGGATTTACCACATTGTGTTTCGATCTCTAGTAGTCTACGAGTTTTATGTTATATGCAACAGGTATTCGTTTATAAATAGTATTTTTTATGAAATCGCCATTTTTGGTTTATTAAAATATATCCTACTTAAATCCATTGCCTAATTTTGGCATCAATGTCGATTTCAACTTCAACTGTCATAATCTAATGACAATAGTCTTGAAATAAAACACATTACAATTTCGACTTAGCCTACTAATAAGTAGTCTGATTATATAACAGAAAACAGTCGGACATGCCTTTTCTTCAATGAAATTTTATGTGGGTGTCAATAAAAGTAAATAATTACTAATTAATGATCATCAAATGTTATTTATATTCTATCCTTGTCACTTTATGCACTGCAGGTGATGATAAATAGCTAAGACGTTACTAATATGAAGGGTATGAATATAGGACTGTTATTTTAGATACCTGATCATTATAGTGGACGGAAAGTAACTCCAAAATAATTCTTAGCAGCTCCACATAATAAAGAAAGAAGATTGATCTCTTGTAAATGAGGTTTCGTTTTTTGAAGAAAACTCAATCTCAAAATTGTCCAAAATCTGTGCGAATACCATGTAATTAATGAATGATTTACAGCAAAAAAACAAAATACCATATTATCGGGTAATCTAACTATTAATTTATCTGTATTAGTTGTTTTTATCCCATTAATGTTTAGGACTGTGATTGATAGCGCATCACAGATTCTATTGCCATCCACCATCCATCTATGCACGTAAGCTTATTATTATTCTTTCGGTGGGGATAAGAGAAAGATGCAGAAACTTTAGTTTGCCTAGTCATGTTTAATTTTAAAAAAGAGTGATTTTTCGCGGAAATTTCTGATATTTATTTTATTTTTATCAATATACAAATTAACTAGTGGTTTCATTGAGTTTTAACGTTGGATCTACTTGTCTATCAATTTTTAGGATTTTCATAGTTTACATCAGAGATTGATCTTCATTAGACAGTTATTTCAATCCATGCGGATGTAAATATATAATGCTTTCAGTTCCATACTCGGAAGAAACAACTGTACAGTGCTAAAAACACCCAGTGCTTCTTGGTTTTTATTAATTGCCAAACCCACATCAGTCCGTAATGTGAACTGTAAAATTAAATTATTTCTATGAAACCCCCTTAAGTATACTTAAGATTATAGATGGAAACACCATATACCGTTCAAATTCAGTTTGGTTATAAAACAATATCGTCTACTTAAAAAACATCAGGTGAAATGTGAGAAAATTATAGTTGACTTATTGACAATCATTAATTTACAAGTATTGTATTGGTTAAGTATTGAGGACAGTGTATGAAATCTGGGGAAAAAATTGTTATTCGTGAATTTTTGAAAAGAACAATGGACTCGTTTGTATCTTAGCGTTTATTTCTTTTCATAGTATAGATCGATTTTTCTCATATTTTGCTTTTGAAGTGGATAGTTTATTAGGAAGATTAGTTACACTTTAACATCCAACTTTCAATATTTTTGCCTCGAATTTATTCAAATCGTAATGAGAGAAAGTTATTCATTTGCTATGAACCATAAAATTCAAGTATCGATTCCACAAATACCTCATACTAGTAATAATAATTATGTACTCATTAGTGACTAACTTGGTAGTAATTCTCTGAGATGTAAAGCCATGACCGATGGAGTTCAACTATGTCAGTTTTTAGGCATTTGCTTTCCAATCGTATTAGAAGTTGGTTGTGCAACACCCAGAATTGATCGGAGTTATACATGTACACCATTGTATGCCACTTCAGTGTACCAGAGGTTAGGCGTTCACTCGTGAGATCGAAAGTCCTGGCTTTGATTTCCGGATGGGAGGTAGTAGATACGCACTGATGAGGAGTTCCGTACCAAGAAGAAGCAACTATTCAATACTCCCTAAATTTAGTGGTCATTTAATTAAGTCCGTGATCAAAACTGTAAGATTTAATAATCTTCATAAACCCTTTATACTAACCATGTTCTTTTGACTTGATATAAAAATTTTTAAAGTATTATTTATTTTCTGTTTTTTCCAAAACTATAGAATCTACATCACCACAAGAGAATCGTTTTATAATTGTCAATCGTGGTATTTACAATCGACTGAATGCACTGATTCAAATACAAAATACAGAAAAAATGATAATAATGCCCAAACGTATTCAATGGTCATTAGGTTTGATTAATAACCGTAAAAATTCTTCATTAAATCAGAAATTTATCGATTTTAATTATTTAACAAATTCCTCATCATCACAACTAACTAATAAAACCAATCGTTCTATATATTCTCTTCATAAAGAGTTATTGACTAATAGTGATGATAAACATAATGATGAGAATATTATCCATAATTCCAACCAAAACAGAGCTGATAATCATGACAAAGTCATTAACAATAATTTCTGTAATGGTTATTTAAGAAATTGGGTTGGACTGTCGATTTCTGATCATGACGGCGATGGTAATCACAATTATGAAAATCATGGTCATGTGAACTGTTCAACAATGAATAAGACACTGAATAACACATTGTCATCATCATTGTCAACATTGTCATCTTCTGTTAATGGTTATGATAATTCCAATATTGAAGCTTATTCATCTGCTACAGAACGTTCGTCACTTATGATGAAACCAAATGATCATTCAAACTCGATTAATAATGATAATAATAATAATAACAATATAATGAATAGTATTCGAATTGCTTTTGTTCGTCGTGAGTCATCTGAATGCGGTAATGCAATAGATTCGTGTTTTCTTCAAAATAAATATTCACGTGAGTAATAAAAACAATGTAGGAAGATTTTTTTACTTGAAGAGATACTAAGAACAAAATTTTAAGCAGAATGAAATGAATTTACTTTATTTAGGCAGATCTTCGTCAGTTGCTTACAGATTGTAATATTTGATTGATTTTTAAATATCAAGAGTTCCGTAAACAACCGAAGAGGATTCAACGAAATAAAACGAATCCATGTTATTTTGCTTGGATTTTTATTCTTCCTTTATTCTGGATAATAGAAGGAACTTTGTGTACAAATTGTTGACTCATTATTTGTATGGTAGTCTCTTTATGGATATCTTAACTACTGAAGATAGTAATAGTAGTATATAATTCTATGGTGAAATTGTCTGGTGCGAAATTGAAATAATTTTTCTCTTTGTTTGTTAATAATATAATAATGATGCATTGCTTCAACAGCTCACTTATTTTGCGAAGTGTAGTAACTGCTTAGTCTTTTGTATCGACCAGGAGTAATAGAACACTTTTACAGTTGAATATATTTTTGTCATCTGAAGATTTATCATAGATATTCAAAAGAGTATCTAACAACATGATTGTGTAAATCATAATTTTGAGGCATGTATTAACTCCTACGCTTTAGTCATCCAGCCATACATAACGTAGAACCTGCTAAGTATCTTCATCAGTTTAAGTTATCACACTATATTAGCATAACGACGTAAAATTATCCCTGAGTGGTTATAAGTATTAACAATATCAGTGGTAATTGGAAAGATCAGACATAGACGGAATGGTTGGAGAAGGGAGAGTGAATCTGTGTAATAAAATGCATGAAATAATTTTAAAAATTAAGATATAAGAGAAGACAAGGAGTAAATTCATTGACACTATTGAGACCAATTCTCAACCATATCCTCCAACGTTTCCGACTGTTGGTTACAGTGATTGCGCTGGGCTTAATCACATAGTCTTAATCTACCAACATAGCTTAGTTCAACTGTCAGTGACTTCATGGACTGACGTCATGCCATGGTTTGAATTTTGAGTGTCCGAAATTTAAAAGAGATAAAGTGAACTAAATAGGCAAGTATTTAATTAGACGAACAGTAGTCTGAAATTTCGACTGTTATATTCATTGACAGGCAGACCAATGTAAAACCATGAACAGGTTAGTTCAAGTTGTCAGGTATAATAACGAAGAGAGATAGTAAAGATGAGGATGAATCGATGTGTGAAATACACAACTTTCGATGTCAGTTTATAATGAGCAGTAATTAGGTCTTGAACAAAATCCGTTTTTTTAAAGAAAATAGTTTATTTTGATGAAATTAATTCTATTTCATTTTAAAAACTGATTTTTTTCTCTTTCAAATTAACCAATTTTCTTTACAGCTGCTAAACTGCGTAGATCACGACTTCGTGGAACGGATAGCTTAGTTATTAAATTCAAAAGGCACAATCTTTCAAGAAATTATTATCCTAGCGAATTAGTTCCTAATTCTATTGTGCAATATAATGAACAGTCAAACTGTGATAAGTTTTTCAATCCTAATACTATTTTTATGACTACCAATACTACTTCTACCATTACTACTACTAACACGAGTGTTAGTAGTGATAGTAGTAGTAATAATAGTCACAATAATAGTACTGAAAAACGTATGCGCTGTGATCAAAATAAAATCTTATGTATTTTAACTTCACCTCTTAATTATTCGTCTAATTATTATCCCAGGAATACATGTTATGATAGTTATCAGAATCATCCTCATCATTATCACCATAATAACCGTCTATTATCTCCAACTACACTGACCACATCATCTATTGCGTCTCGAGTGAAATGGGGAGCAAATTTAACATTGTTATCTAATTCTCTTAAAAATTGTCATGACACCAATGACAATATACAAACAAATTATCCTGTAAATCATCAATATGATTCTGAATCGAATACAAAAGAATTGAATCAATTTACAAATGAATTTAATACAGATAAAGTTTTTTTATCCCCATCATTATCGTCAACAGTGATGCTTAGAACTTGTCAACATGATTTAGATAAGATAATTCTACATCCCAGACCTAGGATACCACCGAAACGTTTGGATTTAGCCAATCAAGATTTGGAATTAGCTCTGAAAAGGGTAAGATCTACTATTTTATTTTCTGTTTTCCCTATTTTAAATAAAAAATATTGTGTAATCGTTTTCTATCCTGGTATTATTTGATGTTTTATTGTTTAAATTATCCGTGATAGATGAAATACAGTTTCTTTTTAAGAAGATGGGGAACGGTAAAGAAGCTTCAAACTTCAGTTGAGCGCTTTTGGGCGGGGGTGGTTTGATCAGCTAACGATTGTTAGTAGTAGTTATAGTTGGAAACTAATTGTATACTATATGGAACACTAAAACGTCCTACTTTATTACTTTTTAGTTATACCAACGCACTCTAGTTTATCCATAGTTAGGTATGAAAACTTTGGGTTCTGTAGCAAGCATCCCATGGAAAATTGATTGTGAAAGATTTTGGCTATATATTGTCAAGATTATGGGGTGGTTGGTTAATGTTATAACTGCTATGATATTACTACATGTATCTAGCCAGGAAAAAGTAGATAGAATGAGGTTTAAATCCAAATTCAACTATTAAGCTATTTCCCAATCACGATATAATACTGGTATAGAAGTGTGCAGTGGAAAGTACTACAAAAATCAATACATTTAGTGTATAACCAGAATGGAACAAATGTTCAATACTTTTTAATTTTCATTACTCTCTCGTTAAGATTGTGATTATCATTGACGGTGGTAGTGTATTATACAGGGACCCAAGACATATTTCTCCGTAAATTCATATACTTATTATTAATTAAACTAACCATCCGTATATTGAGATTTAAAGTTGTATGATACGAATATAGAGATAGTTTCGAGAAAATCATAGTACTCTTAGGGTTTCATCTGTCCTGTTTCAAAATTTAAAGTGATGATTTTATGCAAAGCTATTGCTACGGAGAGGAATAACCAGAGATAACTCCAACAATAACTACTGTACTGTGTTCAACAGCTCTCTTCTCCACAAGCCCCAGATACTCCAAAAGACAAATCGTGTTAAGATTGATTGCAAGACTTAGGAAGAATAAATTCACACCTACGCTAATTTAATAATATATCAATTAATTTCAGTGGTTTTGACTTACCGAATTTATCAAATAACTAGTCATTACATTCATGAAAAATATAAGTAAAAAAATACAATTCCATTCTTAAGAACTCAATAAACTAACTTCGTATGCACTGAATCAACACAAATGAAAATACATTGCAAATAACGAACAGAATTCACTTTAAGTTAATATGTAAATTTTAAATGCGATTTCTTCCCGAGCGTTGTATTTGGGAATTTAGTATCCCCAACACCTATATCTTACAATCTATTAACTGATATGATCCATCACGGCTATAACATCGTTGAAATATTCATATGGGCAAACTTTACTGTCCGAACTCAACCAACATTTGTTATTGACGCGAACTGAACGATACAGTACTTTCATTGGTGACTCTAGGTAATATAATGGGGGGACTTTTTACCTAATGTAGAGAAAACTTTGGTGTTTGTGCAAATATTTAAAAACGAATATCAATTATCTGGTTGTATATCGTTGAGTCTCTTACATACCCCATAAACCAACTAGCCCTCCCATTTACTCAATTTTGCACAAATATGCAAGTCATTAGCTTCGTTGCTGTTACATTATCTCGGTCACTTTTGTTTCTTTCATCTAGTCGAGATAATCAGGTAGGGCAACTAAGGCCGACGGACGACTGTGTCAGGTTGTATGTTGATGTCGTCAGTGTGTGGCATCCTGTATAATTTCTACATTTCTCATTAGCTACTTTTATATCATTATCTAGCTCGATAAATTTATTACAATTAGTTGCTGCTGACGTAATGTCAAAAGAATTTACGTGAGGAGTTTTTTATGCATTTTTAGAGTCTTAGTGATTGCACAATGCAGTCATCTAATAAAAATTATCACAATCGTTCAATCAAGAAATCTTTGGCTTATACAGTGCGGTTAAATAGCCAACATACTGGGAACAGGGATTCAACAAATAAAAACCTTGTGCGTCGAACAAAAGCAGTCTTACGTTCAAAAAGAAAACGTCACAAAACATTTACTAATTCACGTCGTCAGAAATCCAAGGCTAGTAATGTTGTAAGTGATTCCTTTTTGTCAGCCGAGTTTTATAAGCTTCCTTAAATTATTTCATCTTAAAATTCTATCGACTTAGTTCACAAATTGCATGTTTCGAACATTCAATAATCAGTAAGCCATTTGAAATAAGAAACTGTTAAACTTATTTTCATATGAATTATATTCAGTCTTTAACAAAATTCCACCAAGTTATTTTGATACTAACTGATGAGTGAATTCAGAATAGTCGTCTTACTCTGATCTACGATTAACTGAATTAAGTGAGAGTATATATATATATATATATATATCATTTCGAAGAATTTGTAAAATACTACCTAATGGGTTTCTTTTTTATCCATACTGAAAATCTAGACCATTCGATGCCCAGTTCCGACTGTATTGATTTAAAATTGAAAGTTTAAACTGCATAGGTCACTGTCACGGTTGAAATACTATAGTGTATTTCCCCATTAATTGTATACATTAATTCTCGAGCAAGTAAGTGAATACAAAAGACTCCTTGAATATATATGTACATATTTTTACTAATCAGCAGTTATTGTATGTTAATCCACACAAACTGAATAGCTGGATAAAGATTTCATATAGGGTACAAATACTGGAACGTAGAAAAATTCTGTTTGTCTGATCTCCTATCTTCTCTGTATATTTCATCGTGTTGGGGATTATTGTTGAATTGTTGTGTGTTCTTCATGTGCTCTGTTGAACTGGCATAAATATAATTTATTTTCAGCAGATCATCCGAATCGTTCATAATTTGAAATTACGGTAAGGTACCTCAAAACTTAATCCTTGGATTGAAAGTCTAACATTTTTATAGGAACTATCAACATTTTGTTTAAAGATTATATATTTGTCACTTTTGACAATAACTGAATATTTTATTCGTGTGCTTTTAGAACTCCTGAATGATTTATATTTCATCTGTTATCTATCTCTGTTTTTCTTCTTTGTAGAAAGGCCAAAGACATAAGTCTAGTGGAAAATCTCCCATTCCTAATTCAACAGACAGTAGTTCTGTTTCAACTCACTCACACATTATTTCAGATGATTCTGTAATTAATGATTTGAATGAAAGTGGTGATCGACTGATGAATGACAACCTATCACGTCTTCCATTGCCAAAACTTACTTTAGCTAAAAATAGTGTTGGTGAATTTAATGTAGTTGAAAATCGTGAAGAGAACACTGGCAAGTTTCCTGAAATATGTGATCGTAAAACTACTACTAACAACAGAATGGCTACTAGTATGAGTAATAGTAATATCGATAATTCAGTTCTGAATAGCTGTCAGGCAATAATTAGTCCGTCGTCATTATCGTCATCATCAACATCATCTAAGGTTACAATATGTAAATCTTTAAAGCGGAAATCTGATAATAAACAGCGAGCAAATTGTTTGAATAATGACAGAATAGTGAATAAGATTTCTCAGATCAATTCGGAAGTTTTACAGGATTCCAATGATGTAGATAATATTAATATTGATGAATTAAAGCACAGCTCTAGAACGGTTATCAGCTCGGTTGATAACCTTGAACAAATGGCAACAACTGCCACAGGATCTATCAAAACTGATGAGGAACATTCTACATCTACAACAAATTATCGATATACACCTGTTGTGGATTGTGTTGTATCGAATAAATCTACTACAGATTCAACAAATCTATCGTCAGTGTCGCCTGAGCAAGTAACACAGTGGGAAATTCCGAAATCCACCAGGTAATTTTGTATGCTGATACACACATTTTCGTTTATGCGAAATATATGTCTAGATATATTTTCATGATGTGTTATATTCCTTCAGGTGAATAATTTAATTAGTAAGCTCTTATTGTCATTCTGGGTAGCTTTATATCCTAATAAAAGTGTAAGATTCATGATTAAACTATTCATCTTAGAGAACACAACATTGCCAAAAGCATTCAGTTTAGCTATAAGTTTTCCTCATTTCAAATTATGTTTAGATAGGATTTGTTTTATCGAGAGTTAGTCGTATGTATTCCTATGGAACTGAATGAAATTTATCTTGTTCTTAATTAGTTCTTTGTGTAATCATCATATGCTCATTAGTCACTGGCTTCAAGATGGATTTCTTGGAGTTCTAGAGAAAATCCCTGACCAATGGGGTCCAATCCGTGTTGTGTAGAGACAAGTATCTACCTCGGACAATTGATGAATGGTTGCGCAAGATCGTGGGTCGATTGAAGTTAGACATTAACAACATTGGATGTGTGCCCAATAGTCTAGAGATTAGGCGTTCGCACTCGAGATCAAAGGTCCTGAGTTAGAATCCCACGTTCGAGGTCGTGGATGCGCACTGTTGATGAGTCCCACGCTAGGACGGAACTGTCGTCTAGTGCTTCCAGGTTTTCAATGATGGTTTAGATAAGAATGACACATGAATTTAACTATTAAAAATCACTATAATCTCTACAACCCCCCCCATTCTGATAATAACTTGATTTTTACATTAGCTTTGAATAAATGATTTTTTGAAACTGTTTAATATTTTATTTCTTGAGCAAAATAAAAGTGTCTATATCATTTTAGCCTCCTGTCTCATCTCAGTACGTCGAAATCCTGTCACAAATGATAGTAGATTTATGTCACTCATTATTTTTTAGATCAGAAGGGATTTTGTGGAGAATTTAGTATTCCTATAGTTGAAATCAAGAGTCAATTAAAGCTAAACCGCCATGGAAAACCTGGGAGCACTGTACGGACTTGGTAGAACTCCACTGGTCACTGCTTCCCACTAGAACTCAAGGAAATATCTCTTGAAGTCAGTCACTAGTAAATGCCGGCTCAGTGGTCTATAGGTTAAGTGTTCTGGCGCGAGACTGGTAGGTCCTGGGTTGGAATCTCGTGAGTGCGGGATCGTGGATGCGCACTGCTGAGAAGTCTCATAATAGAACGAAACGGCCGTCCAGTGCTTCCAGGTTTTCCATGGTGGTCTAGTTTCAATTAACTCATTATTTTTTTAGTCAATGAAATTTCGGAAAACAGCATTATTTAGATTAATGACAACATTTCATGTTCAATTGATGAGATGGAGTGAAGATTTGAAATCAGGAAGTATAACATTAGTTACAATACAATAATCGATTAGTGTAAATACTCCAGTCCTATGTTAGGTTATTTACCCCACACTATGAATAACTTGGAGTTTTTGTCACTGATTGAAACTGTGGATGGTTTTAATTTAAATTCATGAAAATTTTCTTGGTTTTGTTCTTGTTTAACCTGTATGGGTCCATAAACTTTAATTTTGTTTTGGTAATTTGATTTTGCGGTTTTATTTTGTCACGATATTACTGCTACTAGATTTTACTTGGTATATATTTTTTGGTTCCCTGATATGCTGAAAAAGATTTATTCTGGTTAAGAAATAAGGCTTAAAAAAATTACAGGTATAATCCTATTGGAAGGATCAAACAATTTTGGTTGCGTGATTTTTGTACATTGTCTTCTTTGTTTAAAAAATCCTGGTAATAATACATATAGATCTCCTAATTTACTACATCTTGTACAAACTCAGAAAGAGAGAAAATCAATGAAATGCGAAACAAACGAAGGGGTATAATTGAATCTGGAAAAGGTAAATGTAAGAAATATAGGTCATAAAAAATAAACGAAATCGAGAAAAGAAGACATTGTGTTTTACTATCCAACTACTATATGCCCTTCATACGATGCATCAAACTCACTATGAAAATAAGTAAAATAAAATTGATGAGAACGTCTAATTACCAAACTCAAATCAAGGGTAAATATTTTGACTTTTCTACCCATCAAAAGGTATGTTGGCTGAGATCTTGAGTAGGTGGTACATAATCAACTTCCTTCAATAGAATGTCTCGTTTGTAATCTCCTACCTACTGCTTAATGTTGAAGTATCATGGACCACAGGCACCTAATATGTTTATAGCAAGAAATTTTCATAGGTATAATGATATTTGAGTAGATTTGTTTTAGATTTTGATATTTATTTGTGAATTGCCTATCGTCATCATAATTATCATCTTGTAAGATTACTTTATTAGAAGTAACTTTATAAGATTAACATGGATATAGAAAATTGCATTTATGCTTGAACAGTGCCCTTAAGTCGAATAATCGTTGGTATTCAAAGTTTTTATTTTGGAAAATATAAATATAGTTAGCAGTTTTTGGAGCTAACCCAATTCTTTAAAACTATTGAAAGCAATCATATCTTAGTATTTATATTTTCAGTCCTCAACTAGATAATGTCTAATAGAGGAACTGGAATCTTCCAATTTTTGTACCCTGAAGTATTGATATGGATGCAAATTGAGTGATATTATGATAGGTTAATTGATTAAGACTTAGATTAACAATACATTGTCATACTTATTAATTGTTGGATAATCTAGAAATTAAATATGCTATGAAATTAACTCTTGTATGCTAACATTAATTATAGTCACCAGATTATAGAGTCCTCTAGTGACTAGTTCACTTTATACTGATCAGACCAATAATTTTCTCCAGTAACATAATGATCATAAAAAAAACGACTAGATATCTTAACACCTATTGGTCCATGTAGATCCTTTTGTCCTTGGTGCTCAATTAGAAGACGAAAACAGCAAGTAGATTTACCTTCTGTTTATGTATTGTCCAGCACTTACTTGAAAATTCACAGGATTACGTACAACAATTACATGACTATAACGCAATACAAATAAGGACTTATATATACAATGATAAATCGCCATAGAATAGTTCCGAAAGTCCCAGTTATTCATATCGATCTAACAGTATACACACAAATTAATCTTTCAATTACTTCTTTTTAGTGATTGCTGATAATTTATAAGGTGAGTAGTTATTTAGTTAGTTTGCTTATTCATCCGTTTTTTCTCTACTAAAAAGTCTATTTCATTGTGTTGATAGACCTGATAGAAGTTCTTATTTTACTATCTAAGTTGTTTGTTGTTTTGTTTTTTATTTTTCTATTAGTAGTTTGACTGATAATTCCACTGCATTAGGATTTGTACAATCTGTAGTACATGTAAGTAAACAATGTTTCTTTTTAACCTGTTTATATCATAAAAAAATATAGTTTGGTTTAATATTCTTAATCTTTACATCATAGTTTTTATTTTGCTTTCCCTAATGAAGAGATTTTTCAACCAGCGATAATTTTTCATAGTTGAAGTTTGTTGGTCTTTATTTTAAGGAATATCATTAACTTATTTAAAATCAGACTAGTATGTCGGTAAACTTTGAATGGTTTAAAATTAGTGTAACATATAATTGCAATATCGGTTAAGAGCTTCGGCTCGAAACTGGTAGGTCCTGGGTTCGATTCCCGCGAGAGTGGGTTCATGGATGCGCACTGCTCAGGAGTCCCATAATAGGACGAAACGGCCGTCCAGTGCTTCCAGGTTTTCGATGGTGGTCTATCTTCAATTGACTCATGATTTCAACTTTGAAACACAATAGGGAATGAGTTTTCATTCGACTTTTGTTCGTTTAAAGCTGGGAATGTCAACTGTTAAGATTAGATCCAGATATTTTTTAAAAAATATCGGGTACTTAGTTTTAATTCATATATGATGGTTGTTTGGATCTTTTCACTGATATTTTAGAACTTCAATTAATCAGTCTTTTTTTTGGCATGGGTTCATACGGTGCAAATTTCCTCAATATTGCCAGTAAGTTATAAACATTTGAAGCAGAGTTAGATTCCATTACTAGCAACCATCCATATCTGCTTCATAGGGTACTTATATTGTAACATACAAAAGTCAGGTTTGATATGAATTTAAGAAATAAATGAATACTGAGTTGAAATATTTAGATTAATCGTCAATTGATGTTAGAATTATTCAATTAATTTAGTGTTTTTAATCATCGAATTCTGATTGATTAAATAATTCTGTTAGTAAATCAGTTAAGATGAGAAAAGTGTAGTTTTCAAAATAACCTTTATTAATAACAATCTACAATTCTTTACGATCAGAGGTGAGATAGTGAAGGTCCTTTCTAGTCTCACTAGAATATCAATATGTCTCCGGTTTTCATTCAACTTGTTAATATCATCCAAGCGTGGAATGTAAATTTTTTCTCAGCCGAAATTGACACTAGTATTTCTAACAGTATCTTAGCTTATATATCCAACTTATTCCCTCAAAGTACTAGTAATATAATTACTATATAATGAAGTTGAGCACATAGGGGTAATTATTCTCTTTATTGGTGAAATGACCGAAATCTATCAAGCGTAATGAGCATCCATATTAAAAGCAATGAAAACATGATTCCTTCTTTTTATTTCATTGTGATGCTTTTCCCGAATATCATTCCAATAGAGGAAGGATTATAATGTGCAAAAAACAGTAGTCACATTTGCTTTCCTATTAATCTGAGTTAATCAGTCAGTTGTTCACAATAAAAAGGATATTTAATAGTGTTTGTATCTAATTGATCGATTACTTTGTGTGAATTAACAAAAAATAGCGGTTATCATCAATGAAATCGAATGATCGTCAAGCTATGTCGCAAATCGATTTAAGTTAGAACTGTACCACCGGACGCCAGCTCAGTGATTTTAATGATTAAGCGTTTATTGTGAGAAGTGGAGGTGGCAAGTCTGATCCTTGGTGGGATCGTGGGTAACCACTACTAAGGAGTCCTATAATGGGACGAAATAAATGTTCAACCCCCTGTGATTTTCAATAACGTCCTAAATGAGATCAACCTGTGACGAATACCATTTACATATCCTCAATAGTTATTTCACAATAAACACTATATTTGACTTTGATTACATCGATGAATATTGTTAACCATATTTGCTCATATACATTTCCTCACAACATTTTTTTCACTTTTGACGACTATTCGATTGTTTTATATTGTTGCTTTTTTATACTTAGCCTTACTAATTTACTCCATTTCTCTTTTTCCGTTTCACTCCCATAGAATACATCAGTTAATCCTTCTTTTGCGTTAACAATAACATCAAGCATACCTAATCAAACCTCCTGCGGTCATTCCATAAATTTCACTAGTCAGCATCAAAATATTTCACATTTATCTCCAAGTAAGTTTTTGGTTATTTTTCCAGTTTCATTTGAAAAGATTAGCCTACTTTTCTTTTCATCTGCAATACTTTACATTTTATATGATTATGCAAGAAATACTACTTTCAGTATAGGGTTGTGGAGATTGTTGATTTTAAATTGATACCATGAATGGGTCAGTGTTAGATATCAACACCACTGAATACCGGCTCAGTGAGTCTGTATATGTTTAGCAGTTTAATTTTTTGTCATCCTAAGCATTCTGCAGTGACATCAGAGTTTTAAAAAGTTTAAAAAGTAGAGAACATGATAAAATTCTGTTTATTTATCACTGCAGTCAAACTGTACGCACATATGTGAGAAGGTTTCTATTCATAAGCCACTGAAAATCTTTAATTTTAGTAATGATTCGGGGATTATATCTGTTACTTGTTTATCCTCTACTTATAATTTTAGTTAACCCTGTTACCATGTGGAGTCGTTTATCCAACCCTTTGCCAGCTCCAGATCCTCCAACAAAACTATTTAATACTAAACGTGTTCCATTTCAACATCCTCCTCAACTTACTTCTGCTATTAATAATCAAAAGTTTCAACAATTGCCAGTCATTGGATCGGGTAATTCTATTTGCAGCACTCAAGGAATTCCACAAACACTATTCACAAACCATTTGCCTTATCATATAACATCGAATTCCACAACTATTCCAATCGATTCAGTCGTTCATTTGCCTGCTGATGCCTACCTAAAACAAAATATGAATACTAATGTAATGGGATTGGCTACAAATCCTTTACAATATTCAACATTATGTAATCCTAGCCCTTTAAATGATTTAAATTGTAAACAGTTTTTGCAAAATTTAAATAAAATGCAATTGAGTAGTCAACTTTATTCATCTTTTCCTACTCCTATGCACCTGTCTCTACCTCCATCGCTCGTTCCAACTACTCAGTTTTCACTAGCATCGTCTTCATCATCACCAGCAGTATCATCACCCGTCTTCAATAGTGGAAATCAAATTCATCATTGGCCATGTACAAACTTCCCATCAAATTCAAATATTTCCAAATTAACCGGAAATATCCCTGTAGGTTATGATACTGCATCATTATTAATGCCTTCTGGAGATCCAATTTTAAATAATTCCAACAATAGTAATAATATTCAAAATGGTTTCTTATCATATCCTTTTTTACTTCCTAATTCAACATTTACAAACATTGGACAATTGAACTTATGTAATTCAACTCCTTTGCTAGGAGCATGTCCACCATCTTTGCAATCAATACTTGGTGCATCATACATTCTTGGTGCGCAGAACTTTAATAATAATAATAATGGTAATAATAATGACCAAGGTCACAATCGTAATACTCTTCAAAATTGTATCTGGCTTCCTTAATCTTATTGATAAACTTTTCCAAGTGTATTGTAACTCAGTAGTTAGATAAATATGCCCATCTTTATGTGTGTCTGCGTGCATACGTGCCTACTAGCCTGTTTTTGTAATGCTTATGTGATCAACTGTATTATAAATATTATGATATATGTCAGTAATAGCAATTGTTTTTTCTTAAAACACAAATAAGCATGTAAAGATTTACAAAATAGTTGAGAAATGTATATTCACTTTCTATATATATATTTCTCTATTTTGTTTGTATATGTGTATTTTACCTGGTCTTCACTTATACCCTGGTTTATTAATTTACCATGACAGTCTTTTCTATCCCTCCCTCCCCCCTCTCTCTCGATAATATCTGTATTGGTTTAGCTGTATTTATAAAGAAATGGAGAGCTATTGAAATACACTTAAACTCCATGATTTTCTTTTGTTGCTTTGTGTTGTGTATATATTCATGAGTTGAACAGGGTGGAAATAGTTTAAATGAAATTATTTACCTGAATTTTATGTCTCATGTTTGAATAATTATCAACGTTCAGACTTTATGCTTCTGTAATTCTGTCAATAATTTAACTACGAAATGATATCCTACGATATTGGACTCAGGAAATAGTTATTCGATAACATATATGTATGTATATTCATTTATTAGGTCAATTAATAAACTAGAAGTGGAATATTTGATAATATATAGCTCACCATCATTCACGTTATTCGGTAGTATTTCTTACTGGAATATCAACTCTTCATTTCCCACTTAGTTTATTTTATCTACTCATTTAACTTGAATAGACTAATTAGCTTGACGGTTACATTTTTACTACCTGCCATCAAACAACTTAGATTGTGGTGTCGATTTATTCAGATTACTGGCCACATTGTAAACTTGGCAAACAGAATTCCGTAAGTACTGAAAATCAGACAACATGATATTGATTGTTAACTAGTGACTGAGTTGTATGAACTACTTACTGTGTATAAATGTATATATCAATAAATAAATGAATTATATTTGCATTGATGATTAGTTTGAGTCAGATCATTGATTGACAACTAACGATTGTAAATAGTTTAATTCACTGTGTTGATATTTATCAATCCAATTATGAGCAGAGCTGAAAAATTATTTGTATTCGATGTGAGATTGCACACTATTATTATTTGCATTAATCAACTAAAAGAGATGTGATAACATTAGAAAATAACTCCTCCTTTAGCTCCTCCGGGGGCTACTACCGGTCCCAAGCCCGGGTAAAGGAGGAGGGTTGGGCATGGGGTAAGCGACCCCCTCCCGTAGAAAACCAACTCGCTAAAAAACACTTACCAGAAAGTTATTCAAACCAATATTAGAAAAGAAAGACAAGTTTATATGCCAAATAATTTAGTGAATACTGAATAATAAATATTCTTACGTCATTATATGTATCTAGATAGAATTCATTGTTTTTAATTTGCAATACTAATGACATTATTCACTCCTGTGTTACCAAAACATTATAGTCATTGGTAGATTTCTGAACAAAATAGAATATTTGATTTCATTTAACTGAGTGTCTACATAAATCGTAGTCATACCATTTTAAATCTAATGATTCTTACTTAAACTACTTAAAAAACACTTTATTTTCAACTATCATCTATATTTACAATGCAGCCGTTTACTTCAAAATGATCATTGCTTGTAATTAGATAAACATTAGTATTGATATGGATAGCAAATTAGAAGGAACGGAAGGTCGATCGATAGCAATCAGAAGTGAACTAAAGGTCAAGTGCATTTCATTGGGGTCAATGGGTCATTTCTCTAAGGATAGACTGGTATATATATGAATGAGCATTTGCGTATTTTATTCGGTGGTCCAATACGCTTTCTTACCCACTCGTGTATTCTCACTCAAGTACTCACCTTGGGGGTTGACACATAGCATACCGTGTATCAGTACTAGATTTTGAACACCGCATGTCACAACACGTATATACTTCAGAAAATGTAATTTCAGTTCACCCAACCTAGTGTATTGTTCTAGTTCCGTTTGTGTCTGTTAAATAAATCGAAAGATTTGTAGAAATTCATCTGAAAGGTAAAGCTTTAATTTTGTACTCAAAATCTTATCTAGTGCACATTAGTCTACAACACAGACATTATGAAGTTGGACTTCCAAACTTTCGGATGGATTTGACTCTTACGGCCACCAAAAGTGAGGATATGAAACCTTTTGAAATTTATCTGATTAAAATGTATTTATGATAATTTAAACGTTTATTTATTTTTACACTGGTAACAGTTTTCTCAGAATAATGCCTACGTAACCACGTTAGGAATAAGTGTATCATATTGAGTGAAATCTATACACTGAAGTAAATATCACTGATGATTAACAGGGTTTTATTTGACTGTGTAATATTTGATCATTATGTATAAACTTTAGTCGAAAGGCTCAGTAATTCGTAGTATCTATTAATTTGGCCGAAATGTAAGGAAAGCAGTAAGTGTTGAAGGTATTTTAGAAATTTAAAAGTTACTGAAAGATTATTATATCCGATTATTCACTAGGTTCCCTATAAGTTTGGTTTCGGAATTTTAGAACGGTAAATATCTCCTTAAATGAATACTGAGTATGAAACGAATGAAATTGAAAAATCTCTTGTCTTCCAAATAGTTTGTCTCAGTTGTTTTTAACATTCAATAGTTTTAGGTAGTGCAGTCATCTTAATATTTACCACTCACATATATCGAGATAACATTTAGTATAGACTAAATAAAGTTGATCTCGATCAGACCACAACAGTAAAAGTGAGTATAAAATGAGCTATCTTCAGCCACATTATTAATATATATTGATTATTAGAAGGGGTTTTGTGGAGATTTAGTATTTATCATAGTATTTATCAACTATATATATGCCCCCAAATGCCCTGGTACGGCCGAGAGTGGGGAGAGCCACCTCTCCCTCTCGAAATGCCCTCACATGGCCAGCGAATATATAGCCTCTGCCAGGGAAGTCCTGCTCACTGCCTTCTCGTGGCGGGGGTGTTGTTTACGAAAGTGAGAGGACGAAAAGCGAATGTCCGGCGCTTTAACCGGGTTGGTGGACACGGAGGGTCCACCTAGGGGAGTTGGAAAACCCTGATTCCAAACCAATGGTGCACATGGGCTCCAGTATCCTGGTGGAACGAATGGCGAATGAACCTGTTGTTGGTCAACGGCTACCATGGGACTGCATCTCCTCACGATGCTCCACTGCCTTGTGGATTAGATCTTTCGGTCAAAGGCTCCGGGTGTGGTCCCCTAAGAAAACCACCTGCTTCAGTCTGGGCACCTGAGCAGTATCACAGCCCTCACACAAATCGAATGAGATTTGTGAGGCGCATATTTATCTGGTGCTTCATTGTACCAATATTTATGTGTTTAAATAAATAAATAAATATAATATAATATATATTGGGTAAAAAATTATTTGAGTCTATGAATGATCTCTTTCAGTCTCATTGTTATTCATTAAATATAAAGGCCAAAGATTTTCTATTAAACATTCGATTCCAAATAAATTACAAAGTAATTCTATATATTTTTAATAACCAAGAGGAATCGAATTACTTCAGTAGTTGGCTTTGTCTAGTCTTTATTACAAGCATTAATAAAACTAGTCTTAGTCATAAAAGTGAAAATTGATATCCTTCTTACTGCGTAAAATGCTCATTCCTTCAGCATTTATTTGTATATTAAGAAGATAGCTAAAATGAATTAAAAAGAAAACTAACATCTTCATCATAAAAAGGCTTGTCTACATCATCCTACCATTCAGAGGTGAGTGAAATAGCTTTATATTAAACCAAAGGCTTTATTCATTTATCAGCAAAACGTATTACTCAGAGAAGGTCATCATCAGGGAAAAAGTAAAGTCTATGCTTCACTGGAAAAATAAAATTAATGAAAACGTTTGCGTCATGTTCCACCGTGTTTGCCAATTTGAATGTATATATGGACACATATAAGTGGAGAAGAGTCTAAGATTCTTTTTGAGAGTTTCGTCTATGAAAATCACTCCATGTACGTCCTGTTGTTATTGATTTTTCTCGATTCCTTCAGATGGACGTCTTGTGATTCCAGTTGAGATGGTACTATTTATATTTTATTGTAGTTTTTGTTTATCTTATGTTTTCACCGAATTTCTGTTTTTTTTTCCAACTACATATATGTTTATAGTTATCGATGCCGAAGTCGGACTTGATAGTTTCAAATAAATTGAGCACTGGGTAGGAAGTTAGTAATAAATATATCTTTCGTTATATCCCAGTGAGTAGAAAAGTTGTAATTCTGACGTTTTGTGACTTCAGAAGACAAAATTAGAGAAAAGACACTATAATAAACATCTTACATTTTAATCATTTTCCTAAGAATATTATTAGAAACTTATTAAACTAAAACTGTCCATCTGTAAATAACAATCCTAATGAAAGATCTTGGATTGGTGCTTTGATTTTACATTACCGCCAAGATACGACAGAAGAACTATAAGAGATATTGAAAATGTGCAAAATTAAAGCTTTCTATAAGACAACTAACACTCCAAGAAACGCTTTACTTAGAATAAGAGATCCGATTCCGTTCACTTCCAAACAAAATTGTATTTACAGACTAGGTTGTGTCGGTTGTGATGCGTTCTATATTGGAGATCTCGACTCAGGCCAAGAAACACTTACGTTACACAGAAAGACCTAATAATCTTGTAGAATTGGAAAACTTACAGGTTAAATCAACGATATCAGTACATGCTATTTTCAATAATCACCAAACCGATATTAAACATATCAAAATAATTCTGGAAGACTTTTCCAACTATAAAGAGATGCTAGTAGCTGAAGTGTTTCATATTACGCTAAATTCCTCTGCCATCATTAGGAAAGAAAGTCTGAATATTCATTCAACTTGGACTATTTATACGAACAACCACAACTAATCCTATTTGATTTCCACACAATGTACACACAAACACACCTAATTTCAAACCCACTACTTGATTTTACAAATACTTACTTACTTACTTTCGCCTGTTACTCCCAATGGAGCATAGGCCGCCGACCAGCATTCTCCAACCCACTCTGTCCTGGGCCTTCTTTTCTAGTTCTTTCCAGTTCTTGTTCATTCTTCTCATGTCTGTCTCTATTTCTCGGCGTAATGTGTTCTTTGGTCTTCCTCTTCTCCTTCGACCTTCAGGATTCCATGTGAGGGCTTGTCTTGTGACGCAATTGGGTGATTTCCTCAAAGTGTGCCCAATCCACTTCCAGCGCTTCTTCCTGATTTCTTCCTCCGCTGGAATCTGGTTTGTTCTCTCCCACAGTAACTTGTTGCTGATAGTGTCTGGCCATCGGATCCGAAGTATCTTGCGTAGACAGCTGTTAATAAACACTTGTATCTTCTGGATAATGGCTTTCGTAGTTCTCCACGTCTCTGCCCCATACAGAAGAACTGTCTTGACATTTGTATTGAAAATTCTAACCTTGGTGTTGGTTGACAATTGTTTTGAGCTCCAGATGTTTTTCAGCTGTAGGTATGCTGCTCTTGCTTTGCCGATTCGCGCCCTCACATCTGCATCTGATCCACCGTGTTCATCAATGATGCTGCCCAGATATGTAAAGATTTCCACATCCTCCAAAGCTTCTCCGTCAAGTGTAATTGGATTGGTGCATATTGTATTGTATCGGAGAGTCTTGCTTTTCCCTTTGTTTATATTGAGACCTACTGCTGCTGAGGCTGCTGCTACACTGGTCGTTTTCTCCTGCATTTGTTGTTGCGTTTGTGATAGAAGAGCCAGATCATCCGCGAAGTCTAAATCGTCAAGCTGCATCCTGCCTGTCCACTGTATCCCGTGCATTCCTCCAGATGTTGACGTCTTCATAATCCAGTCGATCACCAGGAGAAAGAGAAAGGGTGAGAGTAGCCAACCTTGCCTAACACCGGTCTTTACCTCGAACGAGTCGGTGAGTTGTCCTCCGTGGACGATTTGGCAGTTTAGTCCATCATAGGAGTTCCGTATGATGTTGACTATCTTCTCAGGCACGCCGTAGTGTCGAAGAAGCTTCCATAGTGTCGTCCTGTCCACGCTATCAAATGCCTTCTCGTAGTCGATGAAGTTGATGTACAGTGATGAATTCCATTCGATTGATTGTTCCACAATGATACGTAGAGTTGCGATTTGATCTGTGCACGATCTATCCTTACGAAATCCAGCTTGTTGATCTCGAAGTTGAGCGTCCACGGAATCCTTCATCCTGTTTAACAATACTCTGTTGAAGACTTTTCCTGGTATTGAGAGGAGAGTGATGCCTCTGTAGTTGTCGCACTTGCTCAGATCGCCTTTCTTTGGTATCTTGATGAGAAGTCCTTCTTTCCAGTCTGTTGGTACATGTTCTTCATCCCAAATCTTACCGAAGAGGATGTGGAGTATCTTGGCAGTTGCTGTTACATTTGCTTTCAGTGCCTCTGCCGGGATGTTGTCTGGTCCCGCTGCTTTGCCACTCTTGATTTGTCTAATGGCCATGCTGATCTCTTCAATTGTTGGTGGGCCAATATCGATTGGGAGGTCTGTGGGTGCTGCTTCGATGTTGGGTGGGTTCAGTGGAGCTGGTCGATTCAAGAGTTCTTTGAAGTGTTCTACCCACCTGTTTCGTTGTTCTTCAATATCGTTGATTACTTTGCCTTCCTTGTTTTTCACTGGTCTTTCTGGTTGACGGTAATTTCCAGCAAGTTTCTTTGTTGTATCATACAGTTGTCTCATGTTTCCCTCTCTTGCAGCCTTTTCCGCTGTCATCGCTAAATCTTCCACATATTTACGTCGGTCGGTCCTGATGCTCCTCTTCACTTGCTTGTTTGCCTCTGTGTATTCGGCTTGTGCCTTGGCTTTTTCTGCTCTTGTTCGGCTGATATTGATTGCTACCTTCTTGTTCCTCCTTGCTTCAATTTTATCCAGTGTACCAACAGTGATCCATTCCTTGTGATGGTGCTTCTTTTGGCCCAGAACCTCCTGACATGTTGAAACGATTGCCTCCTTGATACCTTTCCAGCTGCTCTCTATGGTCGTTCCCTCTTCATTGAGTAGGTTATGAAAGGCCTGGAACCTGTTGCTGAGGGCTATGTTAAATTCGTTGAGTTTGTCAGCATCTCGAAGAAAGGCCGTGTTAAACTTTTGTGATGTTGTCCGCGCCATTGTCCAGTGCTTCTTGAGTTTTAGTTTCATCTTGGCGACCAGCAAATGGTGATCGGATGCTATATCAGCTCCTCTCCTGGTTCTCACATCCTCCATCGTCCTCCTGAACGTTTTGTTGATGCAGACATGGTCGATTTGATTCTGTGTAGTGTGATCCGGTGAAATCCAAGTGGCTTTGTGTATGTTTTTGTGTGTGAATATGGTGCCACCTATGACCAGTTTATTGAAGGCACATAGGTTTGCAAATCTCTCACCGTTTTCGTTCCTTCCTCCCAGTCCATGTTGTCCCATGACGTCTTCGTATCCAGTGTTGTCCTTTCCAACCTTGGCATTGAAATCTCCCATTAGAATGGTCAGGTCCTTGGTTGGGCACTTCTCGAAGATTGACTGCAGCCTATCGTAGAATTGGTTTTTAGCGTCTTCATCGTAGTCGTTGGTCGGCGCATAGCATTAAATGATGTTCATTGTAATGCCCTCTCTCTTTGTTCTGAAGGAGGCTTTGATGATCCTCGGTCCATGAGATTCCCATCCTATAAGTGCATTTTGTGCTTTTCTAGACAGCACCAGTGCCACTCCTTGTGTATGTGGGGCATTTTCTTCTTCATGACCGGAGTATAACAGAAGTTCCCCTGAAGACAGTCGTTGTTGTCCAACCTGCGTCCAATGTGTTTCACTGATTCCAAGCACTTCCAGGTTGTATTTCCTCATTTCCGCAGAAATTTGGAAGACTCTGCCGGTCTCCCACATTGTCCGGACATTCCATGTACCTATAAAAATTGTCGCTCTGGTTGTAAGAAGGTGCATCGGCCTCATGACTTCCGAAGGAACTCGGCTTTCATCATGAGACGTCATTTTTCCTTCTACTCCCAGGGCAGAGTTTGAATGGTTTGAATGAATTTTTCTGGTTAGCGTTTTTTTAGCGAGTTGATTTTCTACGGGATGGGGTCGCTAACCCCATGCCCAACCCTCCTCCTTTACCCGGGCTTGGGACCGGCAGTAGCCCCTGGAGGAGCTACAGGCGGAGTTGATTTTACAAATGCATACTTTTTTTTTCATATCCACACTCTAACACGAATTAATACAGTGACAGGTAGTACAGATTTACCTTGACCAAAAATAACTTGATGTTAACATATTCAGACCAAATGTGATTTTGGTTGTACCTAAAATATTCTGCATTTTTCCATTTGTACTAGTTAAACTTATGTTAGTTTAATTTAGTTATTTATTTACTCTGAAGAAGTGGTTTGCATTAAGTCAGTGATATAATTTTCCTACTAATTGGGATATAACAAAAAATGTATTTATTACTGCGTCTATGTTGTTTTATTTGATATTCGGTTATTGAGGTTGCCATATTGATCCGCTCTCTTTTTTGATAATGTTGATTGAATTGACTGGAGTTTTGCATTTCTAATTATAAATTGACACACTTTTCCAGAAATGAAGATACTCAGCGTTATAATAAGTAATTCTTGATATTTTTATAAAATTAAATATTACCATTCGGAAAATCTGTACATGATCTACCCGGAAAGAAGAGAATAACATTCCTGTATTGATAGGTGAATTTATTTGTTGCACCTGATAATCCTCTTATATCCTTTATCAACTTATTCACTAAATGTAATTTAGATTTGACTACTGACTGAACAGTTATTAGTTGATGTAGTGAATAACCAATACATTTAATGTAAAGTCAAATATTTCATGTTGTGTTTAAGTCAATCATAATAATACAATGCAATATCATACAGAGTACTTCAAATTCGATTTATTGAATTTTTCTTGTTGACGTTCTAGACTTATTGGGATTAGTTCTATTTTGTCATATTATTTCAAATTCATAGTTCAGTAACCAGGTGGTAATATTTGTTTCGATAATAATGTATATTTAAATTTATAACGAAATCTAGAACCGTCATTTCCACAATCGCTTTATTTTGATTTCGACTTCACGGTAGTGAGTATCTCAACTATCCTAAACAGTTGTTCCTAATTCCAAACTGCTTTAGTTTTGGAGCTACAAGGAATAGTCGTGATCCGTTTCGGACAGAACACGACCGAGAATTTATCGTTTTATGAATTTTGTATAATTTCAGTGTTACTAATCTGTATCACTCAATACGATTGAGTGGTCATTAAAGATGATTAAATTACTGGCGCATTCAAACTTCATATCTGGCTGTTCATACTGTCCTTCACATACTTAAAAAGAATAATCTTTTGACAGATTTAAACGGCTTTTGTAGAGTTGATGAAGAATCCTCACTAAAAATTCTGCCCAAAGTATCCTGCGTATAACAATACGTGTAAATAATAAGTTGTATAAAAGGCCCCTATTACGAATAGATCCCTGTAGGAAACAATGTAACATCATGTGCTTAATTAAATCCACATAGTTTATTCTAGCTTTTGGAAAAGCCAATACATTCTTCTTAAACCACATTTTGACCTTGTCACTTGTTGGCTCATTTATTCTGACTGTTTTTTAGGTGAGCGTTTATGTGTGCACATTTTATCCTACTCATCACATATCTGTAGCCTATTTTTATCTGGCTATAAATATTGATTAAGACTTGATTAAATCAAGTTCGCTCACTTGCCCTCTCCGATCCGCTTCGCTCTCCCCTCATTGTTTCGTCTCCTTGATTGCCTGTTTAAATCACTGAGTGCATGTAGTATACATATTCGAAATCCATTCTTGTATTTAGATTATTTAATTCCGTTATTTGCTAACGCGAGTTAAGTGGATAATTATATACGAGGATAGACGACATGTGTATTATTCAATAACGATTGAATCGCACCCACCCAGTAAAATCAAAATGCAGAAGTGAGGAGTTTGGAAGATATATTTGATAGACTATCAATATATTGAGTAGTGATTGATCTAAACTGGCTAGTGATTGTAGGAGAGGTTGAGCACGGCATTTCCACTTGTGATCTGGTGCGGATGCATGACCGAGAGTCTTCAGCTAGGTGAGTCCACTAAAACTAATGTGGTCAGCATTCAATGTCGAACAATTACAGAGCTATTGATTTTGGGGACTTATTTACCGCTACAGTACTGTTTGATATGTCTCGATTACGCTTGTCAATATTCTTCTTAGCAGAAAGCTGTTAGCGTCCGAGCGACATTACTGACAGACAATCGTAACTATTTTCACCGAACCGTTTTGAAGCTACAGGCTTCAAATTCGTACAAACTTCTAGGCACCATACTTTGTATTCGTCTCACTGTATTTCACTTTCCACATGGTACCGACAACCTGGAAGATGGCAATTACCTTTTTTGCACTGCCCTGTCATCAATCGGAGGTCTTAAAAACATGAACAATACCCAAAGACAAAGTAGATGATGACTAGAAAAAAAAGTGAAAATCTGTAAACCATTGAATCAAAAAGCGCAAACAAATTCAAAATGCCTCGTGTACTAAAAAAAACATGAAATATTGCTTTCGAAAAGGAACGATAAACTTGAAGATTACTTCAACTAAAATAAATTCAATGGATGTGAAAACAGCAGTCTTGATGAGTAATTAACGATCCAAGCAGTAGAATGAAATCAGAGCGGGGAATAATTAAGCAGTAGAAAAGACACGAAAAATTACTGGAGAAGGACCAAAACATGCTGTCGGTCTTCTGTCCTCAGTACACAAATCTTAGTCCTATCACACACTTACAGGCGCGTTATTTGGCTACTGTGTTACTGTAATAAAAACTCGTGGTTAGCTTATTCGTACTTATTGTGATGTTTTCTCGTATGCACGCAAGAAAAATTCTAAATCCATGTGTTTGGTGTTATTTTCTCTTCCACCCATATTACCTCCTTCAACGACTGTTAACGCCACTCGCGATCTTTACTTAAGTAGCGTTGAAATTTCATCAGAACTATATGCCTAATTCGTACCTTTTCATTAGAGATCCCATTTTTGGAATGAGTGATGATACTTTCAAGGTTATTTTATAACTTTAGTCAGGCCCAGTTTCCAGGCTCTTCGAGTACTCAGTCTATAGAGTTTAACATTCGAGATATAGATGTCTCGGTAACGAGAAACGTTTTTTACTGAAAAGTTTTCAATCTAGAAAGAAGTTCAAATAAACAACTTTTTATATGAGCCACAGTACCCCGAAGGTTTTATAACTGCGTGATGTCATAAAGGACAACTTATGATTTATGAGATCTGGTTTATTTATTTTATAAGCTCAATCTAAACTTGATTTTTAAAATCCAGTTGGTTGCTACAAAAATTCAAATATGAATGACCTGGCCAAGACTTCAGTTTTCAGTTCATTCACAACCACTAGCTTGTTTCTCAACTTTGGTTCCTAATATTAGCTTTACCAAATGCTCTTCACAATGCTATAATCACTCCAATACTTTAGGTTTTTGATAAGATTTGTTGAAAATCAACGAGATATACAAATACATCTCTGTTATTGCTTTTAGGATATTGATGTGATGAAATTAGGACAGCAACTATTACTATAACATTAGCTGCTAAATATCACATACTGTATTGAAGGGAATACATTTCTATTTTTGTTTGTGGGACAAACTGTCTTACTTTTGACCTGTCTGATACTTTTATTAGGTTGTATTGTCTTCAGAGCATCATAAAGTACTATAAATGGAAGAAATGAATTTCTTCCCAGGTAAGAGTATAGTGTTTTTTTCTAACATTTAAAAGCACCTTTTTCACTAGGAACAAGCAATATGACAGTTGCAGATGTTTTACCAGCACATGTTGATGTGTGTCCCCAGAATGTCGAAAAGTCCATTGTGGTACTTATTCAATTAATATTAACTCTACTTGGATTTTTAGAGCTGTCAAATCGGTAATGTGCTCTACAGTAGCAAGTTAAAGTCTCCTTTGAGGGATTCTAAGTATGAGTTTTTTCATTATATATCGCAATTGTATTCTAATCTTGTATCGTCTTACGTTTGTAATAGTTTTGAGGTTAATGGTAGTTATCGTGTTTTCGACCAGTGTTTATACTCCTAAATTATCAGGCTTTAATAAATTGTTCGTACGTTTTGTTTTGATTCCAAAGGGATGTAAGTGGCTTTGTTAGTGATTTGCCTGTGATCGTTTAGTGCAAAAATCTTGTTTGGAGAGCATCAGGACCAGGTCAGATTTATTATTATAGTGATAGGCGACTTTTGTAGATTTGCACATCATTCGTTCTTTCAAAGTTTCGAAATCCATGCACATACTTAGTTTAAGACTAAAGATTACTAACTATTTTCAATGACGCTCCTTATTTAGAAACCTAATTTAAAAACCTGATGTTCCTTCTTTATGATACGTTTCTCGGTATCCCGTTTTACCAAGTTTCCCCTTTGTGTGAACAAAATGATAAGTTTATGCCTAATCATCCATCCGATTGCGTACGTTAATTTGTCACATATTTTTGTGTACAGTTTATTTCCGTGTTTTGCTATGCTACCCAGAAATTAGCAAACTTAATGATATTCGTTAAAGTTAGGAAACATTAACGTTTTAAGTTCGATCAAATGTAACTTGAAATTCTGAATTTACAGAAGTGAAAGAGTTTGGGTCCCCTGCATTACTACCTACCAATTACGATTCTAGAGTATAAGCATTTGTTTTTAAACGAAAATAATATTATATTACTGTTAATTCTCGCTCTTTCCTTATTTTTCTTGCGACAGTATTTGTAACTTTGATGTTGCTGTTTCAAAATGTTCCATAGTGAGAAGTACAGTATCTTTAATCTACATTTTAATTAGGTCATTCAGGGATTAATCCTACTATCTAATAATGTATGATAATTTTCATGGTGAATATTTAGGAGTGAAAACTGAACTGACTGTCATATTTGACAGAGTTGATCTTCAGAATCTACTTAAAGTATCTCAAGCTTAACAATTGCTCTTATACTTCGTATGATTTAAGTTTACTTGAGTAACGAGGAAATTTATTTCTTTATGTAGTTATGCTACTATAATTTATAACAAACGAACAAAAAGCGTTGAAGTTATTCACAAAAAGCCGGAGTTTCTTGAGCCTTGTTTCGATGGTATGTTGTAGTTTTTACTGATAGTACTTTCAGATGACGTAATTGAAGTTCCAAATGCAGTGAATGCTGATGTAAGTCAAAACTCGTTTATTCTTTTCATATTCCAATTATCAAGTAATTTAACTAGTTTTAACTTGGAAGATGCTACCTTCAGTTTGGCATACGGAGATGTATTTGACAATGAATTCGAATTCATTCTTTGACTTTCTTCTCGTAATTAGTCTAAATTTTCATCTTGCTCTGCTAAAGTTTATTGATATTGGAAAATTATGTGCAAATCAATGTAGTCTAAAATATTATATCCAGTAAATGTATAGAATTAATTGAAGCTATCAGTTAAATTGCGTGCATTACTTCAAGAAATGCTTATAAGTCAGTGAATATAATTAGTAGGTTAAGAACACAGAATCGCTTTTATATATCCTCCAGATTTTGAATTGTCAGTTAAAATTGGGTTCTTTTACTTTATATGGATCAAACCTCGGTTTAACTATGCTACTATCATTTTTCTTTGCAGAGAGCTACTCTCATTAATGCTTTCGGTTCTGTCAAAAAGCAACGTGCTTTACGTGAGATGGAAAGAAATAAAACTCAAAAGAATTCGGTGACCAATGCTCAGGTGATCGATCGAGCTATGCATGGTCAAACCAAATTAAAATGTGATAACGAAGCCAATTCGAATAATCGTAAGACTTCTATTATTTTCTGTCAAATTAGATTTTATAATTATTTTCAGTTATATATTTACGAACCTTTTTATTTGATGGTAGTGCTGAATTTAGTATTCTAACTGAATTCAGGAATAAGCTTACACTTATTGTTTAAAGTCTGAAGTTAAATATAAGATTTTGCAACTAGTGAGTAAGTTACGTCATTATTATAGGATTACTTAACTTGATTAAAATCTCTCGGTTCAATTTTCGTAACCATCTAGCTGTCCCGACCGTTGCTGCTACCTTGACGTGGTGGTCGGGCTTGCCTATCGTGATGATCCAATCGAGCTATGCTGGCTGGAACAATCGTTCCTCGAGGTCCTACCATGCCAGACAGGTCGGTTGAAGAGCAGTGAGACTAAAAACAGCAATCCCAAGGTCCGAAGGCGAAGTCGTACTGCTGACTGTACAGAGGTGTGAAAGCAGTAAGGTGTTTCCTTCAGACAACCAGCATGACAACGATGCTGCCTTCCCAAAAGGAGGGGTGGGGTTAGAAAAGGTCGGCCCTAAAAATGCACACTTCGCCTTATCCCACGGATTTCCGTCTCCGGCGGTAAGGACTTTTGAAGAACGGAGCTAACACGTCAAAAATCCCCCACAAAGAGGCCGTGTGTGACCGGCCTCAAGCAGTTGTCCCTTGGGCACTGCGGTCACGCTCCCAGGTCGTTAAGACCATTACTAATCCAACTTCTTTTTCAGGTCCCTCAAGAAATACCTTTCCACGGTGTGGGCAGCCGGGAAGTGATACTAGCCCTCATACCCTTAACTGCACACGAGACCAAGTTGATCACTTTCAAATCCTTCCTACACCTAATAACTCTGTTATCTCCACGACTAACCCTTCCCACGTCCTTTTATCACCTCGCACCGCTAGGGCAAACGATTCGAGTACACAGAACGTTATTCCTGGTCTCCTGAAACCACGCCCTAAACTACATGTAGGAACTTTTAATGTCCAAATATTGTGCCAAATAGGACAACAGGCTTCCTTAGCTAGGACTCTAGAATCTTACACCATCGACGTGTGCTGCGTCTCCGAAACGCGCATACAAGATCCGAGTAGTGTGAATCATTTGACCCCACCTAATCAAAATAAAGATTCATCTCGATACACGCTTCGTCTATCTGGAAGCCCTGATTCTGCTTCCCGTGGCCTCGCTGGAGTAGGTATAGCATTAAGTCCTAGGGCAGAACTAGCTCTTTTAGACTGGATCCCAGTAGACAGTCGTCTATGCGCTGTCCGACTAAACGGATCAGTAAAGACCCGGAAAGATAGGGAAACTCGTCGTTGCCTCTTCGTCGTCTCTGCCTACTCTCCCACTGACTGCAGCTCAGACGATATAAAAGATGAGTTCTACAGGAAACTTTCAGACCTTCTCCGAAAAGCTTGGCGTTCTGATGTAGTAATAGTAGCAGGTGACTTTAATGCTCAAGTAGGTAAACTAAGTGAAAGGGAAAAACACCTGGGTGGATCTCATGGTGTCATGGCGAAAAGAACAGATAATGGCGACCGTCTGTTGCAGCTATGCTCCGATAACCGCCTATTTCTTGCAAATACTAACTTTAAGCATAAGGAAAAACATCTTTTGACATGGCGACCCCCGAATTCGTCCCAACGTTGGACGCAATTAGATCACATCGCTATCAGCCACCGATGGAGGGGCTCGATAGAAGACTGTCGCTCATTCTGGAGCACATGTTTAGATTCAGATCATGCTCTAGTGCGAGCGCGTATCTGTCTGCGTCTTACTGGACGTAGGAAAGACACTGCAGGGAAGCCTCTAAGGGTTCTACTTAATGATAGGCAAGCTAAGAATATATTTCAGGAACAGCTAGAAAAACAGTTAGGCAGCCATGTAAGTTGTGTCCACCCCGAGGCAGCGTGGAATGACATCCGAAAAGCTGTGGAAACTGCAGTGATATCCGCTAGTAAGGTAAACCATAACGTTAGGGAGAAACAATAGATCTCAGAAGCATCTACCGCACTGAGAGATGCTCGTAAACTCATCCCACCTGGCTCTGAACATAATGAAGAGCGGAGTCAACTTAAGCGCAGGCTAATAAGAAGCCTACGTAATGATCGTGAACAGTGGTGGGTAGCGTAAGCAAGAGAGATGGAAAAGGCAGCGGCAATAGGTAACAGTAGGCAGCTATTCAGACTCGTTAAAGAAACCGGTATTAGGAACCCGAATATCAGTGAAACCATCTCAGATAAAGATGGGCATATTATTCATTCTCAATCCAGGAGGTTGGATCGATGGGCAGAACACTTTAGGGATCAGTTCAACTGGCCTTCAGCCACACTTCAATTATCCACGATCCCCAGTCGTCCTGAATGACAAATTGATGTAAGTCCTCCAACCCTCTGCCAGGTTGAAAAAGCTATAGGAAATCTGAAGCGAGGGAGAGCAGCAGGCCCTGACAGGTTGACCCCTGAGATTTTTAAGGATGGTGGTCCAGTACTAGCAGTGAGATTGACTGAGGTTTTAGGTAGAATCTGGGAACTGGACGTAATTCCATCTGACTGGTCCCAATCACTGATTGTGCCAGTCTATAAGAAAGGACAAAAGTCCTCCTGTGACAATCACAGAGGGATCAGTTTGACTAATATAGTGTCTAAAATATTAGCTTCAATAATACTAGGTCGCCTAACCAAGGCTCGTGAAGAGCAGACTAGAGAAAACCAGGCTGGTTTTCGACCTGGACGTGGTTGCATAGACCAGATATTCACCCTATGTCAGGTCCTAGAACATAGACACAAATTCAGACGTCCCACAATAGTAGTATTTCTTGACCTTGAGGCGGCATTTGACTCTGTTGATCGTGAGGTTCTATGGCAGTGTTTGTCACTGAAAAGAGTACCAAAGAAGTACACAACACAACTGGTCGAGTTAGAGCCTATGGCGAACTGTCATCAGAACTGATTACCTCAAGTGGCGTTCGTCAGGGCTGTCCACTCTCCCCATTCTTGTTTAACTTTGTCATTGACATACTTTTAGAGATAGCACTTTCATCAGCTAAACCTCCAGGAGTTGAACTTTTACCGGGAGGCTCACTTGTTGACTTAGAATACGCCGACGACATAGTTTTACTCGGTGAAGACGCTGACAACATGCAGAGTCTTCTGACCACTATAAGCAACTATGCAGGCATGTTCGGGATGCGATTCTCTCCCTCGAAGTGCAAAATGTTACTTCAGGATTGGGTTGCAGCGACACCTGAACTGATGATAGGGAGTGAAGTAGTTGAGCGTGTAGACCACTTCACTTATCTTGGGAGTCTCATCAGCCCTTGTGGTCTGGTGTTTGACGAAATCTCAGCACGGATACAGAAGACTCGTCTAGCTTTCGCCAACTTGCGTCATTTATGGCGTAGGCGAGATATCCGTCTGGCAACCAAAGGACGGGTTTACTGTGCAGCAGTTCGTTTCGTCCTACTTTATGGCAGTGAAACATGGCCAATAAGAGTAGAGGATATTCGTAGGCTACTAGTGTTCGATCATAGGTGTCTTCGAAGCATTGCTCGTATATCCTGGGACCACCAGGTAAGTAATGCAGTTGTTAGGAAACGAGTACTAGGTAGGGATGGCAAATCGATTGATGAAGTAGTGAAACTTCATCAGTTGAGATGGCTGGGACATGTGTTACGTATGCCCGACCACCGACTGCCCCGACGTGCAATGCTTCATGGTGTAGGAGTAGGTTGGAAGAAAGCTAGGGGTGGCCAGACCAAAACGTGGCACAAATCCATGGAGTTACTGACAATTGGACTGAGCCATGTTGGTAGGTGTAGACTACCTGGTTGGGATTCGCGAGATGATAGCAACCGATGGTTAGAAACCTTGAATGACATGGCTCAAAATCGTTTGCAATGGCGAAGGTGCATCCACTCTTTGTGTTCTACCAAATTCTAATCTTCTGAATTCCTCATGTCTTTATCTTTTTCTCTTTCCAAATTTATTTCACTGTACTATATTCCTTCAATAATTTCTTCAAACCCTAATTTTTTGGATTTCTGATTATACTCCTACTACTTCTACCACTATGGGATTTGAATCGACAACTGCATCTCTGTGCTAATGTGGTATGGCAACTCGAACTGATGTACGTACGTACGAAGTTCTACGTTGTGACTGACTGACTGAACCATCTAGCTGTACGTGAATTTTTCAATAAGCTTTAGCTACAATCGCTAACATATATATTTACGTTGTGAGTGGCGAGAGCGAAAACCTATTGATTTTCGATGAGTCTTTCCTAGATGCCATGAAAATAGTTGATTTTACCTTTTACTTTCAAACATATTTTAAATGAACGGTTCTTTATCTTCAGCCTGGAGTAATGGTTTAGTGGCTAAAAAAAACAGGTTTTAATCAGGATTGGTTTGCATGTTCCAGTCGCCCTCTATCTTTTGACTACGCTATTCATGTGGTTTCTGAATAGAGTAATGAGTCATCCAATGTGATGTAATGCTCCTTGTTAATTTTTTTGATTGATCCTATTTACTTACTAATTAGACTACTGTCTGAAAAAGCGAAATGCATTTCATATCAGAAATTGGATTACTCATTTTTCTTAAGATGCTATTTGTTGACAATAATAAAATATGTTATGTCATTTAAATTCACCTTTATTGTCTTTCCGTTCTTACAATTATCTTGTTTATGTATCTGAAGTTTACCAACATTTAAAAAGTATTAATTCTGATTATTCTGACTCTTACCCTATGTTCATTCCCTCCTCGACTTAGAAAGGGTAGCGTAACTGTTATACCCCGATGAGAATAATGAATGGTAACTGTTGGAGTATATTTCTGGATTAATACTACACATATTATATAATTGTTAAGTAGCTAAACTATGCGTATTCATATTCCTCTTATTATAAGCTTCATTTTGACCCATAGACTATTATTATACAATTTACCGTTCTTGAGTTCTGTCCAGTCTATTCATCACAATCTCCTACATTCACAGCCACTTTTGGCTAAATCTCGTACAAATGTTACTTTCTATTTTGTGGTACGATGTGGTCTGTTTGGTTTGTATGCAAACTCAGTGTGTCTGAAACATGTGATTCATATCTCATAAGCTGAGATCGGTGTTCTTGACTTAACAGGCTGGGTTAATCAGGAATAAGGACCGATAAAGACTCTAGACTACTCGCACGGGTTTTACACGTCATTGGTCCGGTCGATAAATCACAGTTCTCTACTTGGCGGTATCGTCACGTGATATACTGGTAGGGGCACAAGGCCACAAGTTATAACAGTAACATAAAGATTACTTTGGTGAAATCCATCCATTTACCTCATATAATAAAATACACATATAAAGGCTTCTGTAAGTTCATTGTTACTTAACCTTAATGATTTACGCTTTATTTTTGTAAATTTATTTAGCTGACAACGAAATGGATTGCTCTAACTCTCAAACTGATGAACGTTTCCGCCTTCTTCCACCAATAGTCCTGAAAGCTTCTTGTCCTGAGGATGTTTATCCTTATGAAAAATTAGTTCCTCCTAGAATTTCAGAAGCCTTAAATTCGGAGATACAACATATTATATCTGTTGATGTCGATTCAATTGATGCTGTAATAAACAAAAGTATTTATCCTCAGTGGATAAGAAATAAGCTGTGCAACTTGTGTACAACTAAGCCTGAAGGTTATATAAAACATGTTACCAGTTTGGTGTTTCTCAGTCATATGTTTGCTTTGTTTTATTTGCCTAACCGGGATCTGATGCGCAAGGTTCCACTTCCAGATACACCAAATACTGTTAGCAAATATCTCCTTACCCAGTTTACAGCATCAGTTAGTCGAAATGGTATGGGACGTCTAAAAGTACGGTATGTATATTTTCCTCACTGCTTTAATGTTTCACATTCGTTAACTGTTTCAAAATGCATAGTTTTTAATCAAATCGTGACAGTTCAATGTTAATTAACTTTGTTGTACGGTACTTAAACTACTACAAATATAATGAAGTGCATGTAAACTTAAGTTTGCCCATGGAAAATCTTCCAACATTTGTTTGTATGTCTAAAAATGTATTTCGGCAAAAACTTTTGGTAAGGAATCCTTCCTGTAAGCAATATCGTGAATAATTCTCATTTATTTGAAAAACTTTTGATTGAAGACTATTACTATGGAGGATCCACCTAGGGGAGTTGGAAAACCCTGATTCCAAACAAGTGGTGCACATGGGCTCCAGGATCCTGAAGGAGCAAATGGTGTATAAGCCTATTGTTGGTCACCGGCTACCATGGGACCTCATCTCTTTACGTTGCCCCACTGCCTTGTGTACTAGACCTCTGGGTCAAAGGTTCGGGGAGTGTCCCCCTGAAGGAACCATCTGCTTCTATTCGGGTGACCGGAAAGTATTTCCGCCCTCACACAAATCGAATAATTCGTGTGGCGCATATGTATTTGGTGTCTTCTTGTACTGATGTTTATGTGTTTAAATAAAATGAATACTACCTTTTACGACTTCAAAGACCCCAAACAGTGGTCATTAATAGTTTGCCAAAGTTCTATTTTATTATTTATCTCAACTTCCATATAACACAGAAGATAAAAAAATTTTCTAACGCCAGATTGAAAAAGTGCCAGCATCTGTACCCCGACCTGTCAAATACATAAAATTCATTTCATCCTACAGAAATATCTCTTGTTTTCTTTTTAAAACTAGGCCGACCCCCTGTACATTCCCCAGAATTTTAGACAGCCCTTTATTCCGATAAACCAATTTATTCACCGGGGTTCACTACCAACAGTAGAAAAAGCCCCGGTCAATTCATTATTAACACCACTATTAATCACTATACCAACGGATGTGTGCCTATCTCTTTTGGAGACCTAGCAGTAATTAAGATAACTTCGTCCACGGTATGAAGTTGATAGTTTTTCTCTCAAATGTTTGGCCAACTGATTCAAATATTGTAACATTGATCTGTGATTGTTCTAAACCAAGGTCCAAACAACGAATACAAAAATAAATGTACTTTCGGGTGCTTCACTCTAGTTGTAGCCATTTACTTCATTATTGTTTGTCATTTATGAATTCTGATTTTGTTTGTAATAATTTAGCGCAATGTCACCAATGCTTCGTGATAAATTGATTACTTACATGTTAGTCTTGATACTTCATTGTGACAATTTTAAGACGACGGTTGATAGTTTAACTGTAGACTTCAAAATTGGACGTGAAAGGTGAGTATTACATTTCACTATTATACACATGTGAGTGAATTGTTTTTCATATTATTCACATAATTGCTATGTATTTGTATCATGCAAGTCAGCTAATGAAACACGTAATCCACTATCTTTATGATAGCTCATCTCTTCACCGTTTTTCTCAGACTCTGTACACGTGGAGTTTTCACCAGGTATACCACATTCCATCGGCAGTATGAAGATATTAAGTGCGAAAATAATGAAGAAATTTAGTGCTATCAAGTCAAACCTTGTTTTTAGATGGTAACCTTAACCCATAACTATCTTTATAGTATAAGGCTTAGTTAACTTTTAGCCTATTATATACTTGAGATCCTAAGATACCTTTTACGGATAAAGACTACTTTCCTTCGACACTAGGTGGTTCATTTTGTATAGAGTTTATCAATTGTGACAGATGAGATATATCTCATAAGTCGACTATCTAATAAATGTAGTAAGACGTGAGAAATGGCCATTGCATTTTTTTCCGTTTTGCTGTTGGGCGATAATTTAGATCCCTTCCTCACTATATCCCACTTTTCGCTAGTGTATCATGCCAGTCAACTTAGATGGAAAATTTTAAGGCGGCCTGCTTGAACATCTGGGCAACCTGTTCCTCTCATACAGATATTTTAACAAGTTATCTAATTTTGTTTGTTTTAATACATCATTACGGCTATTATTCGTATAACCTATTGAGGTGCGTTTCTGAAAAGTGTACAACTTTTCGTTGTACAAGTTGAAAAAAGGCTCAATCAGAGATATTGTGGTTGCTGGTAATATACAGCGAAAAGAATGTACATTATTTACATGTCGATTGACTGGACTGCTAACTTCTAACTGGCGATCACTCAATATTTGTCGTCAGGATCAACCAAGAAGTAAGAAACGGAAACTTGTTGAAATACTTTGTGCTGAGAATTCTATGTTGTACCAAAAATATAATATTGAATAAAGTTAATGATAATAAAAAATAAGTAAATCCGAATTTGTCCGTACAATACACATCCGATTTACTTCTCCGAGGACTGTTGTTTACTTCATTTCTTTCCAGCCAGTGCTCTACATTAGATATTCATGTAATGATGATAAATAATAGTTCTCACTTCAGTTTTCCTTTACAGTCATAGATAGCTTCATCGACTAGTCTTCTCATCATGAATGACTGCTACATTTCATTCCATTGTTTTAACTTCGCGAACAATATTACTTAAAAGTCATTGGTTTGATAAGAGTGTTGACGGTTTCAGATTGGTTCATGAGTAATATCACACTTCATTCTCCTGTTGTAGGCAAGAATTTGAGGGGCAATTAAAAGGCCAGGTTTCTCGTTTTACAGCGTAGTTCCCAGTACTTACAATTTCTTTTCTAGATACACATTATGTTTGCGAATAAAGTCATCTCCATTGTTTACTAGTGCTATTTGGTTTCAAATTGTTTTATGATTCTTGTTGGAAATCGTTGAGTGATGTGTAAGATGTCATTCTTGTTATCACGTTTATCTCTGTTATATCTAAGTTTTTAATTATTCACTTTTATGGGGATTCATTTTGTCTCTTAGGTTAACTCAATTTTTCCAATATTTGGGATGTAAATGTTCAAAGGTTGAAAATACTCAAAACAAATCTGAAGTTAACATGGTAGCTGAACTGGTGACACCCGTAAAGTTACTGGATCTCAAGTCAAATAGAGCACCACATTGATTCTAGTAAAACAATTGGCGACTGTATATAAAGTTGTTCTTTTGTTAAATATTCATTCTTTCTTTGCCTCGGACTAACTATTCAATTTTAGTTAGATATGTCACTATCTGAGAAGTCTCAAGGAGTGAGGATATACCAAAATCACTGAATCGGTCACACGATTAATAGAATTAACAAAAGAAATAGTGTTGGATATTGTTCTAACAGAAAGTAAAGAAAACTATCAATTTGACGTACGCATCTACGAGATCGTACATTGGAGGAACTCCTAGTGACAATATTTATACAGTTTAGGTGAGATTAAAAGGATATTAATGGTTGACTTGGTCTTCCAGTTACTAAGTCGCAAGTTTGAGTTCCGCCCTATCTATTTCAAACTGAGCAGCCAAGCAATATCACTAGTTCTCACACAAAATTGTCTTAAAAGATATCAAGTATACTGTTCTGTAGTTGATCATTGAATTGTATAGTCATCAATCAACTTAATGTCTAATTTGCCTGTAACGCGTCATGAATAGAAAGACAAAAGTTGAGCTCATCACTAAAAAAGTATACTAACCTAAAAAATAGATGAGTTAATAGGCAGCTTGGATTAGATGAAAGTGTAAGAAATGACTTTCGGAAGATGTATACTTTTCTACTGATATAATCTGATTTTAAACTAAACTGTATTAGAATCAAAGAAACCACTAAACAAGCTTAGAACGATTCAATGAAAAGGCCTTTCTTGACTATGCCATTTACTAATGCCTTACAAACGTATTTATAATCATTTTATACATTGTAGTGCATAATTAAATACAGAGTTGTTGCGTTATTAACAAGGTTATCAAGACTTAATTACAGTTATTTTGAAGTGTTAATGCAAATAGAGAATTCGATAGTTTTCTCTCGAAGTTCATGTAATTTGCTTAAATTGTATTGATTTGCTGTAATTAGGTAAATGCACATAGCCTCTGTCACTATTTGTATAAAACAGGAAAGTTAGTGTTGTTACCTTAGTCGTAAAACGGACGTGCTTTAAAATAGTATCATAGATAAAACAGGTCGATATGTCAAGAAATAATATATAGATCTTCAAGCAATGAGAAAATATGGAGCGTGAACAGAAACAGGAAATGCATCTTTCCATCCATTCTCAAAAAGAAGACCCATTTTCTGCGTGAACTTACATGTAAAATTTAGTTGTGCATTTGGCCTGGTTTTTTAAAAGTTACCTAATTATGCACTGTTTTTCGGAAGAAATGTAACCATTCGACGTTTGACGAAGTGAGCTTTTCAATACTTATGCTAGTATGTATTCACTTGATTCCATGATAATCAGTTCTTTAAAACACAGGTGGAACTTACACTAGGACCCTCATAACCACAGATGCTGAGAACGCTAGAATTGTGCATATCAATAAAACAAAATATTTAACAAGTAGAAACTCAATTCCCAGGTGTCTAGTTTCCCCTGGGTATTCCAACTTTTTAAAAAGTCCACTCGACGTTATTTAGAGGTATGGAATATCTAGCTTAAATGTCCCCATCTGTGTGTACACACTGCGAACAATGTAGCCAACGAAAAAATGAGGTCCAATTGGAAACGTGCTTTGTATATTTTCTCTAACAACTATGATTTGTTTTTTACTGCCAAATTACTTTACGTTGATTTCCCAACAACACTGGTGTTTTGTAAAACTTTCTAATTACACTCCGACTTGAAAAGAAACTTATCTGCCTTCTTAGCTTTACTACTTTTATTAGGAAACATTCTTAAATTAATGCTGATAACTAATCACTACGTATCATCTAGCAATCACTTCGCGTAAACTTAATATACTTCTTTCAAGTCAATCTTCAACCTTCGGATTTTTGAGTTACAGAGCATTTTGTTATTATTAACTTTGTTAGGATTTGCCTATAAATCACTATTTAACTGCTTATTTCTTATCAGAAATTAAGAGGAAAAATACTGCATGGTCATTAATAAATATTTTTTAATTCAATATCTTTGCAATGTTAAAATAAAATAAATTATACAGAAGTATCTAGTCCAGATACGCGTGAATAAATATTAATAGCAAACAACGATGAACTATACATAGTCATATATCAAGTATTGTAACAACTTGAATTATAACTCAATCACTTTTTAAGAATATTTACAATCAGAGAACATAATATTTCTCTTTAATTTGTATCACAGTTAACATATTTGCAGTCATTCATTAAAATAAACGGAACTGGTAAAAATGGCATAAGAAAAGTGTGAAATTCCATTTCATGATAAGCGATATCACATAAATTATGACAGCAGCTGTTACTGGCCACAATAGAACTGTTGTACGCTTGAGAAACGGTAAAGCTGAAATATAACAAACAAAGTATGTTGTTTATTATTGGTCATGTATAACTGTAACATCCAATACCTGATAAAATCTCGAGATCTGATATTTTGTGTCAAACATGATATCTTAAACAATCTTCAATAAACATCTGGATGGGGGCAAGTATGCTTAAGGTCAATTTAGATATTTACCGTATGAGAGACTCAACAACTAACGAACTTTATCAAATGTCTATTATTCACTGTCTGTATTAATAATTTCAAAATTAACCACAGTATATCTAACCAGTTAAGATTTGGACATCTCATTTCCAACTTGTTTACTTTTATTCTTCTCCCTATTTATCTTAATGATAGCTTTGTTCTGCTGTTTCCACTTTTTTTGAAAACTATAACGATCTATATCGAGTGGTTGGAAGTCACGTACGCATACTGACTAGTCAAAGCATTTTTTACTTGTAAATTTTTTGTATATTCTATCATGAATAATAATTATATTAGTCCACCTAACAGACCACGATAACTACACGGTTAACAATTACAATAAAATGAAATATAACAGTTATTTTATTTTTCTAGGGTTGTTGCACACGGTTTTGATTAAAAAATATCAAGAAATTACTGGCTAAATACAAGTTAAAACGTGATGTGAACTTACTACGGTAACCCAAGAATGTGATATAGGTGTAGTAAGTGAAACTCATCAACCAAAAAGTATTACCCAGTAACCTCCCAATGAACCAGTTTTGGAGAATAACTAAAGATTTAAGGAAAAATCGATATAACAGCCAAGAATATTGAAAAAATGTGAAAACGATTTATTTTCTAATCTGTTGAAGAAATTGAAATAGTCGTAAGGTATAGCTACTTGCTCTTTGTGTTAATATTGTATGGTGTATGCGCACGTGTACTTATCAACAGGAAAATGTTTCGATTATTATGAATTCTGATACATACATGCATTTGTGACATTTCTATACAACGAAATATGAAATAATCTGTTATGTACGATTATTTACAAGTTACTAAGCCGGAAAAGTGAGTACACCAAATAGTATTTTAAATTAGTCAACTATGTAATACTTTGTGGTTGTGCAAGATGCCCTTTCGTAATGGAGAGCACGTACAAATTACTACTATTTGATTTTAAATATCTTTTAAGCACCACCTGAGTATGATGTAATCAAGTAATTAGTGCGAACGATAAAGTACAAGATAAAAATAATTGGTTGATTAAACTAGGCCTTTATCAAATGGAGCAGTTGGACTGTTCGGACTCACACCTGATTTTTACTATAATGTAGAATTTCGGCTAACAAAGCAGTATGTTAAGAGGGTTGAGAATGACTAAACAAAAACAGCAATAATCGACTGTTGATATGGCGTGATGCAATCAAGCTTTGGTTTTAATCTCAAAAACTAATTATAAGTATATATAGTGGTCTGATTAGATGTGTATAGTGTTGAGAAATTGCATATTAGGAACCAATAAAATCAAAAGAAATTTCGAAGTAAGCAAACCTACTGTACAGAAAAGGTAACTGTAACAAGTGCAAAATGCACAGTGCTGGGAAAAATCCATTTAGATGAACATCAAAGGCGTATCCCCATTCCACTTCCGGATTAGTTTCAACAAAACGTCCCAATGTATTGAGTTGTGAGCGACTTTTGGATGAGTCGACGAAGAAATGATTTGTAATAATCCAGAAGAATGTTGCCTGGAGAAGACTAATTCCAATGAAGTCGACGAATACGACCCACAGGACGAACTCGACTGACTGGATTGCGTTTAACGACATACAAAAGGCAAACCCCAATGAAGTAACTACAGTGTAATGAGAAATGAAGTAACTATTTAGATTTACTAGAAGAATTTTAGCGTTAATAACTTACAAGGGTTCACTGAGAAAACAGATAAACTTTAGATAAATATGTATTTCATGAATAATGGTTGACAAAGTACTTATTTGGAAGTCGAAACAGTGGGATTAAAGCTTTAATAAAACAGGTGTTAATGAGTAATAACTTTCAGAGTCTGACTTTGTATCAAAAATGACCATCGAGTTTAAATCTTTGAATGAAAGGATTATTTAAACACAATGCTACCTATCTATAAGAAATAAGGTAGAATCTATACAATGTCTAACTCGTTACAGAATTGGGTTAAAAATGAAGTCAAACAACTGACCTCATTTGAAGTCTGAACAACTAAAAGTTATTTTAGTTGCATTTTCTTGCATAAGCAAGTTACATTTTAAATAATTTTGTCATTATTGTTTTTGAAAACCTTAGTTTAGTACACAGTATTCACCTCATGATTTCAGGAATAAATCACGTTTTCACACTTCCAAACACGTTAGTGGACATGTAACCTGAGTGAAATCATATGCTTGAAATATCCCATTTGTACCTAACTTAAGGAATCTGAGTATGATAACTGTATTGTAATATCCAATCCAAATTACCAGCTATAACAATCTATGGCTAAAGGCGATTAGTCATAGTCAACATAGAACCTGGTATAGGTGCATTGGCCCAAGTTTCAACATCATATCAGCACAGCAAGGTGTAGTTAACAAACTGAATATCAGAGAAATTGTGACATAAGTGAACCCTCCGCAACTGATCCTGAGCCACGTCACAACGTTTTCAACAACTGATAACATCGCGGGAACCTTAACCAGGTAATCTTTACTTAGAAACACGTCTGGGATCGCTAGGCAATGATCTTATGGGCTGGTAGTACTTCTTGGTTTGCCTGTCCCTAGCTTACGTACAACCTGCTCCTACTCTTGTGAATATTGGGCAATGAGATAGGCGGTAGCTGGCCATACGAAATACGTATCCCAACCATTACAGTTAAGGGAGATTCATACTTGTATCAAATGATTTGTTACGTGTGCCTGGTACCCTGTGTCTAACACTAGTATTGCATACTGAAAGGTATTAACATTCAATAGCAATGCTTCGAAGGCACCTATGATTTGACACCTGTTACCATCATATTTCCCTTACACGAAAAGATCAAGCTTCACAACAGTGAAGTAAAATAGAGTTCACGGAGCATAGTCCCGTGTTGTTTCAAAGATAAACATTTCGTCCATGCCACAAGTTAACAATTGAAAGGAGGGCTTGTAGAAACTGTATGATGTTATCAAACATCAATTTATCAGAGCTTACATGGAGTCCGAAGAAAATGAAATGGTTGATGCCCTTAACTAACTTAACCCCCGTCACTATTTTGTGTTGAGACAGATCAGTCTTGAAGCAGTATCTTACAATTAAATTGAGAAAAACGGACCCGATAAGTGCTCGAATTATTGTCAAGGCAATTACAGAACTCTATCTTGCTTTTAAGAGATAGAACTATTTGTATTCTAATTCTATAAGTGAAACTCCCAGCAAGAGTCCGATCTCAGAAAAGTAAGTAGTCTTTTTTCCAAAAGTTTGTGTTTGACAAAATCAAGTGAAAATAACTGTACAGCCTTGACGAACACTATCAATTCTGATAACAATTCACCATAATCTCTAACTCAACCAGCAGTATTCGAGTCAAGGGTGTTTATAAGGGATTTTCTGTTAGTGATAAACAGTCGCACAAAACCTAGCTACCAACAGAGTAAAAAAAATACCACCACTATTGGATGTTATGTGTGATTATGTCCTGGGATTTGACGAAGTACATCTGATCCACGGTTTAATTCAAGTCGATGAGCATATATATATAGGGAAAGTTTGTACCCCCGAAGAACGCTATTAGCAAGGTGGTTTGCAGCAAAAATTGACTGCCAACGGTGTTCAGGTGAAAAGGCTTTATTACACCGACTTATTGTCTCCGAACGCCCTCAATGACAGATTTTGTCAATAGATTTTTCGGTCAATAGCAAGTTAGGGGAAGTAGGAATATGAGATAACACTCGTCATTTGAAGGCTAAATGTAACGAATAAAATGTGGAATAAGATACGGAGGTATATGACGTTTCAATTCTCTGGGAAAGCCGCAGATGTATTACAAAATAATCACAGGGAACGAGACTCCACCAACCCATGTAAATAGCTACGAGTCGTACAAATTAATATCAGACCTTGGACCAGCACCGAATTATTTTCTCTAATCTATTCCGAACCTAGCTAGTATACCATGTGGAAATAGATAAAAAATAACGAATGATTTGAAACTATTTCAGTAGAAAATGATGAAATCAGGCGTTCACTCGGAATTGAAATGAGCGTCCTTAGGCTATTACTTATTATTATTATTTAAACATATCGGTACAAAAGGGCACCAGATACACATGCGCCACACCCTAGTGCTATGGAATACAGCGTATTACACAAGTAGCTGAGCTAAAGAAGGCTAACCCGAAATAAAACTGGCATAGATAACAGTTTATTGTGTACTAGTTATCAAGTCGAGTGGTTTCAGGTCATTAGGTTTTCATACTATAACCTGGGGTTCTAAGGAGTATTCAAAGTAATCTTTAAGGAATCTAGACTTGTATTTATTATTAGAACTAATAGCTTTGTCCAACATTATATTTTTGTTGCGATATAGAGTTTTCAACAAGTTTCTTCCGTAAAACAAAAAGCGATAACTGAATACATGAGTACATAAATTAAATAAACTACCTGGAATTGATTCAATCACAAAAGTCTGAATGACACATCTGTGACATGGAGACTCAGCTCGTTATTCGGGCACTAAAAATTGCGTTCTCAAGTTCAGATACGTGTCCTTTCAATCTTTTCTAATCAGCCGAGTAAAGTTGGAATCCTAACATAAACAAATGTTTTTACATCATTCACAATCCAGTAGAACACCGGGTCAACCGTCAAAGAAGATGCTCTTTAGTCACTAAGTAACCTGTTAAAACCTTGTTTCAATCACTACAGTTACAGAGACCGGATGGTAATATTAGTTATGACTCAAAAGAGTTTATTTCAGTTTCAATGTGAAACCGAAGTTATCAATGTCAAAAAATACGTGGGAATATATTCGGTGCAGTTGATGTAATAGGCCACCACAGTGGTAGGACGTAAAATGCAACTGCTTTTTTCGCACTGTCTATCTCATGTTTCGCATAATTTACTATCTTCATTAAGAATGAATACATTCTGACGATACGTATAACTGGCTTCGGGACTTTTTAAAAATTATGAATTCCAACAAAAGCGCACAGTATTTGAGACGAAAGTAAAGAACTCAGGGTAAATTTGTTGAGACTTACAGAACAAGAAAACCATCATCAGGACTAAAAATGCAGGATCATCTCTTGCCCATTGCTGTCGTGAACCTGAAGATTTTACATATTATAAACTATGTACGTACATTTGCGATAATTGAAATTCCTGAACACACGTTGCGGTCCAACAAAGAGTTGCCACATCTGCCATAAAGCGTATTCAAAATCCATGTGTCTAACATGAAACAGTCGGCGGAAGTATCGACTACGTTTCTCTGCTGCAGATAGAATTCTCTTGACTGAATGTGAAGCACATGAGTTGGAACAATTAAATATTTTTTCGAACATAGGTTTTGCAGTCTGGTCGACTAATTTAATGCAGGTAGAATGTCCGAGATTGGCCATCAAAAAACATAACGCTAATTACTTTGGATCCCGCTATGTGATACAATAGGATCAATTATCAATGTTAAGGTTATCGTGGAATATCAGAAGACTGTAATTGAAACATACAAACCTTTCGTTTAACAATTTATTTTCCATATTTAATAAATTTAATTTATGCACAAATAGGGGTGTTTTGCTCACTAAAATGAAAGCAAACATAGTTGTTGTAGCGGTAAATAAATTGTACTGTAGTATTGTAGTATTGATAATCTATCAAATATATCTTCCAACCTCCTCGCTTTTGTCTTTTGATTTCACTGGGTGGGTGCGATTCAATTAAAGGTGTTACTGGTAAAGTGTTGTCAAACTACAATACCTGTGGTATCTCCATTGTAAATATTTCATTTTTCAGTAATACGGGTCGAAAACTCTATTGAGGTCAAAAGATGATAAATAAAATGCACTTTAAGGATGGAGTTTTGTAATTCGATGTTTTACAAATCTTTCATTGTGCATTGATTAATAATTATTGGTCAATACATTCAAGTCATACTCTTAAATGAAGACAATAATCTTGTTCCCGTACCGCATATTCAATTATGGTAAATAATTTAGGAAAAAAGGAGCCTTTACAATGTCTTGAAACCAAAGATGCAGACGTGAAGAAGCAGCGGCTAGTCATCGTTTATAATTAAATGTTTACAATGTCTGTTGTAACGGCCAATAACTTAAACTTCTAGAAGGATTTAACTTAGATGGAAAGAACTTAACTCTCATTCCGTATATGAAAAGAATACTAAAATCCCCAGTTTGAGCCTAAATTCAAGGACATTATGTTATACGGTTAATTTTTAGGCTTCAGTATCATACAGCTAAAAATCGGGGAGAAAGATATTAGATAAAACCGTGATTTTATTTAGTGCTCCAATGTCGGAGGGTAACAAGCTAGAGAGCAGAGAAGCCTTTGGGAAGAAAAAGCCGAACAAATAGTATACAACGCATGGAGCGAGTACCAGTCCAAACAAACTTAGTCTCCCGTAAGGCCTAAAACATGGAGAAAAGTAAACTCTCTTCATTAAGTGATTTAAGACTCAGCGCATGCTACAGAAGAAATCCTACTAACACATCAGAAACCATCTTTCTAACGGTTCACATTAATTCTAGTTGGACACGAGAAACCGTCGAGCGTAAGTGATGTCACTAGCAGATCAATATGCAACCAAGAACCAATCAGTATGGTGGTCCACATAGTGCTTGAACTGGCGGGCAGTTGTCAAGCCGAGACTCAAGGACACGACGTCCAACAATGGCGATGGCTATCACGTAGCGTTGGACTTCCCACCATCATGGTTGTTGGCGTATTCTGGCTATCTCATCCGTTACACTTCCGACCGTTTTGTCTTCTCATTTGATGGCTGTGAATTTCAGTAACCAAGAGAACCAAACTGGAGCGCTTCGGACCCAAAAAATGCTCGAAGAATGACCCCTCGAGCCGCATTGCGGGAGCCAATCTAGATAGGTAAGGCAACGGAAGAAAAGCCAAATAAAACACTTATCAGTGTTGTTCAACCTCGATCAACAACCCACAATACAGGACGGAGATTATTGTCCCTCTAAATAGACGTACTATACAGGATAGGAAGGACGTAGAGGAAAGTCCACACAGTACTGGTCGACCAACTTCAACCAAGAATTTATTCCATAGGTGGCTTGTCACAGCCATCAGAATTTCAGGACCGACAGGACATTTAGATGGCGTGATGAAATGGAACATGGACAGGAGCCCTTGGACGTAGATTATTTACTGACAAATGATAAGCTTCTGGTTATGGATGTCCATCTCTACGCACCTATAGGGAGCAGTGACCACAGCATAGTCTTGTTTAACGTAGTCATAAACAAAGTGCTTTGGAATGATAAGAATGGTCCCTACCTTAGCTACAGAAGAGCAAATTGCACAATACACTTAATGGCCACTATAGGAGTGAAAGCTAACGGTGGATGACCACTGGAAAGTAATGAGGAACATCTATCCTACACAATATACTTTAAGCACACGACTGGTAAGAAAGATCCCGAGTTAAGTGTTGTACAGAACGCAGGCTATTTACAAATAGGAAAGCTTGACACAGGTGAAACGTCTCCCTAAATGATCCTAATTGTAGAGCTTACTTAGTATTGAGAAACAGATACAACGCTCAAGTTCTAAGCGATAGGCATTCTTAGGTAAAGCCAAAGTGTAAGGTAACCCTAAATATCTCTACGGATTTCTGACTAAAAAGAAACCTAAATAGCAGAGGATCTCCGTTTCTAAAGAGCTAACCGACAATGATCTTACTGATCTAAAGATAGCAGAAATCTTCAATCACTTCATGGACTAGCGAATCTAAAAACCTACATGAGTGTAATCTGGTGTTCTGGGGAATATTCGACTAACCCACAGGTTAGTACTGGGAAAACTAAAACCTCTTCACGCATGTTAGTTACGAAGATGTGGTAAAATCCGAAAAATACTTGATTGAGTTTTACAGGGACCTTAAAACAATAAAAGGGTGATAGTGGGCAATAGGTTAAAACTTAGCCTGTCAAAATATCATATGATGGACATTTTACACTAGCCAAAACAAACACAACTCTCCAATTCATGGGAAGACAACTTAATTCGATAATCCCAGAATTCTTCCAAACTCAAAAACACATTAGGCACGCCAAGTCACCAGAACACGAGTATTACACTAGAACATCATCATGCTACTCGAAACATGTATTCGCCCACGTTTTCCTATCTCCTGCTTGGATCAGCTATGCCTGATGTATGTCTTGTAACTTACCTGCTGTTATCACTACGATACGTCAGTAAATACTTCCTATTTCGCTTATCATTGTCTTCGTTTTCCATTCAATTCTTATATGCTGTTTTGCTTTCACCTTTGATATGCAGTATGAGCTTCAATAAGCATTCACAGACCTTACAGTAATTGCTTACAGCAGTCTTGATAAGTCAGATCACATGTGGGTATGTGACATATACGATATGAATGCCAGGGATTTGCTGAGCAGCATAATCATTTTCTCAGTGGGTCTAGATAAACAATTGTCAACAACCCTGATAAGAAGCAGCCCGAAAACACATAAATAAACAGGGGGGGTCCACGTAGGTAAAGGAGAGGGTCTTCAACAAAATTGGTATGCATCAACAATAGTGAGGGTATTCTGGAACTCCAAATCACCGTAAAATTGACGGTGTTGGACTCAATAAACTTTGCCTCCCGGCACGGACTCTCCGTGTGCGACTGTTGTTCCCCAAACTTCCATTGTAGACAACTGGTTCCTCGTCAACTGAGCTTAAACAGACTAAACGTCACCATTGAAACTCCCGAGGGTTTGTACAAAAATCATCTAAGAAATCAACCGTGATATCCACCCCCAGGATTGTCCAAAGAGTCAACAAAAAGCAGAGAAATCCGGATCGCAGTATAACTGCAGGAAAGGACTCCACCATGGTACTCAAAAACCTAGAAAAACGATCTCAGTTTACGATGATTCTCTCATAACCATGGACCATCAAGGATAAGGAATCCACGTATAAGGGAAAGGAACTACCGGCTTGTAAAACCATTTGTACATGGGTTGTCTGTCCATTAACATAAGGCTCATCCATATAAACAGGAACGTGGATCACAGAAGGCTTTTACTTGAGGCCTTGCCTGGTGGGACATCAATTTAGCATCCAAGATTTGGATTAATCTGAAGGGAGCCATCTGCCAGCATTAAGTAAGACAGTCATATGTCAGGATTATCCATCCCTTTTTGTCTCGGTTACATACATGTCCTGCAGTCAATTTCGTTGAGCACAAGCAAAGCTGACAATTCTACTGGAGCTCGGTTATCAAACCTCATTGAAGATCTGGGATTATTCGAAAACTTGAAGTTAACAGCTCGGTTGCGTAACATTAAGACGCTGCCATGCCTAGACTGCATTCTTACGGATGATGAATTTACATTTGATAACCTCTCAATTTTAGCTCCCCTAGGAATAAGTGATTATGTCGTTGGTTTTATCAGCGAGACTGAGTTAAAATACCTTACTAACTAAAGGAGTTTGAATTACAAACGATTGAATATATCAACTTTACAGTCAATCTACAACAGGTGGACGTGGACGCCCATACCCAACTTGATGTGGAAACTCATCAGGATTACTTGCTGCACGAGATATTATGTACTACAAAAGAGTCTGTCTCACAGACAATACCCAAAAGTTAAAAGCAACATACAGTCATAAAGAATTGCACTCTGCGAATGCTAAGGTGCAAAAGGTACCTCCAAGAGGAAGGCAAGCGAAGTAGTGACCGCACCACATATAAGCATTTCAAACAAGGGATGAAACAATGCACAAAAGCAATAAGAGAAGACAGACTTCAGTATAAGGTGAAGGTAATCGATAAGTTCTTCTCCAATCGGAAAAGTTTATTCCATCATACAACATCCCTTCAATAAGCGAAAATCGGAGTTGCCTTATTGGTAGAGTGAACAAATGAGAAGTAACGAAGAGTCAATCGATGGCAACCAGAGGTGATTCGAAGGTCGAGCGCATTATGTTGGGGTCAGTGGGTCAATTTCTTAAAGATAGAGTGGCATATATATGAATGAGATTTGCGTATTTCATTCGGTAACCTAATAAACTTTCTTGCCTACTCTTGTGTTCTCGCTCAAATAGTCAGTTTGGGGTTAGAGCGTATCAAACCGTGTATCACTATCAGTTTTTGGACACTACATGTCACAGAACTCATTGTTAGATTTTAATGAATAAGCCAACAACGAGCTCTAGACAGAACATTATCTTTAAACGTTTAAACTGTCACATACGAACTACGTCGACGAGAGCTTCACCTACAACTCAAAAGGACCCCCAGAAGTAAGCTTGAATTAGTGTATCAGGAACTGCAGCATCTAAACAAGAACACCTCCTGATCCGGATATGGTTCATTTTGGTATACTGAGAGAAACATCTTTATTCTTGGCAAAAACGCTTGGTGTGATGTTCTCGCATTCGCTAAATTGAGGTACGATTCCAGGAAATTGGATGGTGGAGCACATTAAACCAATTTTCAAAGAAGGCTGATGCAGTGAACCTTCAAAGCTGTCACAGGTATCCGGATTTTGACAACGTCTTTACACATAACACCTTCATAATCGAAATATACCAACCCAACCAAATCAGAAGTCCGAAAGGAAGTGGTTCGAGGATATATTCGGAAGACTATCAATATACCGGAAAGAGTTTTGTTTAAGCTGGCTAACGACATCAGCGGATGCGTAGCACGGCGTACCCACCTGTGATCTGGTGCGGATGTGTGACGAGATGCCTTCAGCTAGGCATGTCCAGTAAAACTAATGACGTCAACATCAAATGCCGAGGACTTACAAAACTATTTATTTTGGGGATTTGTTTACCCCTACACCTTCAAGCTACCGACCGGTAACATTTCTCTCAATACCTCCAGGAGTCCCTTATATACTATAGTCTACGTGACTGTTTATTATCCGTGAACTTCTTTCCACCCCAACAGAACGGTTTCAGGAAGAGTCAGTCTTGTATAACCAACCAGCTGATTAGAGTGGACAGATAGACAACAATGCTTGGTCGCAAAGGGGAGGTTGATGTTACACACCTTGATTTTGCAGAAGCCTCTGATAGGGTCAACCATAAATGCCTCATCAATAGACTCAAACTACTTGGTGTCAAATCACCGTAAATAATATGGATTACTTTCTATCTAAATAAACGACGTTTTAGAGTCATGGTGAAATCCACATTTTATCAGGATAGCGGATGTTTTAGTGGAGTCCTCAAGTTTTTAGCACTAGGTCGTCATTTCTTAGTTTATATAAGCAGCCTTTCTCAGCAAGAATCGTCTGACTTATTGTTTTTCTCAGAATATGTGAAACTCTGGAGAGAAGTCTCAACCGTGATGACAAGTTAGCATTTCAGAAGAACCTGAATCGAATTTGAAGTTAAGCGAGTGACAGAAGACTTACTTTTAATGCTACAAGCTGTAAAGTAGTTCATCTTAGAAATGTGGCAGACTACTCACACAGCTTAGGCAACTCCTCTCTATAGATATCACAAGTTGGAAAAGATCCGATGTGTTTGTACCTTGTGATTTGAAGTATTACGCTGACTGCGACAAAATGCCTATGGGAAAACCTTGTACTGGTAACAATGAAGCGACTTTCGGGCCAGTTTGATGACAGGACTTCCCACTTGATCTCCAACAGTTTTATTCGACCTCATTTAGAGTATTGTAATATAGCGTATCCTCCACCACCCAAAAAGCATAAGAATACACTGGAACGTATCCAAAGGCAAGCCACGAAACCAGTTCGGGTATTCGAACTTAGAACGAGTTCCTCGAATCACTGGCAACTTGGTCATTACAGTACAGGAGTCTCAGAGGTGACCCAATGACTTACAGCATCCCACACACTCATGAATATCCTCTTAAGTTCCTCCATAAGCTCAGTCCCAACACAAACCGTAGGAGTAACATCCGGAAACTGGAGACGCGACATAGGAGAACGGACAATAGGCACAACTCCTACTCCTCAAAAGTAGTCAAATATTGGAATTCGCTGCTGGCTGGGCTAGTTCAAACGATCTCCTAGGAGTCCTTCACGAGGGAACTAGACGTATTCTCAAGGACGAAGGACATTATCTCTCATTAATTTGCCAATACTTTTTCTCTTTTTACCGTTAAATATACCCAGGTTCGCATATGATGGCATTGATCATCCATTGCTACTGGATATGGAGGCCTGTTAGGAGAAGGCATATATTCCATCCAGAACCATTTGTACCGATCTATAGATGTTGAAAAACAAATATGTTAGGTGAATAAAAGCTTGAAGCGAAGTCGTAACCGTAATATTATTATCTAAGCTTAAAAGTCATGGAATAAGTTGGAATAAGACTGATTTTGTTCTACAATTGTCAATTGCGAAATGAAGTCAGCAACTTGTTTTTACATTTCAATGCTGTAGGTACTTTTTACTTGTAGTTAGCCACAGTTATAAAAATGACTGTTGATGTGACTTCCAGGTTGCATGAGCAGTCTGAACTGATAATGACTCTAAAGTTAAGAGCTGATTCTGAGATGGAACGTCGCAAGCAAGCTGAATGTAAATTATTAAATGAATTGAACAAAAATCACGATCTTCAGCAGCAGCTTTTGGAATGCCAACAGAGGCTAGTAATTGTAATAATAACATCATGTTTACTATTTACAGAGTTTCCGATGCTGAAGTCAATAACCGTGTATTGCGATCTACATTAAATGATCTAAGTCATGAACTTTTAAGCCAAACGCTAACTAAGAATTCAAACACTGATTTACCGAGAAGAGATCTGTCTGTTCAAACTGGAAACGAATTTTGTCAAAGTAAAGTAGTTTCAGTTGAGGAATCAAATAGGAAAAGTTCTAAAGAATATTTATGGAAGTTCAGGTTTGCCGCAGTTATAATACTACAGTATATCGTTAAGACAGCTGACAATGATAATTCTGCTTATCTTAAAAAAAACCAAGATTATGTGTTACATCAATTCTATTGTATTATTATCTGCCCAATAAAATTCATTTAAATTGACTCAGATCAGAACACGATAAGTCCAAGGGAAAGGTGTATTTCAACTGAAAAGATTAGTAATGAAAATAAAATTTATATAAATTTCAAATAAGGAAACGTTTGATTCACTTAATAATCTTAATTTTTTCCATTTTGGTAAGTCAGAGTATTCAGATTTGAGTTTACATTAGGCATGTACCCCTTAGGATTTCTCGCTGAAATCCACTTGTATCAGTTTGTTTAGTTTGTGTTCCTGATCTGTCTATCTCGTTAGCTAATCCATTGCTACTTTCTTTATATCCAGTGAACCAGATTTGATTTTCTCTGGTGTTTAAATCCTACAGGTATGTAATTAAATGTTAAACGTCATTCTGTAGTTGTTCGAACTTCTGGGAATACAAACGCTTTAAATCAGTTGACATGTAATCAAATTGAGTAACTAACAGACACATCGTATATTATGCTACCACTTCTATGCAAAATTTGATCGTTTATTTCTTTAAGGGGTTTATAACTAGTGTTTATTGACCTAAAGTTATTTATTCATAGACACAGAAATTGACAAATCTATCCATCGGTTCAAGTTGATAAACCATCTAAGACGTAGAAGAAGATATTATGTGGGCAAATGTCAGAGTAATAGAAATAGTAACAGTTTGCGTAGTAATTAAAAAACAAGAGTTAGGCCGTTAATTTATTTGTTTTGGAATGGATTTTGATGGCTTTGTCAAAACCTGCTATGCAACCATCGTTGTGCATCTAGAAAGGCGGTAGTTGCGTATACACAATATATGACTAAAAATAAGTTATCATTTTGTGCTCTAAGGTATTGTTGGAATTGTTTTCAAGTTAATCCGTTCCTTTGGGACTCATGAGCTGGAGCTAGAACAATAAAGTTGAAAAATATACACGGAATTACGTGATACGATATATTTGTAGGAACTTATGATTCTCTTCCAGTTATAATCCCCTCAAAGCGTTTTGAGATATACCAAAAAATTGCTCGGTTTGTTTGTTTGGGTGGGGATAGAACAGTGTTTATCGACCACACTGACTTTATTTTGTTTGAATGCAGATTTGGTATCTTTTCTTTCTATTGACAGATGAACTTCTTTCGTCCAATGACCACAGTAAAAAACAGAATTAGCCTTCCCCTATAGCTTGCTCACTAAATTTCAACCTATCTTGTTCAGAAACATCTGGCTGTCTTTTAATGAATACAAAAGGTTTCAATAAGTGTTGACGGAAATATCCATCGATACAAGATCCATCATATCTGGACAAAAAACATAGGGTTCTGCTGTCAATTAGGTAAAATGTTCCATTACGATATAGTACATTGAAGAAGAACTCACAATATAGCCCATCAATAGGTTCCAAAATAGTAACGAGTGGATTTTGAATGATCTTGTCAAAAGGTTCCATTAATAATGAACTAAGTAGATCTTAGATTTGATTGCACAAGACACTGATATCAGATGAGCTATTAATCTGGAGACAATAAAATGTTAATGATTGGGATTATAATGTGTTTTCTACCAAACAGTCAACTTAAACGAAGTCACTGAAATAACTCTCTATCGTAGGTGCTTCCAGTAGAGATTATTGCGTTTGGAGACTGCAGCTCAATGGATACTCAAACTCGAATACTCTGACTTACCAAAATGGAAAAAATTAAGATTATTAAGTGAATCAAACGTTTCCTTATTTGAATTTCATATAAATTTTATTTTCATTACTAATCTTTTCGGTTGAAATACACCTTTCCCTTGGACTTATTGTGTTCTGATCCGAGTCAATTTAAACAAATTTTAGTGGGCAGATGGTATTGCAGAAGGAAGCATATCACAAGTTTGATTTTCTTCAGTGAAATGATCACATTATTAAGACGCTGTGACGTTCAATAATGACTTTTTAGCATGTTCTAAAACGATTTAGACTTCCGCTTTATACATACAATTGAGTATTCACTTACGTTAAGTTGGTTTTATGAACGGTATCAAGACAAAATACTTTATTAGAGTTCCATCAGTCATGTTCGTCAAATATTACACTGGCAGTCACTGTTTTAGATTCTCTGAATAATGTATTCATGTCAGATACTTAGCTTGTTATTGCCTTCAACTTGGTCTTGAAACTTACTAGCATCAAAATTTAATTCGCTGTTGGTTTAATGGTATAAATATAATGCAATGGTGACACAAATTCTCATTATATGACAAAAAGATATATTCATCGACTAAAATGTTCAGGGAATTACTCCACATTTTTGAAATGCACTAGTTGCTATGTTTTTAAACCTGGACTAAAAATATATGCAGTTAGTTATTGATATGTTGTTTAAATAAGTTTAGACTTTAGACACCTTAATTTTGCCTTCTTTTGAAAATTTTTTGAAATAGAATCAATCTACATACTCTGTATCTTTTAAGTTCAGAACGTTTAGCGGCATTCTTGTCGTCTACTGATTGTTATTAATTTTACTTGTTCATTACGATAACTTAGATTTCAGAATGTTTAAGAAGTCCAAATCTTAAAACTATATAAATTTTCCTGAAAATAAATGGCATATAAATTCATCTGTTTAGGTGAAGTTAAAATATCATTTAAGAAAATGATATCACAAGCAAGAGTTTGTATAGAATACTTATTAATAAAAACGGCGAAGTTCTGTTTATAAGAGAAACATTCAGATGGTAGTAACGTTTCGAAAAACATGATGTTATTAACTATATGGTCAGTTATTTGAATTCTGCCATAGCCTTACTTTTCTCTTATTCAAATCATTTTTGTATTGTCTTATGATGAAATAATTGTCTTGATAAAACAGTGACAGAAATGAAACAGATAGATTAATCGTTTTCAGAATGGATACTTAGTTAGTTAAATAACCTAACGTTAAACTAAGTATACAGGCATTCATTTGAATCCTCATTATTTAGATGCATGAAAATATTTTAATGACAACGAGATCAACAACATAGGCTTTTGTAAGTGTACTTTTCCTGGTCGTCTACTTCTCTTTCTCGATATTTAGTGGCTTTTACCTTACATATAGGATGTTAAAGAGATATGCAACTCGTCTACACTGCTTTTGTAGTGGCTTTTATGCATTTGAGTAATTTGAGTCATATGATGCATAATCACAGTATAAGTTGCAAGGAATATATAGTACTGTTTTATCTGTATTTAAAGGGAGTTAGAAAAGGAGAATAATAAACTTTCACAATTGATAAATGGGATGAGATCACTATATACACAAAATCTCAAAACAATTCAAAACCATTTGAATTGCTTGACAGACTTAATCTCGACAGTTTGTAGTTCTTATTTAAAAGTAAATCAAGCCTATCATAATGATAATATCAAGTGGAGGAATGAAAGACAAAACTTATCCTCACAGCTAGAGAATGAAAAGCATTTAACTGAAGTAAGTAATTTTTTTTTAAAAATTGTTTTGATGGCTTGAAAGATGTCCTTATAGTGTGGTTGATGTAGTTGATTTGACAGTTTGATTGAAGTCACCAAAATTCTACATAATTTCGGCTTAGTTGTCTGAAATTCAGGAAGGTATGAATTTTCCATTTTAATACTCAGTTACGAGACTTTATTGATCACTTCGAAATATCACTCAATGGTTACTTAGTGGTTAGAGATAATATGACAACAAATCATTCGTGCATTTAAATTTCTAGAACTGAATTAAATTCTGGCAGTTACTCTTCACGCAAAATACTACCTGATTCAACGGTTCAAAGTTTTTGGGATAATAATAGTATGTTTAAGCTTAAGTTAATGAAATGCCGATAAAACAATGGTTGTAAAATATAAATCGAGAAACTGAATTTTGGAAAATAGACATATTTAGTGGTTTGAGCTGTACAGTCTCCAAACGAAACAAATTACGCAGATTAAAATAGATTGAACTATCATTTAGAGATGAAGACATCCTGAATTTAGCCACACAGTGTCAAACTCAATATAAGCTAATTAAACTTTATTGAGGACATTTAGTTAGTATAATTAGACTGCTAACATCTGAACTAGCTAACAGGTTAGTACTGAGATATATCTGTGATTGCTGAACCAAATCACTGCTCACATGAATTTAAACCGAATACATCAATTAATTCCTAATTGTTTCACTTACAGTCGAGCAGTACTGTTGAAGATTCATACGAAATTCAGATGCAAGTTGATTAAACATTTACATTTAAGGATTTTTTTAACAGAAAAATTGTGGACATTTATTGACTTAGATAAATAAATATCAAAACATTTGCTCTGCAAAAAATGTCCGGTAGTAGATAGATCTATGCCACCTAAGAAATTAGCTCAGTCAAGTATTTTGTGTTGTACGATTTCGGTACAAACTAAATTAGTATTGTAATTTAGATTTTGTAAGGTGATAATGTTATTGAGATTACTTTCAAGATATTGAATGGTATTTTGAAAGTTTGTTATTGTAATGAGAGAAAATTTAAGATGTCCTTATCTTGCCTCGATGTTTTTCAGAGGCAAAAAATACAATCTTTAGGAGGAGTTATAATGGTTAATACACTTGTTGCATAAATGTCATTTGGAAGCATTTCATAATAAATTATCCTCAAGTGATATTATTATTTAAAAAAAAAATGGTTTGTGGTGATTTATTACATGAGACCATTACAAATTCACCATTGTTTATGAAAATAATCCCATCTCATCTGGTTAAGTGAAGGAAAAGGAATGTTGAATAAAAGCTTCATACTTAGTTGATTAACTCAAGATATCAAGTAAAGTTAAACAAATATCTTTATGTTATCTTCTGTGTATCACAAAGTTTTCAGCATGGTTTCCATGTATATCTTTGGGTATAACTGAAACCATAGGGCTCCTTACCAACAAGCCTAATCTTTATTTTCATAGAAGATCGTGCGAATCATTTCTCCTACTTGGCTTCATAAAGAACAAATTAACTGTTGACTGACTGGTTTCATTTCTTGTTGAGAAGTTTGGAATGTAACGCAAATCATAATAGTGAAATGTAATATTCTATTAACAGTTTCTATCACAGAGACTAAAAGTCCAAGGTTTTTTTCTCGATGTTACTATAAATAGGCGTAACGATAAAGTCCTGAAGTAAGAATGATGAATATCTCTCAAGTATCGAAGGATCTACACATATAATTCAGATAATGTCCAGTGGTAATGAAATTTACATTCAAACTAGAAAGAAATCAGGTTTCATTAATAAATTTTAATAAAAATCAACTAATTTCGACAATAACGAACTCGGTAATCCTAAGTTCATTATCTTTTCTTTCAGGAAATTCGTAATAAACTAAATACCATGGAAGCAGATAAGAAAAAATTAGGAAACATCATAAACAAATTAAAAGAACAAAGGGAGTAAGTTGTTATATGGATGAATGAATATTTTTTTTTGCTATTAATTCAATGGAGACTCCTTAATAACAAGACACTTTTGATGGTAGGCTGTTCAGAAACTAGGAAAGAAGATCATAGTGTTACTCTTGAATTAAATTCATAAATCTTTTGCATATTAATGCCTAACTACATAATCAGTTTTGATTAAAGAATAAAATGACTATATTATATGAATATTACTTAGTAGAAAGGTATAAGTTTAGTTCCTTTCCTGCAATCATTAGCTTTCGTTTATCATACAATATGTGGAAATCATTTAGAACTGTATTACTGCTGAGTATAAGGGTATGTGAATAATAATAATAATATTTGAATAGGATAAATTTAAGTTGTGTAAATATACGAGAAAAATTTATGTATGTATTAGTCAAATTAGATTGTCTAATAATTTAGGTGAATGAAATTTCGGCCTAAGGTTGACCAAGGTAAGCGAAGAGGCTGAATATATTTCGTACACACACAGCTCGGAACTTTTGATCTGTATGGCTATTTATTCTGCAATTGGAAGGACTTCGAATCTAACATATATTGGTGGATGATTTCTATCATAATAAACAACTGAAAACGATTGATTTATGTCGATAGTGTGATCCGGTTGATCTAGATGTGCTTGCTTAGCTAAATTGAAAAGTATTCAGAAACATAAAAAGTGTAAATTTTTCTAACACTAATCGATCTAACGTGCATAAACCTAGTCAAGTTTACATTTAGACACTAGCAGTTTCATTTTACAAACAATTCTTGAGTTCAAATTGCTTTAATTTTCAGAGTAGTATTTACTTTAAGGTTGTTTATTACTTTGAGTTACTAAATTTGGACTTGTAATTACGAAAGTTATCGTCAACAAGAATCATATTTATGAAAAACATGTACATAATTTAAGCCATTAATTCATCAAATGTTTCTTATGTTCACTCCATAAAATCATTTCGATCCGTTCATCAGTCTACTTGAATACATTCTGAGTTGTCTCTAATATATAAGTATGTGATTTACTAACTTGACCAAAACATCTGAGATGTCAAAATCCGATTGTTTATGGCTTGAATGTGAACGTGGTTCTTTTAATTTGTGCGTTTTTTTCAGCGAAAAGCTTTTTTTATGTAGTGCGATTTTATGAGCAAATTTTCAACTGTCAAAATTCATGAGTATAATGCTGATTGGTCAATGATATTCAGTAATGCAGTGTCGTCAAGTGATGGCTGATTGCTTGACCTAGTTATTGACATGACGTCACGAATGATTTGAAATAAAGCTTGGAACCGCTAGCTGGCAGAATAGATATTATGTCATAAAATGACATAAGATAACATGATGAAATATCAGGAATGATGGAAGGGAATCATTCTTGAAAGTCATTTACTTTATAATCACTTAAGACTTCAGTTTTAAGTTTGATTATCAGGAAGAGGCTAAATATAAGTCGATAATTTTTATTAAATTTGCTAGTTAAAACTATTTGATCTAATAGTTTTCTAAATTATATACGGTAACTAAATTATTGATTAACTGACAGTCCAATGCATTAAAAATTTTTTTCTTTTACTGAACGAACATCTAAAATGAAACATATTTCATTATTATTTTAGGTGTCGTTTTAATCAGTAGTTTACTTACAAATAAATCTTTATCTCACATTCCCACATCAAGAGCCCCCAAATGCCCTGATACGGACGAGAGTAGGGAAAGTCTGCTCTCCCTCTCGAAATGCTCTCACATGGACACGCGAATATATAGCCTCTGTCAGGGAAGTCCTACTCACTGCCTTCTCGTGCCACGGTTGTTGTTTACGAAATTGAGAGGACGAAAAGCGAATATCCGGCGCCTTAACCGGGTTGTGGGCACGGAAAGTCCACCTAGGGGAGTTGAAAAACCCTGATTTTAAACCAACGATGCACATGGGTTCCAGTATCCTGAGGAAACAAATGGAGTATGAATCAATCGTTGGTCACCGGCTACCATGGGACTGCATCTCCTCACGATGTTCCACTGTCTTGTGGATCAGACCTTTTGGTCAAAGGCTTGGGGTGTTGCCCCCTAAGGAAACCACCTGCTTCGATTTGGGCACCCGGGCAGTATCATAGCCTTCAAAAAAATCGAATGAGATTTGTGAGGCGCATATGTATCTGGTGCTTCATTGTACCAATATTTATGTGTTTAAATAAAATAAATCTGACATTCCTGTCTCTTCATTACTTCGAATTATTTTAGTCTTGTTTCTTTGGACACGTAACAAACAGCTATAATTAACAGCCAGATTAATAGCAATAATTTACAATTTTGTCAAGAAGTAACATTATTAATTCTTGTTCACCACATCGTAGTTGAAATATTTTGATTAGATTTATTTCCCTTTTTAGTTTTTATGCCTTTTCTCTTTAACCATAGAAATGAAATGAAAGAATTTAATGCTAATAAAGAAATAAAGCGTTTAAAGGAAGAACTTGACATTTCTAAACTTCAAACGGAACAAATAAGACAGGTATAAATTTATTTGATTTAAAATTTTTTTTTGATGGTTTATAGATCATAAGCAAAAGTCGCGATTGCTGTGCTAAATTATGTACAGATTAGATTAGACACGAACGTTTTAAATGATGACATTACACACACATACACATTATTTTTGCACTCTTATGACAACAGTTTTCAAGCAACAACCTATCAATAAATTTGGAGTAATTAGGTGAAAAAAAACTTTGTTGTAGTACAGCTTTTGTTATATCCCTATGAGAATTATGAATGACAACTTTTGAGAACTATTTATGGACCAATACTATGTACATATTTTACTGTATAATTGTTAACTAACTAAACTATTCATATTCACGTCCCTCTTATTATAAGCTTCATTTTGAACTATAGACTATTTTTATACGATTTACCGTTCTTGAGTTATCCTCAGTCTATTAATTACTGTTCCCCACATTCACATTTGGCCAAATCTTGTACCAATGTTATTTTCTATTTTATGGTACGATGTGGTCTGTTTAATTGGTATATAAACCCAATATGTTTGAGAATAATGATTAATATTGCAGAAGCTGTTATTGGTGTTTCGGACTTAGCTGACTGGGTTAGGCAGAAGGCAGGACCAACAAGTGCTCTAGACTGCTCGTACGGGTTTCGTGTGTCACTGTTCCGATCGATAATTCGCTGCTCTCTAATTGGCGGCATCGTCGCGTAATATATTAAACAGGCCACGCAGGCTACAAGTTATAACAGCTTAACTAATCAATGATTTTGTTTGGGTATGTTACAATACAGACATTAAATATTGACATATTAAATTATTTTGCCTTAGCACAAAAGTGCTGATGAGATATGTAGTGACTTTTGTACATTCATATATACTCTAAATCATGATAAAAAGTACCTTAATTATGAATACGCTTCCAGTATACCAGACTAATGACCTTCACCTGAATCAATAACATGAATGACCGTGAGGAATAACCACGAAAGTCCTAAATCTTATTGGTTTGATGAAACTGTTCTATCTCCAATAACTTATCAAAAAACAAATACAACAACTTGATGAACCTTCTTTTATTTTAATATAAAACTCACAGGATAATATGCATTAATTACATGACTACACATGAAAAATTAGAAGTTGTAATTTGTACTTAACTAACTTATAAGTAATGTAATAATTAAATTCATGAGTCAATTAAAGCTAGACCACAATGGAAAACCTGAAAACACAGAACAGCCTTTTCGTCCTAGTATGGGACTCCTCAACAGTGTACATCCACTATCCTGTCCACTGCTTCAAGGGTTTTTCATGGCAGTCTAGCTTTAATTGACTCATGAATTCAACTATTAAATTACTATAATATCCACAAAACCTCTTTCTGATTATAAATTATAAATGATACAAAAACTGATCAATAAGTGAACAATTAATTAATGACTTCAGAACATTTGGACAATATCATAAACTAATTATTTTATAACTACATATCAAAAAGATATAATAATTTACCGTACAATAATTTTAAAAGTCTAGTCTTCCACAAATATCCACTCCAGTCTAACAGAACTAAGCCATGAATACCAACCAAATAGGAGGATATAAAACCTATAAAAAACTAGTTCGATTGCTTTGTTAAGAAAGTTAAACTAAGAATAAATATATACTTGTGGATTATTTATAATGTTGGAAAAAGAACGATTGCGGGCATTCGAAACTTCATCTTTTCTAATAATTCAACGTAGAATGGTATAGTGGACTACGTTTTAATTTAATACCACTTACAGTACAAACTTACTGTAGTCTTCTATCAAAGTGTTTTTTATATTGTTGGGCTTTTTGCCAGTGTTGTACCTTGATTATGACTAGAAGTAAATTGATAAACAAACTTACAATATAGTATTTTTCTTTAAAATAACTTTTTGGAGACCTAACGCATCGAAGGACCAATAGGTAGCAATTATTACCACATTGTTCAGTCCATAGTAATATTTAGATTCTATAAGACAAATAAAAAAAATGTAAACGTTAATTTTCGAGACTTGTGTATCCATGTATCTTGATTGAATGTCAAAATTCTTGGGGTTAAATTATAAAATTAGCTTAAAAAGTGTAAACGAATTTGTAAACCAAGCAGATTAATTAATGTATTTGGTTCAGTATGATGGAATTGATTCATGTCTCAAACAATTGATGAATCTAACTCAGAATGCATTAAATTCAAGTTCAATATGTTTTGTTGATATATTTCTGTTATATCGATTGCTTAAGTGTGCCCTGTTAATATATGACGTGATGATCCCCTCCAATTAGTGAGGAGTGAATTATCGATCAGAGCAATGACATGTGAAAAACCGTACGAGCAGTCTTGAGTACTTATCAGTCCTGCTTCCTACCTAGCCCAGTCAGTTAAGTCAAGAACACCAATAACAGCCTCTACAATATGAATCATTTATTTCCAACATACTGGGCTTATATACCAATTAAACAGACCACATCGTATCACAAAATAGAAAATAACATTTGTACAAGATTTGGCCAAATGTGGCTGTGAATGTGGGGAACCGTAATTAATTGACTAGGGATAACTCAAGAATGGTAAGTCGTATAGTAATAATCTATGGGTCAAAATAAAGCTTATAATAAAAGGAACATGAATATGAACAGTTTAGTTACTGAACAATTATACAATAGGAAATATACATATCATTTTGGTCCATAAATAGCCCTCCAAGTTACAATTCATAAATCTCCATGGGATATAACAGTTTCGACAAACAAGAAACTTATTTCTCTTGATATTCTTTATCGATATATATTCAAACCTTGAAAAAAAGATATAAATATTCTCACTGAAATAATCAGATAAATTTGTATCAGTAAAACAAAAGCTGTTTTTGACAGTCCATAATGAAATGAACTGTATTCCATATGTAAAACTAAATGATGATTACCTTTTGATTTATTCTTGTTAATCTTTAAGTTTATTGAGCAATGGTAAGTTTAGATTTTTGGATTTGTTAATATTCTGAATGTTTTGCATGTCGTTAATGTATCTCGATGTACCGTTGTAATTGTTGTCATTATTCTTTTAATGTCGTTGAAAATCTAAGATACTGAAAGATATTGTTAATCGTGGTATATTTCACGAGGTAGGATTCATCAGTATTTCATTCTTTAGGTTTAAAACTAAATTTATCATATGTCTTCTATCAAAATAACATGATGACTTGTATATGCATCACAAGTTACTGATAAAAAAAAATCACTGAATAACATACGTTCGTCTGTCGAACTTTATTACTAAATAACAAATGTGTTGTGTAATATATTTACTGTTCAAGACCATTAAATAGGAACAATATATTTCCTTGAAAAAGTTTGGACCAGATTGCCAGGCGAAACGTTGAGTTTACTTCAAATTTATTCGCTGAGATTTTACAAATATATTATTTCTACTTAATGTCTTACATCAACTCGGCGCCCAAATACTATGAAACCATTTGCTCTAATTTAGATCAAAGTTCTTATATGTTCAAGGTTATCTTAACTACTTTTATTTCTTAACAGTAGTCACTGAATATAACTTTAATTTATTCATGAGATAGATAAAAACTTTGAAAATTGTTTTTTCTTGTTGAGTGTAAAGTTTTCTCTTAACAAATATACGCCAATAGTATTACGATAAAGAGGATATATAGGGCGATACCTATTCACTATCGTTGGTTTAAGGGTACATTTAAGTCATGATCTTAATAGTTTTAGGGATTCAGAATTAAAAGTTGTAGATCTGATATGAATAATACATAAATTAGGACATTTTCTAACGAGTATGAAATTTGATTACATAATTACGTAAACATAAAATAGTTTTATAAGAAATTAATACCTGTGCCATTCAAAAACCTTTTGGAATTCAGAGTTCATTTTGATTGAATCTCTTAAAATCTTCGTGGATACATGTGACAATTGAAATGAAAAATTATAACATAAAATAAAAAAAAATTAATTTAAAAGAACAGATGGATTATGACTAGCAAAACGATTTATAGAACGCATGTTTACTTCTATCTAGAGTTCTTTAGCTTGATGTACTTGCATCCCAGTGTTGGATTTCACATTTGAACTTGGACCTAATATCTTTGGTATTAAACACCAATGTGTTATATACTGAGCTACTGAGTTTAGATGGTTAGTTAACAATTCATACAAGATGCCTAAATGTCAACAAAGACTGATCTTAATTCAGTCTTGAATATCAGTAAAGGTATAATTCGTACCTTTATCAATTTTGTATTTAAGTTAAATGACCAACATATGGAGGAAATCCTCTAACAATTTATGTAATATATTTACATTGACCTTACCATACCTACCTCAGATTAATTACAATATGAAGACTATTTTAATATCTTTTAACTTGTTTGTTTATGTCAAACAATATTCACATATTTAACAGACATATATATATGTATATACTGATTAATAAACAGAAACTTTACGCAATTTAATCATAATGTTTACTTACGCCTGTTACCCCCAATTGAGCATAGGCCGCCAACCAGCATTCCCCAACCCACTCAGTTCTGCGCCTTCTTTTCCAGTTCTATCCAAATTTTGTTCATTCTCCTCATGTCTGTCTCCATTTCTAGGCGTAATGTGTTCTTTGGTCTTCTTCTCCTCCTTTGACCTTCAAGATTCCATGTGAGGGATTGCTTTGTGATGCAGTTGGGTGATTTCCTCAATGTGTGTCCTATCCACTTCCAATGCTTCTTCCTCCTCTGGAATCCGGTTTGTTCCCTCCCACAGTAGGTTGTTGCTGATAGTGTCTGGCCAACGGATCCGAAGTATTTTGTGTAGACACATGTATCTTCTGGATGATGGCTTTCGTAGTTCTCCAGGTTTTCATTAATGTCATAAATGCTCATTAATATAATGTATTAAGGTAGTAGTATATTAACAAATTTGTTCAATATTTAGTTACTTTCAAATGATTTAAATGTACCTCACCAAATTTCTTAAATTTATTTATAGGATTTTGATGCCTATAAAATTTATGCAAAAGAACTATTAGATAATGAGAAAAGATTAAATAAGGAACTTCGAAAGTCATACCATTGAAAGGGATAGAAATAATGAAAGGAAAGCATAATTTATCTTTGGAAAAAAGCTTATTTCTTCAAATAGATTACAGTAATGTATCTATCTATATATAATCTCTAATAAATCAATAAATAATATTGATTTCGTTTTATTTATTTTGTAACAAACTGTTATATCGAGTGAGTGAGTGAGTGAGTGAGTGAGTACATGCCTTGTTTATATATGAGTGATAAGACCGCCAATTGAAGAGGAGTGAATTATCGATCGAATTAAAAATACACAAAAGCCGTATGAGCAGTCTTGAACACTTATCAGTCATGCTTCCTGCCTAGCCCAGTCAGCTAAGTCCGAAACACCAATAACAGTCTTTGCAATATCAATCATTATTCTCAAACATATTGGGTTTATATACCAATTAAACAGACCACATCGTACCATAAAATAGAAAATAACATTGGTACAAGATTTGGCCAAATGTGGCTGTGAATGTGGGGAACAGTAATTAATAGACTGAGGATAACTCAAGAACGGTAAATCGTATAAAAATAGTCTATAGTTCAAAATAAAGCTTATAATAAGAGGGACATGAATATGAATAGTTTAGTCCGTTAACAATTATATAATAGGAAATATACATATCACATTGGTCCACAAATAGTTCTTAAAAGTTACCATTCATAAATCTCCACGGGATATAACACAAACAAAATGCAAACAATCCAGTAAAACATTACAAGCAAATTTGGAAATGGTATCATATAAATGATAAGGTATTAAAAAAAAAGGTTTCTCAATAAATTTTGTGTATGAAAATGTCGGATAGCAGGATAATGTGCTTACAAGAATTCCTACTATATGGCATATCTCTTAGTGATTAAAACATGTGTCTTGATTAAGTCTGTATAAATCTATATTAGTTAGAATAAAAACAGTTACAATTTTATAACATTTGGATGAATTCATAGAAATAAGTTAGCTCTTTTGAAAATGCAAAGACACATTTATCAATAAATTCTTTTATTGATAAAGTTAGAAACTCGTTTTACCTCCAGAAACAAAAAGAAATTTGATCTTATCAAAGCCCGTGTGAACAGACCATTTGTTATGGGAGCTGTTGTATTGTCGAGTTTAATTGTTGACTAATTTGCCTATATTGCCCTGTAGCATCAGGACCTCTTTATCCGATAACAAGGCGACCTCTTAACCAATAACCCAGTGATCATTAATTATGACAAGATAATCTGAATGCTTACTGGTCCTTACAGTCAGAGGATGGAGGTAACAAATAGATTTACTTTCTATTTTATACTCTATTATTTCATGAATCAAAAATCATACAACTACATACCTCAAACACATGTGAGCAAGTAACACAAATATGCATAAGCAAATATTCATAACTCAGTCATTATTAGTACAAAAACAGGACAATAGAGTAATAAAAAATTTTAATAGTTGAGATCATGAATCGATTGAAGCTAGACACCGATGATCTCAACTATTAAAATTACTATAATATCCACAAAAACACTCTTCTGATATTAATAAAAAATCATTTATAAAACTGAAAGATTAAGAAATACAGTAATTGAATTCACTTGGTATTGTTTGTTTGAATCTTCCTATTGATGTTTAGGACTGCAACCTGTCAGTCTCTTATTGACATATGTGCATACTGTGCGTATTGCCTTGAAATAGCCTTTATTTACAAGCATTATAAGCAAAGGTGGATAATGGCTAGCAGTGGAATCCAGTTTGACGCGCGTTTCGTCCTATTTGGGAGTCGTCAGCTGGATGTACCGGCATTTCAGAGTTGATGTTCACTCTGGGACTCGAACCCAGCAACTTTCGCTTCAGTTAAGGCTATATCGAGGCAATACGCACCGTATGCACATATGTCAATAAGAGACTGACAGGTTGAAGTCCTAAACATCAATAGGAAGATTCAAACAAACAATACTAAGTGAATTCAAACTTCGCCTTATTGCACAAGCAAATGGCTATCAGGACTCAGTAGCTGAGTGGATAACGCGATGGCGTTTGAAGCGAAAGGTATTGGGTTCGAGTCCTAGAGTGAACATCAACTCTGAGATGCAGGTACATTCAGATTACGAGTCCCAAATTGGACGAAACGTGTGTCCTGGATTTCACTGCTAGCCACTATCCATCTTTGCTCATAAATATAACAGTTGTTTGTAAGTCAGATGAAAACTTACAAATAAGCAAACATAGTAATAAACTGATCCAAACATTCAATACTTATATACTAAAAAATATAAATGATAATTATCTACAAAATAATTCCACATTTTAGACCTATTTGGAATCCTTGATTCGACACTTACAAGTGGATTCTTCTTTGTGAGAAGTGTCAGTTTGTTATGTGTGGATACAACAACACTCACAAATACGTTCTATGTTTAACATGGAATAAACGATGAAAGCTCCACGACCAAACCATCCAGCTCAGGGAACAAACCCACATCAAAATCATCCACCTGAGCTACAAATCTTCTCCACCATCTCATTCTTATGTTCGCTTCGAATGTATGTAAAGAACCTTACTTTCGTTAAACTTTAATCTAATTCAGTTATTTGTCAGGTTTTAGTGCTATGATATTTCTATAGGACATAGGGATATTGCTGTGTCGGTTGCTGTGTTAAGTCCACATAGCTTGTTCTAGTTTCTGGACAAACCAATTTATCTATTCTATTCAAGCTACATTTTGACCTTGTTAATTATTCGATTATCAACCTTGACTATTTTTATGTGAGCGTATGTGTGTACGTTTCTTATCTTATCACATGTCTGTAACTTGTATTTGTGTGACTATAAATATCGATTAACGCTTGGTTAAATCGAGTTGGCTCACACGCCTTCTCCATTGACCGTCATTTTGCTTAATTTCTTCGATCGTTTGTCTGGATCAACGATTGGATGAAATACACGTATTCGGAATTCATTCTCTTCTTTGACTTATTAAATTCGGTCATTCGCCAACGGAATTTAAGTTGATGGTTATATCCGATGATCGGCAACATATATTTTTTGATAACAAGCAGCAAACGATCTGCCTGGAGTCAGATCTCGCGCCACTAAATATAAGGTGCTGAAATGATCAATTTCACTAACTGTTGATACAATGCTTACTGTAATGTCAATGTGATCGGCCAGTATTAAACATAACAAAGACTAGTTTTTCTTATCAATATTTTAGTGGACTAGTTGATTATACTGCTTGATTGCATAGAAAAAAATAACAAGAACTCAGTAATTCTAGGATTAATTCAGATGAAATAATGAATAGCAAATCGACACTATTTATAAGAATATGTTTTATATAAATGTTGTGGAGATCCAGAAAACTCGTAAAAATCCAAAAGGGCTCCGAAAACGTTGAGAAGCATCTTACCCAATCCGTACTCAATAGAATTTTTGCCGGAAACAACTAGAATGTGCAAAGTCTAATGTCGCGTTTCTGATTGGATGATTACCTATACTGTTACTATGTTTAGCAGCGTTTCAGAAATTTCCGGAAGCCCAAGCTTATCTAAAATACTATATGTATCCTGGGTTTTCTGTACATAAATGAACCTTGGAGTAAAGCGTTCCTTTCATATTTCTTGCTTTTCCTATCATATTCAAGTCGCTGTATTGGTCTAGCCTGAAGGTTACTAGAAGAGCATAGGAACCGAATCTAGCGTCCGATCAAGAAACTTATCAATAAATAAGTAGGACAAACTGGTTGGTTGCAAACACTATGATCTATTCGAAAGGTCAGCAAAAACTGTGACGACAAATAGTTCAGAAGTGTGATTGCCATTCGAATCGAATGTTTCTTTTAGATTCTACGAACTAAATTAATTGATCACTGTTAACAAACACATGATCCTAAATCTAGCGATTCCAGATAAAATAGAAGTTGTCATGCCTTGATTCACTTCTCTCAGTAAAGTGTCTGAGACAGTTTCTACTGACGGCAACCTATCTGCACTAAGAATTAATAACATCAATAATTTAATGGATGTATAAGACTGAGGAAACAACTAAGTGTCATAAATATCAAAATGGAGTCATTTATATCATATTCGACAGTTTTTGATTCCAGAAAGGAAATCCATGTCCAATATAAATAAAGTCACGAATTTATTAAAACTAAAACATGTTCTTAAAACAATAGCTATCATCAATTTTATCTTTCGTGAAGGAACTAAGTGTATAATTTTTAGATTTAGTGTCACTGTGTGCAACATATCTGATGAAACATTACTAAAATCGGTTAGAGACTCTGTATTGTGAGTAGCTGAGCTTCTGGAGAGCTCTTTTTAGTGTATTCATTTTATTAAAAATTGTCAACTGTTTTCCTACCCTATATTTTTTCTCCTATTCGTACTACCTTGTCGAGAGACTGAAAAGGCCTAAACGATTAATTGATGTCTCTGCTAAGTTCATAAATGTCCTTATCGTTAAAAGATAAAACTGAAAACGGAAGAAATATGAAGACGGTAGAGATACGTACAGACTCTCACTAATGATACAAGTTCCCCAATGTCACTCCCGTTTATTTCAATGGTCTATTGTAGCGACACCTGTTTATCCAAGTTATCACGTATTAAAGAAAGCTGTTAGTATAATATGAGCTCTTCACAGTGTCGATCCAAATCTAATGACTAGAGTGTTTCTGACATATTTTACTATTTCCGATAATATGCCCTACAACAAAACAAAAAATAAACTCAAACATGTAATTTAACAGTTCACTATCCCTTTAAATTATTCTAATAAGTCAGTAGGGTAGGTAGCCGATATCGGGACTATATAAATCTACCCTGGAACATCCGACAAACCCTGGTAAGTAGGTGGGGTCGAAGTAATTTCTTTTGGTGAATTTCCGATCATTTTTTATCAGGCTTTACATATACATATAAAAGATTTTTAAAACATTTAAATAATCATTATTTGAATGAGAATTTCTATTTGTAAACGTGAATACTGATTAGAAATTACAGAAAATACATATATGCCAAACTTTTATATCCTAATTCTTAGTTTTAACTGGTAGTTGAATTTAGTTAGTCAAATTCCTTGATTGAACTAAAGTTACATTATTAATATTATTATTATTATTATTATTATTATTATTATTATTATTATTATTAATGGCTTTATTCAATATTATAATCTGGTACAATATAGAATTCACAGCACGAGTTATTTCAACAAGTTTTTTCCCAAAAAATAAAACCAAAAAAAAACAACAACAAAAAACAGAAATAAAATATAAAAAAGGTTTAAGAAAATCTGAGTTTATACAAATTATCGAATATGAGACATGCTTAAGAATACAGGTTATTTACTAGGTCAACTCTAACAGCCTGTTCGTCACAAAGTAAATTAGCTAAGTAAGGTATTACAGAACTTTTATAGATTTGCTTGCGTGCATGAATTTTAATGTATTTACGTCTCGTTCTACCAGAAGATATACAAGGAGAAAGATATGAATGAAGCGGATGGTTAGTATCTGATAAGATAACACCTGCCAAGAGTTTGCAAGACTTAAGATGTCTATCCACAAGCATATTAACAATGACTTCAAAAGATTCACCACATACCTTGCAAACTGCCTTCAGCACTCTACGCAAAATAGCAAAGTCTTTTCTCAAAAGCCCAGCAAAGAATAATGGAGAACAATATAAAATAATAGGTAACATACAGGAATTTACAAATTGTAAGAGTAAATGGCGAGTAATCCCAAAAGCATGCAGCCTCTTTATGTAGTATGTCAAACGGTAAACTTTTTTCGATAACAGCAAAACATGAGAAGACCAAGAAAGATCAGAGGAAAAAATAACACCAAGATATTTGACCTTCGACACAGTGTTTATTAAGGAGTCTCCAATGGCACAAGCATTATGGGATCCCAACATAGAGTATAGGTTCTGTCCATGTCTCAAGCTAAAATTAACAGCTTGACATTTAGATGGATTGAGTAAGAGACCATTACCAACAGACCACCTTTCAATACGAGATAAAAACTCATTCATTTCTATAGGATGTAAGGAGGTAGAAATTGGCATATATACGGTGAGGTCGTCCGCATATTTTACAAAAGTGTTTTCTGTGGAAGATGGCAGATTATGCAAAAAGAAAGAGAAGAGTAGAGGTGAAAGAACAGCTCCTTGTGGCACACCTACAGTAGACAGTAGAGATGTTGAACACTTTCCTTCAAATAAAGTGTACTGTTCTCTTCCAGAAAGGTAGGAACATAGCCAATTGGTTATCCAGCTGTCAGTATCGACGCTGATCAACTTGTTAATTAAGAGGTGTCTTGGAATAGAATCAAAAGCAGAAGTAAAGTCCAGGAAAGCGCATCGAACATACTTCTTACCCTTTTCCAAGCCGAACACTATATTGTGATGCAGAACAGCAACGGCATCTAATGTGCTTCTTTTGCATTTGTAAGCAAACTGATATGGATCATAGTGCTCTTTTATTACAGGTTGAAGTGGTTGTATCAGTAATTTTTCCATTATTTTGAGGAAAGGTGAGGTTATTGCTATGGGTCTAAGTTTCGCATTTTTATCACCAGAAGCCTTCTTAGGTATAGGGATTACCTTTATCTTTCTCCACATTTTCGGTAAGACATTAGTTGAGAAGGATCTGTTGAAGATATTCATTAATGGATAACATAAAACATCGGCACATTTTTTAAAAAGGAGGTTTGGGATACCATCAGGTCCTAAACATTGGGATGAATTCAGAGACTGGAGACATTTCCAGACATCATTTTCAGTGAAACTGGGGACACAATTATTCTTCAAACCCTTGGATATAGGGAGCATGATGTCAGATGACTGTTGAATAAAGGACTTATTTAAGTCACAAACATTTAGCTGGTTATCGCTTCTAGTCTGCCTGTCCCCTGTAATTTCTTTAAAGAGTTTCCACATACTTGGAGAGCTTCTACAAGATAGGAGTTTTTGAGTGAACACACAGTTGAGACGTCTAATCTCTTGGTTTATTTGATCATTTAACTTACGAACTTCAATAGTGTTTTTCTCCTTGTACATCCTTTCTTTTAACCTCCGTAGTCGTTTTAGTTGTGGAGATGTAAGTCGATCAAAACTTAAAAAGAAGGTTTCGGTAGGACAGCAAATATCAAAACAGAATTTAAGATAAGAGGTGATAACATCCGTTGTGTTTTCTATTGAATCATCTGTAAATAATTCCCAGTTGGTCGTACGAAACATGTTTTTTAGATTTTGTAAATTTTCTTCTGAGTAATTCCTATATATTGCTTTTTTGGTATGGTGTATGTGTGTACTCTTTCCATGTTTACCATATACTTTAGGTAAGACACGAATTATACAGTGATCCGAACTAGACAATGGAGCACGTTTGCGAGTCACATAGGCACCCACATCATTAATGAAAACCAAGTCTAGATGAGCATTCAAACGAGTAGGAAAATCTACTACATTTAGGTGACCTAGTGATGTAAGGGAGCTACAGTCACATGAATTGAAATTACCAGATACAATTGAAAGTGAATCACTGAAGGCAGTAACGGCGAATTCAGTAAATTTATCAGTGAAGACAGCGCAGATGTTGTGCAGTCTGGAGTCATGTAGATATTGGTAACATAAATATATTTGTATTTATTCAGGTGTTTTGGACGGAACCTTAAAGTTAGACAGTCAATAAAGTCGTTTGAAAACTTGAAACAGGCAAAAGTAGATCTACACCAGTTAACGTTTACAAAAGTAGCTACTCCGCCACCACAAGTCTTTTTATTGTTTGATCGATCCTGACGATAGATATTAAAATTACATAATGACACTAAGCAATCATCCTGTAAGTCAGTTAACCAAGATTCTTGAATGGTGATGACACCACAATTACGATACATGTTTTGACTTAGCAGAAATTGGAGATAGTCCACCTTGTTAATTAGTGATCGACAGTTAGAGTTAAGTAGCTCGGGAATCGACATTTGATTGATGTTTATTCTCTTTAAAGCATACTGCCAACCACCACGATGTCTCTTATTGTGCTTGTTTGTAATTTTTGCAGCGAAAGGACGTAAGCATTTTATAAACGCGCCTGTGTAGGTTATGCGTTTAATAGACATAATGATAGGTTAAAACAAATTAAAAAAACACCCAGATAACTTGTTGAAATATTTAGATGGCAGAAACAGGTAGCCCAGGTATTCAAGCAGGCCGCCAAAGGGTTTGACGAAAAAGAATATCCCTTGTTTGCTTTTCTCTTAAATTTCATTTTAACCAGTGGTTGTTCCTTGTCCAACTAATAAGTAACTCATGTACTAATGTACATCATTAGAAATTTTCAAAAAATAGAATAGTAGTTTCAATTATATATATATATATACCCACTTCGTCAGTTAATGTTTTTATCTCCTAAAGTCTCTTTCATTTGGGACTGGAGAAATTGGTTTTATAAGCGAATTAGTAGTTCAGCTAATCCAATCAGATTTAAAAATTCATAATGTTAACTAGATTAACACAACAATTAGTAAGCTATATAACTTGATATTACAGTACACTGTTTATTTTTATCAGTAGGCCGATGGAACTGCGTTTTGTTTTTACCAATACGTATCAATATGATTTGACTTCATGAAATAATCCATACTTTACTTACTTACTTACATACGCCTGTTACTCCCAAAGGAGCATAGGCCAAAATGATCCATAGTTCTAATCAATATTATCTATTAAGCGATTTTTATTTTACTAATAAAACTTAACTATTTTAAATAAATTTATCAAACAGAATGTCTTTTAAATAGAATAAACATTCCTATTATATTTGCCAAACAAGTTAATTCATTGATAATTTATTCTTTACCTAAATGATGATGATGATGATTACAAGAAGTAAATGAATGCAAGTATACTAACGAAAACATTTGTAAATAATTCAAAATAACCTTTCCGAGTACTGTGATGTTGTAAAGTAAACTAAAATATACCTTGTTTCTAGGCAACAGTTACATCCTGGAGACTGTTTAAAGTAAGATACCTCATACGCCACTTGATATATATATATATATATATATATATATATATATATATGAGTGAAAGATAGAAACTTTATTCTCCTAACATCAAAATTCGAATTATCATGGACATTGGAAATTCAACCAAGAGAAATCAACAAAAAGTCAGGCTATATCAACTGTTTAAGTCAACTAAAGGATTAACTTGTTTCAAATCTGATGAATTTATTAGAAAAATATGTGAAAGAAGCCTTTATCAATTGAAACCACTTCCTGGAAGGGAATTTAATTTTAAGCTTTGCAAAATTATTATCAAACAGGTAAGAACTTATTAACTGTTTTCCTAAACGTAAAAGTATTAAGGAATTCTAGTTAACAGTGTTGGGAATGTTTAATTTATATGGGTATTTGATGTAAGATATAATTAGTCAAGGAAACTTTAAAAATATATACCTTTGAATATGCAGTGGATTAAAATTGTGTCACAGACTAGTCATTTGATAAGTTTTAATTCAAGATGTTAGTGGTTGGAGGTAGTTGAGATGAATTCATACTACAGGTCAGCTGTGGTCCGGATAACTTAATGGTAACACTTCATACTGGGAAACTGGACCACTTGGTTGTGAATTTGTCCGGGAGAATCAGTCTCTGTCAAGATTATAGGTACGTCTTGTTGACGAGTGTCAAGTAGAATGGAACACAGACTTATGGTTTTCTGCTGACCATTTAACATAGAAACAGTGCATGCACTATTGAGTCGCACAAGTTAGCAACCACATTCGAAATTTGTTAGATAGAATTCGACTAGTAATATGGGGCTAAACAAAAATGACATAGATCACTATACAATGATTAATCAACTGTTTTTTGGCCTGATAAGATATACATAGAATAATTTAATATTTATACCGATACTGAATAATAAAAATAGACATTAGGTTAAAATTAAGCACTTTCCTCAGAATTTTATACATACTGATGATAGAAAAATGCAAAATAAGACGTTTTGTTGCAAATCCATACGAATAGAAAGTAGATACGTTACATTTGGTTTCTTCCACTATTGATCATTTCATATCCTAATCTGTTTCAATGTGCTCATCGTAACATTTAATGTTCCATATAATATGGGGCTTTTTATACAGGTACTGAACTACTAGAACCACATTTAAGTCAGTGGATATTGTCTGTTATAAAAAGGTGAATTTGAAGGAATTCAGTATTGTAAAAGTGGGGATTTGTGGAGATTGTAGCAATTTTGACAGTTGATTTTATAAATCGATTGAAGCCAAACTAAAATTGAAAACCTGAAAGCACTGGACAACTGTCTCGTCCTAGTATGGGACTCCTCAACAGTGCGCATCCACCATCTCGCACTCGCGATTGAACCCAGGACCTTAAGCCTCACGTGCGAACGCTTAATCTTTGGAACACTGAGCTCACATCCAATGGTGTGAATGTCTAACTTCTGAGAAGTCCCACTCCAGTTCTTCCAGGTTTCAAAGGTGGTTTAGCTTAGATCGAATCTATGGTTATATTAACTAACTAGGAGTCTTCTATTATTGATGAAAGATGTCATAAGATAAAATAAATTAGGACTAGTACTTTGAGATTTAATAAAGCGATCACAGCTCCTTAGACTTTTGTCTAGGACATAAAAACCCATTCAGTAATCTATATTCCTTAATATTGTTTTACGAGACTCTAATTTCTATGCTAGTATTTCATCCATGTCACTTGATTATTACAGTGGTAGAAATACTGTTTGATTACAAAATTTTGTAATTGTATACCATTTGTTTAACATCACTAACTACAGATCAGTTAGAACTAAAGAGGGGTTTAAAAACTATTGGTTATTAAATTGTACTCCACAACTGAACTAATAACCTATTCCGATGCAACCTATTTGAAGTCTGTTTATTTCCTGATAAGTAGTAAATGTGAATGTCGTGAGTATATATTCCCAACACAGAATGTGAAATATGTCTATGGGATACTTATTTAGAACAGTGTACACATATTAAATTTAATTTTCATGAAAAGGATAAAATTGTTGCTACACTATTGATTATATATATTTTAACAATTCACCTATAAGGTACTTGAACAATTTATATCAAACTACAATGGTGATAAATATAATCAGATGAAAAGTAGACAAGAATCACAATCGAACGAGCTGTTATGTAATTTAACCAATCAACTTCGTCAAATGATTGTAATGCACTTGAAAGCGTTTGATATTAAAAATGGAGGCCGGTATAAACTAATTGTTTATGTAATACAAACAAATTGTCCAGAAGGAAATTCATCATTATCTAGTATAATGATAGCAAGTTGTGGATTATTTAACAGAGAAACAGACTATTATCTATCTGAAACTATAAGAACTATTTTTGGTCAGTTAATTGTAATTGTTTACGCCTGTTATCATGAATAATACATTTAATGACTTCGTATTAATGAATGAATTTGTTCATATTTTCAACTAAAAATCATTCAAGGTTAGAATGGAAAAAGACAAATCGAGGAACCAAACCTTACTTACTTAGTTACTTACACCTGTTACCCTTCGTGGAAGAGCATAGGCCTCAGGAACCAAACCTAACAGATTTAATTTAAGTACAAGTCAAGATTAATAGATGAAACTATAATTTTTAAACGACCTATGAGCGACGCCAAAGTGACCTTGAGAATGTCTACCTACTAACTAGGACTAAATGAGGGTTATAAACCTAGGTGAGGAATTAGAATTTACAATTGATGGTTAGGGTTAAGGATTAGATTTTGAGTTTTCATCACGAACTGATATCAACTATAATGTCAAAATGATATTTGACCAAATGGATAAATAAATTTCGCGCCAAAATCCATTACCTTATATCTGATTGGTTCGTTCATAAATTATAGTCTCGCCGATTGATCGTTAAAAAATATGCTACATTATGGTGAAGTGCTTATGAAAATAAAGCATTAAAAGATTTTCATACCATTTAACAATGAATGAATTCTACAATAAACTACTAGATAGTAAGCCATATAGATTTATAAAACACTGTAAATATCACGTCTTAGTTTTTCAGTTGACATGCAGTTTTTACACTACTTCACATTAGATGGATTTGGTAATTCACTAAGACTTATGAAGTGTGGTTCAGTGTTGAATAAATTCAACAGTTTGTGACCGGTGAACATCAACTTAAATTGAAGTTAATAAGTCATCATAACAAGTAAATCAATGGCTGGTTTTATAGTGTTTATATATTTCAGATTACTCCATACAACAGAAATTTGTAATCGTGAGAACACTTGGAGAAAATTGTAAACTAAGCCAAAACTTCAAGAATAATAATTAAGGTAAATACAGAAGATTGCAATTTTTACTCAAAGCCTGTAGATAAGCTCGACACTTGCGCTACATAGCACACTACCTGAGAATGGTGATATTGAAACACTTGTAGTTTTCTTTCACTTGCCATGAGCTCCTCATTAAGTAATGGATAAATACGATATCCACTAAGCATGAACCAATACTTTCGTAAGTCAATCATTACTAACCAGAATTCCTTGGATAACAAGTTTAATGAAAAATATATGATGCATACAATGATTGATCGTTTAATCTCGTTTGATGTCGTCAAAATTAAAATGACAATTTCAATACAGGATTCAGGGGTTTTGGAAATGTTGGTCATTTTCAAGTTTGTTCAGTGGTCGGTAAGTCAGTGTTAAATATACCTCGTCTAAAACTATAAATAATCTATTCTGAATGACTTTTCGCTCTCTTGTTATCTCAATACTCAATGATTACTTAAGGAATTGCTGAATTGTTTCAGAATTCAATAATAAATTGTCAGTGAAATTTCAAAGAATCCATTCATATTCCAAACATTGGTCAACAGATTTTGTTTTCCATCGTTTCAGAATATAATGTTAATAAACTGTGCGAAATATACCGGTTTGTATATTTCATGAAAGGAATTATGTCAATAGTTACGTCAAGAAGTAGCAGTTGATAAATTACTTATTATTGTTATAAAGATTAACTCTGATACATCTTTCCAATGGAAATAAAATATTTAATTTTCCATCCGTAGTGTCGCAATTTGGTCTGTGCACTACCGATCCTTACTGAATCTACTATGTCTTTCATCCCATTAATGTTATAACTTGTGGCCGAGTGGATGCCCTGATAATGTTCAACCTGATAACATTGCCAATCAGAGCAGCGAACTATCGATCGGACCAATGATACATGAAAACTGTACGAGTAGTCTAGAGCACTTGTCGGTCCGGCTTTCTGCCTAGCCCGGTCAGTTAAGTCCAGAACACCAATAACAGCCTCTGCAATATGAATCATTATCCTCAAACATACTGGGTTCATATACCGAACAGACACACCACAACGTACTTCGTAGGTTGTTTAAAACCCTAGAAAGATTGACTCGTGAGGAGCAGGATGGTTTTCGTCCTGGTCGAGGATGTAATGATCATATCTTCACCCTACGCCAAATCCACTTCACGCGTTATTTGCCGACGCTGGAACTGGTTAGAAAAAGCAGAGAGGTGGTCAGTGTATGACATGATGTCGTGGTATGAAAGAAAGCCGTGCAGGACTGGCTCCTGTTGGTCCGTCACAACTCCCTGGTTGGGGTTCTAGAGATAGTACAGCACAGTTGCTAGAGACATTATCAGATATGGCTCAGAATAGAAGTCGGTGGAGATCCTGCTGTAAATCTCTTCATAAGGAATGAAAATAAGTTTTTTAATTGAAGGAATTCCTTCTGATTATATTTTTGATAAGTGAACTGTTTCTCCCATTATTTCACTCTCATAGATTAATTTCTGCTCACTGTTGTTCTCCTTTCTCTTGTACGCACTTCGCGATCTCATTGTTATTGTGTGGCGAAAATATGTTTGGTTCCCCCTTGTTTATTTAAACACATAAATATTGGTACAATGAAGCACCAGATACATATGCGCCACACAAATCTCACTTGCTTTGTGTGAGGGCTGTGATACTGCCCGGGTGCCCAAAACGAAGCAGGTGGTTTTCTTAGGGGGCCACACCCAGAGCCTTTGACCTAAAGATCTGATCCACAAGACAGTGGAGCATCGTGAGGAGATGCAGTCCCATGGTAGCCGGTGACAAACAATTGATTCATATGCGATTTGTTCCTTCAGGATACTGGAGCCCATGTGCACCATTGGTTTGGAATGAGGGTTTTCCAACTCCCCTAGGTGGACTATCCGTGTCCACCAACCCGGTTAAAGCGCCGGACATTCGCTTTTCGTCCTCTCAATTTCGTAAACAACACCCCCGCCACGAGAAGGCAGTGAGTAGGACTTCCCTGGGATAGACTGTATGGGCGTGGCCGTGTGAGAGCATTTCGAGAGGGAGAGCGGACTCTTCCCACTCTTGGCCGTACCAGGGCATTTGGGGGCAAATTACTCACATCATGAGACCCCCTTGTACTAATGAATATTGTGTACGAATAAAATAAGATAAAAGATAAATAACATTGTATTTAGTGAACACATACGAAAATTCGGTTCAAAGTAAAAGGTCAATAAAAAAAGCAGTATACAATATGCAAATTAGTTACGGTACAATAACACACTAATGTTCTACAACATTAGCTCTCATAACTGTTATAGAGTTAATCATACATAAAAACTAATACCGTAAATTATTTAGTTGAAAAAGTTTAATGCCTAAGTTTTTGATAATCATCAAATGAGTTGATAAGATTTTACAATAATTATCAGTTCATCAATATAACGTTATCGAAAACAATGAGAATAATGTGCCAATTAATTCGTGGTAATTGATCACACTTTGATTTTACTAAATGAATAGCTCGGAAAAGAAACATTTGACAATGGACAAATGAATTTATAATTGACGTTCTTCATTTCATTTATTCATCGATTTTCATAGCACTGAATGCATAATTTAGTGATAAATTACTACTCCAACACCATCGACGACTTAATGGGTTATATAACATTCCACTGAGTTGACGCGGTTGAAAACCACCTACAAAAGTAAATATAAAAATTAACTGGAAAGTAAGGTTAGAATTAAAAAGTTTATATACAGCTAAGATCAGCTAGTAATTTCAACTATGGAAAAACTAGTCTCCATAAATCTCCTATACCAATGTAATAATAATAATGCTAAGCTCACTTGTGACTGACTTCTGGAGTTCTAATGAGAAGTGGTGACAAGTGGAGTTTATTCCGTGTCGGCTGAGAAAGTTATCGATCGCAAGTAATGGATGAAAGTTTGTGCAAGATTGTGGATTGATTGTGTTATAACAGTCCTTTTACTTTTTACACGTATGTGGGACGTTAATTTACCTTGGACGAATATCTACTCTTGACCCTCGCACTGTCTATTCTACAGGACTTCAACACAACTCAGATCAAGAACACGTGATTAACCTGACTAGAACGTCAATATATTTTCACACGCAAACCCGACACAATCCAACAACAAAGAACAATGGATCAATAATAATAATAAGTAATAAGGATAGGGGCATATATGACACAGTGTACTGTTCTATTCCAGAAAGGTAGGAACATAGCTAATTGGTTATCCAGCTGTCAGTATCGACGCTGATCAGCTTGTTAAGTAAGAGGTGTCTTGGAATAGAATCAAAAGCAGAAGTAAAGTCCAGGAAAGCGCATCGAACATACTTCTTACCCTTTTCCAAGCCGAACACTATATTGTGATGCAGAACAGCAACGGCATCTAATGTGCTTCTTTTGCATTTGTAAGCAAACTGATATGGATCATAGTGCTCTTTTATTACAGGTTGAAGTGGTTGTATCAGTAATTTTTCCATTATTTTGAGGGAAGGTGAAGTTATTGCTATAGGTCTAAATTTCATATTTTTATCACCAGACACTTTTTTAGGTATAGGGCTTATCTTTATCTTTCTCCACATTTTCGGTATGAGATTAGTTGAGAAGGATCTGTTAAAAATATTCGTGAATGGATAACATAGAACGTCAGCACATGTTTTTAAAAGGTTTGGGATACCATCAGGTCCTAAACATTGAGATGAATTAAGTGACTGGAGACATTTTCGGACATCTTTTTCAGTGAAACTAGGAACACAATTATTCTTCAAACCTGTGGACATAGAGAGCATGACATCAGATGACTGACGTGCAAAGGACTTATTTAAGTTACAAATATTCAGCTGGTTATCGCTTCTAATTTGTCTGTCCCCTGTAAGTTCTTTAAAGAGTTCCCACATACTTGGAGAGTTTTTGAGTAAACACGGAGTTGAGACGTCTAATCTCTAGGTTTATTTGATCATTTAACTTACGAACTTCAATAGTGTTTTTCTCCTTGTACATCCTTTCTTTTACCCTCCGTAGTCGTTTTAGTTGTGGAGATGTAAGTCGATCAAAACTTAAAAAGAAGGTTTCGGTAGGACAGCAAATATCAAAACAGAATTCAAGATAACAGTTGATAACATCAGTGGTGTTTCCCAGTGAGTCATCTGTAAATAACTATCAGTTAGTCGTACGAAACATATTTCTCAGATTTTGTATATTTTCTTCCGAGTAGTTCCTGTATATGGCGTTTTTGGTATGGTGTAAGGGTGTACTCTTTCCATGTTTTCCATATACTTTATGTAGAACACGAATTATACAATGATCCGAGCTAGAGAATGGAGCATGTTCACGAGTCATATATATACCCATATCATTAATGAAAACGAAGTCCAAATGAGCATCCAAACGAATAGAAAAATCTACTACATTTTGGTGACCTAGTGATGCAAAGAAGATACAGTCACATGAACTAAAATCACCGCATACAATTGAAAGTGAACCACTGAAGGCAGTAACAGCGAAGTGAGTAAATTTATCAGCGAAAACAGATGATTTACAGTCTGGAGTCATATAAATGTCGGTAACACAAACGTATTTGTATTTATTCAGGTGTTTTGGACGGCATCTTCAAGTTAGACAGTCGATAAAGTCATTTGAAAACTTGAAACAAGCAAAAGTAGATTGACACCAGTTCACGTTTACAAACGTAGCTACACCGCCGCCACACCTCTTTTTATTGCTTGATCGATCCTGACGATAGATATTGAAATCATGTAGTGATACAAAGCAATCGTCCTGTAAATCAGTTAACCAAGATACTTGAATTGTGATGACACCAAAATTACGATACATGTTTTGACTTAGTAGGAATTGGAGATAGTCCACCTTGTTAATTAGTGATCGGCAGTTAGAGTTTAGCAGCTCGGAAATCGATATTTGATTAATGTCCATTCTTTTTAATGCATATTTTTGTAACGAAAGGACGCTAGATTTTCATGAATGCGCCTGTATAGGTTATGCGATCAATGGACATGAGGTGTAAAAACAAATTAAAAAAACAGACTTGTTGAAATATTTAGATGGCAGAAACAGGTAGCCCAGATACTCAAGCAGGCCGCCTACAATGACATCAACACCGTAGAATAATGGCTTAGTGGTCTAGAGGTTAAAAATTCATGTGTTAGACCGAAGGTTCTGTGTCCGATATCCACAAACTCTTATACTAATATACATTAGTGTTTGACTACCGAAAAAACTAAATTATCTTTGACCTAAAGTGGTTATTACCATGATGGTTAATTTTAGACTTATAAATATTGTGATTATGATGATTATTATTTCGTATCATGAAAATAAAGACAATCAAATAACTAAAAGCAAAACAATTAAAATGTAATAAAATAAAATCTACTATTAGAACTTACGCTTGATGCAAGCAATCTGTAGTCGACTAGGTTCAATGAATTTATTCCAATCATGAGTACCACGTGGAACAATACGAGCTACATATTCAGCTACACCAATTCCTAGTAGTAATGAAGCGGCAGTATGATTTATTGTGGTTACAAATAACATTCCGTCTAACTGAGAAAGAAGAGATTATGGATAACATCAATTACATAACAGAATTTAATTGAAAAAGAACGAAAAACTCAACAAAATAATTAGAAAGTGTACAGAGACCAATATTTATTGACAGTTTAGTAGTGGTGTGGTTCACTTATATCCTCTTAAGTAGTATATGGTGATGGTCAGACATAGAATAGTTTTGGCAGAAGACCGATAAGAAAAGCACTGAAATGAAGCGCAATTGGTAGGAAAATACATAAACAATGAAATTAGAGAAGATAGATTGATATTTACAGAAGGAACAGTGAAGATTGAGACAATCGATTGTTATTTTGCAAATTGCCTGTTTGCTGTATGGTTATCAGATCTTAGTAAGATAGTTTGTAATTTGTGCTTAAATACATTCGATTGTCCCCAACTGGTGTTTTTATTCACTACAGTGGAAGTTAAAATACAATCTGATATGGTGAGTAATGAATAGATCGATGGGGGTAGGAGTGACACACAAAGTTAATTTTTTTCCAAACTGTCCATGACATACAGTCACATCTTGAAAAGGGTAATTATATGACTTAATCAATTAATTAGACCTGTTAGTTATAGACCCTTAATTGTATTGTGATGTAAAGAATTGGTCACATAGTGAGTTAGTGATTAATTGATATTAAATACTACTCACCTCCAAATTACACAAATCTGACTGTTAATGAATCACAAAAGTGGTGTATTCAAAAATTATTTCGATTTGTTTCTGGTGTTAAATATATCTATATTGCTAGCCTTTCTATGTTTACTGCACATAATCAGATTTGAGGGTTTTAGTATTAGGGACAAGTCAGTTAAGCATATTCACAGATATAACAAGTGACAAACTCTACATCGATTCTGTCCAGTTTAATGGATTCAAGGACGAAATATACGTGAAATGTAAGTGTTAAACAAGTTGTTGGAGTCCTATGCCAGTCTGTAGCCAAATAAATAGCTCGCCCTATTCTACCGATTTCCGTTTGAGGCGGTAAGATCCCAACAAGTACGGAACTGACACGAAAATTGCTCAAAAAATGTCATGTATGACCGGCCTCAAGAAGTTATCCCTTGAGGTCACACTCACAGGTCACTAAGACCAACTCTAATCCAATCTCATTTTCAGGTACCTCGAGAAAAAACTTTCCACGGTGTGGGCAACCGGAAAGTAATAACCGCCCTTATACCTCTAACAACACTCAAAGGTCGTGTAACTTCGTCAATACCCATTGAAACTATAAAAAAATCATTTATACATTTATCAGTACAAACTTCGGTTTACCAATTCGGTATTTCCGTTCTTAATATAACTGTTTATTATGGAAAGTTTTTGACAAATATAATCAGTATTTTTAGACATGAAAAAAGAAAAGAGAGTATGAAAATATAGAGTCATGTATTTTTAAGTTCAGTTACATTGACGGCAATCTTTCATTGAAGAAAGTATTACATTGATTGAGATGAAGTTAATCGGCTTTTGGCCATATGCCTTTGTAGATTTTCAACCATAAAGCTAAATAATACGAGCAAATCTCTATATTTGAGGTGATCGTAACCAGAATTTGTATGCAGGTGAGGTGTGAAATTTTCGAGGTCGACTATTTCTTTCGTTGTGAGAAGGTAGAGTCGCTGCAGATACTAACTGTAAAGTGAGATCGATAAGCGAACACACCAATGATGAGTGAAACGCGCACCACCACACTAACTTCTTTGACCATGTATTACTATGTCTTTGTTTTATCCACCAATCACAATTTATGTTCATTCTAAAACAATATTCGTTTTATAGAAGGGGTTTTGTGGAGATTTAGTATTTATCAATGTTGAAAGTGTGAGTCAATTGAAGCTAGACCACCATGGAAAACCTGGAAACACTGGACGGCCGTTCCGTCCTATTATGGGACTCCTCAGCAGTGCGCATCCACGAACCCGCTCTCGCGAGATTCGAACCCAGGACCTACCAGTCTCGAGCCGAAGCCCTTAACCAATAGACCACTGAGCTGGCATCCAATGGTGTTAATGTCTAACTTCAACTGATCCACGAAGTTGAGCAACCATTCACCGATTGTCTTCAGTGAGTTCCTATCTCACAACAGACGGGCTCGAAACTGGTAGGTCCTGGGTTCGAATCTCGCGAGAGCGGGTTCGTGGATGCGCACTGCTGAGGAGTCCCATAATAGGACGGAACGGCCGTCCAGTGTTTCCAGGTTTTCCATGGTGGTCTAGCTTCAATTGACTCACGCTTTCAACATTGATAAATATTCGTTTTGTTGACTCATTTTTCCTATTCTCCAGTTACTGTTCGGTATGTCATTTATGTCTCTCCTTTTCCATATGTAATAGACTGTATTTTTATTTGCGTAGTAACGTTGTTAATTTACGTTTTAGAAACAGATAAAGTTTATTAAGCCAAATAGCTTACTTGTTTTGACTTTGGCGAAACCAAGACTCTGTATTCGACAGTTTAGAGAATAGCTTAAAGTTACCACTGTAGGAAATTGCTTCCTACACTGACTTCTGAGGGAAACACACTACTGACGCCACAATTCAGTACAATCAGAAGCACGACTTTGTCCCCGGACCTTAAGTTTTCTGCTTCTAGTTTTAACATCCCCGAACCGGCCTCCCTGGGATGGTAGGAACAACTATTTCACCCAAATATAGCTCGACAGAGTCATTAGGATAAGTAAACTTGACCACCACGGGGAAGCTAGCTACAATCGAAGTTATCGAATACAGTGTTATTGTATCAAAACGCAAAATGTTTTAGTTATAAATATATTTTTGTGATATCTCAATGAGTAGAAAAATGTATTTCTGATGTTTTATGACTTAATGTAAGTCACTTCTTTAGAAGTATACAAATACCCGATCAAGACATACGTTAAGTTACGAAACGTCGGAAATTCCACCTGTAGCTCCTCCGGGGGCTACTACCGGTTCCAAGCACGGATAAAGGAGGAAGGTTGGGCATGGGCTTAGGGACCCCATCCCGTAGAAAACCAACTCGCCAAAAAACGCTAACCAGGAAAAATAATTCAAACCATTTAAACTCTGCCCTGGGAGCTGAAGGAAGAATTATGACGCCTCATGATGAAAGCGAAGATTCTTCGGAAGTCACAAGGCCGACGCCCCTTCTAGCAACCAGAGCAACAACTTTTATAGGTACATGTTACGTCCGGACAATGTGGGAGACCGGGAGAGTCTTCTACATTGCTGTGGAAATGAGGAAATACAACCTGTAGGTGCTTTGAATCAGTGAAACACATTGGACGCAGGTTGGACAACAACGAATAGCTTCAGGAGTTTCTGTCATACTCCGTCCATGAAGAAAAAATGCCCCACATACAGATGACGTTGCATTGATGTTTTCCAAACAATCACAAAAGGCACTTAAAGAATGGGAATCTCATGGACCAAGGATCATCAAAGCCTCCTTCAAAACAAGGAAAAAGGGCATTACAATGAACATCATCCAATGCTATGCGCCTACCAACGACTACGATGAAGACGTTAAAGATCAATTCTACGATAGGTTGCAACCAATTGTCGAGAAGTGCCCAACAAAAAAACCTGACCATTGTAATGGGAGATTTAAATGCCAAAGTTGCAATGGACAACACTCGATACGAAGACTTCATGAGAAGACTTGGACTGGGAAAAAGGGACGAAAATGGTGAGATTTGCAAACCTATGTGCCTTCAATAAACTGGTCATAGGCGGCACTATATTTCTACATAAACGCATTCACAAAACCACATGAACTTCACCGGATCACACTACACGGAACCAAATCAACTATATCTGCATCGACAAGAAGTTTAGGAGGACGATGGGGGACGCGAGAACCAGGAGAGGAGCTGATATGGCATGAGAACATCCCTTGCTGGTCGCCAAGATCAAATTAAAACTTAAGAAGCACAGGGCGACTGGGCGGACAAAATCACAAAAGTTTGATATGGCTTTTCTTCGGGATGCTGATAAACTCAACAAATTCAAGATAGCCCTCTACAATAGGTTCCAGGCCTTTCAGGACCTACTAAATGGAGAGGGAACTACTATGGAGAGCAACTGGAAAGGGATAAACGAGGCAATCACTTCAATATGTCATGAGGTTCTGGGCCACGAGAAGCACCACCACAAGGAATGGATAACTGTTGATACACTGGATAAGATTGAAGAAAGGAGGAATAAGAAGGCAGCAATCAATACCAGCTGAACAAGAGCAGAAAACGCCAAGGCACAATCCGAATACACAGAAGTAAACAAGCAAGTGGAGAGGAGCATCAGAGCCGACAAACGTAAATATGTGGAAGACTTGGTAATGACGGGGGAAATGCTGCAAGAGAAGGAGACATGAGACCACTGTATGATACAACAAAGAAACTTGCTGGAAATTACCGTAAACCAGAACGTCCAGTGAAAAGCAAGGAAATCCACTAACATTGAAGAACAACAAAATAGGTGGACAGAACACTTCAAAGAACTCTTGAATCGACCAGCTCCACTGAACCCACCCAACATCGAAGTAGCACCCACGGACCTCCCAACCGATGTTGGCCCACCAACAATTGACCAGCATGGCCATTAGACAAATCAAGAGCGGCAAAGATAAAGGATCAGACAACATTGCAACGGCACTGAAAGCAGATGTAGTAGCAACTGCAAAGATACTTCACATTCTCTTCGGTAAGATTTGGGTTGAAGAACAAGTACCAAAAAAATGGAAAGAAGAACTTCTGACCAAAATACCGAAAAAGGCTATCTCAGCAAGTGTGATAACTACAGGAGCATCACTCCTCTCTCAGTGCCAGGAAAAGTCTTCAACAGGGTGTTCTTAAACAGAATGAAGGACTCCGTAGACGCCCAACTTCGAGACCAACAGGCTGGATTCCGTAAGGATCGATCGTGTACAGACCAAATCGCAACTCTACGGATCATTGTGAGACAATCAAGTGAATGGAATTCATCACTCTACGTCAACTTCATTGACTACGAGAAAGCATTTGATAGCGTGGACAGGACAATTTTATGGAGGCTTCTTCGACATTACAGCGTGCTGAGAAGATAGTCAATATCATACAGAATTCCTATGATGGATTAAAATGCAAAACGTGCATGGAGGGCAGTTAACAGACTCGCTCGAGGTAAAGACCGGTGTTAGGCTAGGTTGCTTACCCTCACCCTTTTTCTTTGTCGTGGTGTCGACTGGATCATGTAGACGACAACATCTGGAGGGAGGCACGGGATACAATGGACAGCTAAGATGCAGCTGGACGATCTAGACTTCGCAGATGACCTGGCTCTTCTATCTCACACGCAACAACAAATGCAGGAGAAAACGACCAGTGTAGTAGCAGCCTCAGCAGCAGTAGGTCTCAATATAAACAAAGGGAAAAGCAAGACTCCGATGCAATACAGCATACACCAATCGAATTACACTTGACGGAAAAGCTTTGGATGATGTGAAAACCTTTGCATATCTGGGCAGCATCATCGATGAACACGGTGGATCTGATGCCGATGTGAAGACGAGGATCGGGAAAGCAAGAGCAAAATATTTACAACTGAAGAACATCTGGAACTCAAAACAATTGTCAACCAACACCAAGATCAGAATTTTCAGTGGAAACGGATAGGACATACATTGAGGAAATCACCCAACTGCGTCACAAGACAACCCCTCACATGGAGTCTTGAAGGTAAAAAGAGGAGAGGAAGACCAAAGAACACATTACTCTGAGAAATGGAGACAGACATGAGAAGAATGAACAAAAGTTGGATAGAACTAGGAAAGAAGGCCCAGGACAGAGTGGGTTGGAGAATGCTGGTTGATGGCCTATGCTTCATTGTGAGTAACAGGCGTAATGCAATTTTCTACTAACTGGGATATCACAAAAGTATATTTGTTATTTACTTTTTACCTTATGCTCATTTTATTTGGAACTATCACGTTCAACTTTGACATTGGTATCATTTATTATCATGTATGCAAATTCGAAACTTTATTTTTTAAACATTGCGTCACACTATTAATGCCGTTTGTGAAGACATTTATCCGTGAATGTTGCCTGGTTAGTATGAACTTGATGAATAACAGGAATTAAAGAACTAATATCTATTATATAAATCTTAAAGAATAATATCTATGAAATGTTTCTTACTTTCAAGCACTGTTTTAAATTGTTTAACATATCCTCCCAATCAGTAACGTGTTCGAATACTTCAGACGCAACAACTGCATCGAATTGACATGGATATTCTTGAGTAATTGATTGTATACTAGTAAGTTTATATGTAGGTTTATGTAAATCTGGATGATCAGCCCAGCGATAAGATGTAGCTTCAACATGTTCTTGTGCGATTTTTATACCTTCTTCTATTAGGTCTATGCCCAAAACTTCTGCTCCCAACATAGATAGTGCCTAGTACGGAATTATTTCAAGATTAACATTATGAAAGAAGTATTAAAAGAAATATTAAATGAAGAATTAGGCGATTCAAGAAACTAAACATACTTCTATGAAACATCCTTAAAAAGTGATGAGTTTTTTCGACAGAAAGAAATATTATCCAACTGACTTAACTTCTAAGTAAATAACTAGATAAAATATCGAATAATTGCATAATAGACCAATAGTGGCCGGACTCTTGAAAGCTAAAAAATATGGGTAACTGGATAAAATGTAGACAAATCAACTGCATTATAATTATTCGTATGGCAACTTAATAAATGCATGCTTTGATGATCGTTCTTAATGCTAAGTGATCGGAAGCAGTCGACAGGAAACCTTGGGCTGAAGTTTCGTCCCATTCGGCACTCTCCAGAAAGGCGTACCTAGAATCCACTAAGACGTTCTGAATCAATTGTAAATATCGCAGTGATGCGGGAGGTAATTCACAGTTAGAAAAACCTAGTTGTAACGTCTAAGATTGTGTAGCAGAGCAACGTATGTCCGAATCCAATGGGGGAGAATCAGTTTTATTAAGATTGTTGGTACGCCTATGAGATGAATGATCCAAGGTCTCCTGAAGGCTACCTCGAACCGCCTAGTATATAAGAAAAATTGCAAACAGTTTCGAGTCACTTAGACTAGTGGACATCATCGTTATATTAACAAAAATAATTTGCCTAGAGTAAGTATAGTAAACATTTTTATGAAAATGCAATCCTTTTAGCACTCTACATGATGTATGTTTTGCCCTTTAACAGTTCAAAAGCTGAATTCATAACTAGTCAGCAAACGTTTACAATATAACCATAAAAATAAATAGATTATTTAGATGACTATTTTGTCAACTTGGAAAGTAATGTGTTATTTTAAGAGTTATTAAGTTACATTGTATAACTGCTTTGAAGATGACAATAAACTATCAAGATGATATTGGCAATCAGTTTAACTTACACAATGTGTTTTAACCCAAAAAGCTTTGTTTTCTCAAATGATATGAATCATTGATTGAAGACAGATACCAATGAAATACGTAACCTAATACATGATACGATCCCATTCATTCTCTAATTTTGATCACTAAAAGTTGATTTTTTCCAATTATTGGATAAATAAAAAGACAGAACAAAGGAGAAGCCTGATATGATGATATATCCGTTTTAGTTACCAGAATTTAAAGTGTGACAGTGAAATTATAACTTAAACAAAACAAATGAACTTTGCAAATGTACTGGTGGATGAAGAAAGATGCAAAATATATAAGTTTAAAACGATATTAGTTAAAAGCTATTGTAAAAACAACCGCTCAATTTACAGAAGGGAACTCCACAAAAGGAAAATAATTAAACGTGTCGACTAATACTATAGAATTTGTATTAATTTCTCGATCCTTTCTAATAATCAGTTTAAATTATAACCTGATAGAATTTACACTTGTGTACAAATCTGTGAACTATAGTGAATGACATGAACCAATGTCAGTTTCTGATTTGACCATTCAAAACATCTTTAGACCGATGGAACTTTATCAACTTTAAAGATTAGATAACTTGACATTAACTGTGACTAAACGATCAGTCGGTATAAATACTTCAGCTCTCTAAGAAGCCACTCACGACCTGAATAGCTTAGTAGTAATGTTTCAGAATGTGACATTAAGTGACAGAGAACATATTAGATCCCTAGATATTACAAAATTGTCCTGATGATGACTTTCAGCTGGCAGAGAATCAAAATTGATAGCTTCAAATATAACCACTTTTAGTCAACTTACAATTCATCGTGAAACCTTAATAAAACTAAACACAGACTGACGAGGTTCAGAGAAAGTAATTATCATTATTATGAGAACACGTTGATCAACCTACGTTGATAATCAACAGTTTATTGATTCTAGTATCACAAGAATGACTAAATGGACACTTCTAAATAGTGTAAGAAAAACGTGAATGACTAGAAATTTCATAAGGTGAAAACTTTGAATATATATAAAACATTTTTATAAATGCAATTTATGCAGATACACTAACGATCGATAAACAGATACAAACATGAAAAGAAATAACTCACTTCCGCTAGGATACCTCCACCACAACCAACATCTAAAATCTTTTTACCTTTCAAAGGTAAATAGACTGAATCCATTGTAGATAATGAAGTTATAGGACAAAGACCATTTTGAATAAATGGTACACGTAGACGATTCATAGTATGTAATGGCTGTAAATCTCCTTTGAAAATAAAATATATCGTATAAGTAGAAAGTAGTTTTATCTGTTTACTACAATCATATGTAACTATCACATATTTATATGATACTAGATATAAGTAAATGAACAGTGAAACCAAGATGAATACAATCTGTCAACAAATGAGATAATATGTAAAGATATGCAATTATTTTATTAATTAAATAACTAGACACGATGTATAACTAATAAAAGGAATTAGTACACTGTACTCTTTGTACCAAAGAGTGTATGTTATTCCTTAGAACTAAAATTCAACAGTGATTATATAAGTAATAATAGGCCCCCAAACGCCCTGGTACGGCCGGGGGTGGCGAGAGTCAGCCCTCTCTCGAAAGGATTTCACATGACCACGCGTATACAAACACTCTCAGAGAAGTCCAATTCACTGCTTTCTCGAGGCGAGGGTGTTGTTTACGAAATTCAGAGGATGAAAAGCGAATGTCCGGCGCTTTACCCGGGTTGGCGGATATAGAGGATACATCTAGGTGAGATGGAAAACCCGGATGTGTATATGCGCTCCAAGATCCTGGTGTATAAACGTATTTTTAGTCACTGGCTATCATGTAACTGCATCTCCTAACGTTGCTCCACTGCACTATAGATTAGACCTCTATGTTAATGCCTAGGAGAGTAGCCTACTAAGAAAACCACCTGCTTCGGTTTCTGCGACCGTGCAGTATTCTAGCCCTCACAAAAATCGAATAGAGAAGTGTGGGGCATATATATTTGGAGCCTCCTTGTACCAATGTTTGTGCTTGGATACATAAATAATAAAATAATGCTTAGTATTATGAGAACAAGGATTGTGATTTACTAAAGCTCTGGAGATGACGTAATCGATAAAGCACTCAACTTTCAACTAGAAGGTAACAGATTTAAATCCTGTTTCACATACTTCGGTGAGGACAGACAAGTAGTATCACAAGCACACTGTGTGGTTCAAAGCCAAAAGCGTACTTGGTTAGTTAGTTATTGCACTATTCGAACAACCAACAGTGAAGACAAAGATAAAAGCAATAGATTGCAAAAACATGTACAAACATAACAAAACTGATTAGGATGACCTACTTCAATGAAACATATGTATCCAATATTTTATGAATTCCTGATATGTACCATCTTGTCTCATAAAACCAATTATAGTGCACACCATTACTTTCTTCCTATTTATAGAAAGGCAGAACCTCTGGAGAAATTACTTATCCGTGAAAAGTCCCTAACTTTTGCCACATTCTGGCACAATCAAAAGTACAGCTTTGTAATTTAAAAAGGGTCTACCTGACTCTAATCTTATATTAACCTAACTAGGACCTTAAGACACAAACGGTACATTTAATAGAGTAGTCACAAGAGACCAGCCCAACTTTTGTATCTAGGTAGAAAATAAGGTTATTATTATTATTAATGGCTTTATTCAATATTATATTTTTTGGTAAAATATAGAATACTCAGCACAAAGTATTTCAACAAGTTTCCTTTCCTTATTTATTCATCTATCCTGACGATAAATATTGAGTGATCACCAGTTAGATGTTAGCAATTCAGGAATCGACATTTGAACAATGATCACTCTTTTTAATGCATATTGACATCCACTACAATGTCTCTGGTTGTACTTTTTTGTAAGTTGTACAGAGAAAGATCGCAAACTTTTCATAAACGCGCAAAAGACAGGTAGCTTGTCGAGATGTGTTGATATCAGGAACAGGTAGCCCAGATGTTAAGGCATGCCGCCAAAGTTAAGATAACTTGAAATATTATGGACTGAAGAGAGAAGCTTATGAAAATATATTCAAGTAAACTAACACATTTAAGAGAGAATTTGAAGTAATTTACGAATTCGCCATTAAAATCAAAAGAACCTTCTCAGAAACACATATCATTTACCGATCTCAAAGGCAGAAAACAATTGCGAAAGACAGAACACGCAATCCAACAGTTCATGAAGAATATATAATTGAGTAATTACTTAAAGCTAATAAAAAGGTTTATAAATATAACATGTTTGCTGTAAGCAAATAATAGGCATTTCACTGATATTTGAGTTGATAAAATCTATGACGCTACATGTTTACTGTAATTCACTCCCCAGAATGTTTATATATTCATAAATTATGAAAAAGTTTGTGTTTGGCTATTATTTCGTCAAATATGTTAGTTACTGAGTCACAATATAAACACAAAACATACATCATATGTGAATAACATATACCTTATTTACCAAGATGTTAAAGTATTCGACTTTGAGATTTAACGTTTGAAAGAGCGTCAGTGATACTACATGACTAGTAAAACCAAAGTGGTTTGAGATCAGAACATGGAGCTTACTTCTTGATGAGGTTGAATGCATTAGCCATTAAGTAAGTGTTCCACATAAACAGTGGACAACAATACTGATTTGGAAAGTAGCATAAAATGAATATGTAACTTTCTAAAAATATACACAACAGTAAACAGGATCAAGAAGACTTTTAGGATCACCTGTTGAGCCTTGTGACTTAAATTCCACGTAATATTCAAACATGTACAAGTAAACAAAAAGCAGTATGGAGACAAACAGTGAGAAATTATACAGCACTAACCATCATAGTCCCACCAATGCTGGGCGAAACGTTTGAAGTTAGCGTCTTCTGTTGCGTCGATTATCATACTGGAAAAATTCTGACTTTTCATCCCACTGAGGGATGGAAGACATTTTTTCTTGAGTAATTTTACAGCAGGGAACAAGTAATGACGTGCCATAGTTTATTAGTTCTATTGGGAAAATATAAAAGACCCATCAAGAAGAACATAAACATAAGCATTAGGGACTAGTCAGATGAAAACACAAATCGAAATATAGAATCTTCTATTTCAGTGAAAGGATGTTTGTAGATGGGTAAAACTTATAATCCCCACGTTTGACAACCACTACTTGATTACCTTAAGTTACTAATCATGGACTGAATAACTGATTACATTACCGATCCCTCTGATTGTAATATTAAAGGAGCAAGGTTCAATTTCCTACAAAAGTGAGAATTTTTCAGAGAACACAAATGTGCATTGATATAGAATATCGATAAACATGAAAACTACTCATTAAACATTATTTTTACAACAAATAAACATTCAAACCAAAGTACTCTAGATTGTCGGCTAGAAAAATAGATTCCCACTTAATTTGGTGAACATCACAGGATCACATGAAGAATCCTACAATTACTTGCATCAGCCTAGAAGTCACGGATTGATGCGATGTATTTTGAGAATAAGTTGGGATCAGTTGACCAGAAAATGCATGGATATCAGCATCAGGAAATAATGAAACATAAAACTGAATTCACTAAATTCCTAATCACTTTTTCACAATAAAAACAAAAAAACTGTCAGAGTTGATTGAAAGCAAAGTAAGCTTAAGGGAAGAGATAAATACTTCGAGAATATCTGAGGAAGAATTGAGAAAATCAAGATGGAAGGTAGACTATATAATTCGATAATTCGAAGAATTATCATAATAGTTACAAAGCTGAGAAAGTACTGGATTGGAATGATTGAGAACTAACAACATGAAGCATTTAATCCAAGCGTCTACAGATTGAGACTTATCGATGATAAATATTTTAAGTCTCAGAGAGTCACACAGAAAGTCCGGTTATGCAATTTACAATTTTTCGCTCCACAATAAATTCTGTTGGAAAATATGCAATAAATTTACGACAGATTTAGTGAATGCTGCTACCGTAGTTACAGTCATCGCATGGTTATTGATTACGAAGGATTAGTAAACAGCAAAAATACGACTTATTACATGTACTCTTGGAGTTTTAGATGAAAATACCTAAATTATTCAAGCATATTTGTTTATAAACAGGGTAAACTATCTTATAGGATTGTTAAGATTCTGTAGCAGTATGATTCAAAGTCCAAAGATGTTCGATGGTTAGATTTTCTTGCTGACTACCTCCAACCACTACTTAACATCTCAACACAGTGCATGCGGTGTTGGCTCACCTAAATTAGTGGATACAATGCAACCTGATCAACACTTAAAGGACTAGACAAACATGGAATTGATCGCTTTTCAGTGATCTTACCCCAAGCCACTAAACTACAATGATAATATCTAATTAGATGAGTATTCTTCTAAATTATGCATTGGTTTATACAAATAATATAAATTATAACTCCTTGATTATAAGGTATAACACAACACATTTTATGTATCATAGCAATTTACGAAGATATGACGAAACTGTATTCACAAGAAGATTAATTAATCAACTTCTCAAGCTTGATCTCTAATCGTTCATTCTGCAAACAATTAGAAGCCAGTAATTATTGATATTTTCAGATCGCTTGGTATAAAATATTATGAGGACTACGGTAACATCAACTGGAGTGAACATGTCATTTTAATAACTTTATTCATCATTATTGATTCGGTGTTTAAACTCATTACAAAAAATATTAATCTTAAGCAAAATGCACGTATAACAAGTCCAATAGACACATGTCTTATAAATAATATGCATACACAAATTCCTCAGGAAAGGAAGTTAAAAGACAAACTACAAGTATGTAAGTATGTTATTTTATTGATAAATTCATTTATTATAAAAAAGAAAATTAACACAGGTTTGCAGAAAATTAAAGTAGTAACATTGAATCATGAAGAATAGAAATTCAAACAAGATTTCACAGCGAGGATTTTTAAAAAAAATGGTCAAGAAATGATGTGTACAATTGATAGAATGAACCGAGCCTCTAAGTTTGTAATCGAAAAGTGCAAACATATCACAATGGCTCTTGACAAAAAAAGAATTCACATTAAATAATCAGAGAGATGATAACTAGAAATAATATATGGAGCGAAATATTGTACAGCGAAATAGAGAATAAAGAGTAAGAGAGAGAGAGTGACGAAGAAAATACAAAGATACTTACAATAACCAACAATGTAATAGCATTAGATGCACAAAAAAGAAATAGATCAAAAATATAAAAATAGGTTTAGGTCTAGGTTGACTTTGCAGACGAAGTGAAGTATGTTTTATACCACTAGATATTCTGGATGTTAGTTGTTGACTACGTACAACCAAAAGCTTCAATAAAACAGATAGCCAATCCTTTTGGATAACTACAATAAGGATAATAAAAATTAAATGGTATTATTGGGTAAACAAAGTAATTTTTAGTTCTATTCAAGGTTACATAAACCGCACAATCTTAAGAAGAGAATAAACTTTAACACCAAAATAGGCAGCTAAACCTTTATTATAACTGGTAGTGTGATCAATGTTATGGACGGCTGTAAAATTCCTAACACGTTCAATATCATAAATTTTATTTCAGTAAACATAACATATCGAAGTAGACAATGATTTTACACTAGTAATACAAATGCTTCGATGAACTAAGACCCCGAAAGTGAACGATTTTTATCGACTAACCTATTATTCCTATTATCTAAACCTGTATTTTAAACCTGAGCATTGTTCACTCGACGATGATATAAAAGGTTAATTATGGTCTATATCAATATTCTAATTTTGAAAAAAAATGGTGACGTAAACTGAATTGTTAGTTTGAGAAGGATTCAAGTCTATTTTTCCCTAGTATTAAGTTTGATGTGTAACACGAAACGACTGTCAACCAACATCACAGTTAGAATCTTCAGTACGAACGTCAAGACAGTTCTATTATACAGAGCTGAACTTTGGAGAACTACCACAACCATCATCAAAAAAAAGTATTTATAAACGATTATCTTTGCAAGATGCTCAATACCCGTTGACCGGATACCATCAACAACAGCCTACTGTAGGAGAGAACAAACCAGCTTCCAGATGAAGAAGCTAGGAAAAGATGTTGGAGAGGGGATAGGGTTCAAATTGAGGAAATCATCAGACTACATCACGAGGCGAACCGGAACTTGGAATCCTTAAGGGGTAAAGAAAAGAGAAAACCCAAAAAAGCACTCTGCACCGAGAGTCGGAAACAGATATCCAAAGAATGAATAGCAACTGGAAAGGATTGTCCAGGACAGAGTTCAACGTAGAATGCTGGTGAGCTGCCTATGCTCCTCTATGAAAGGTAATAGGCGTAAGTAAGTAGGCTATACGAATTTACTGTGAAAAATAATAGTAAAACATCCTAACAATATTATAAAATGGCATACGCGTACAAGAAACTAATATGAGGTGAAACAGTCGATTTTATTTTTTAAATCTTACTGTTTGTTAATCGGTATCGAATCACCTTAAATTTTTTCAGTGGAGCAATGGTTTATTGGTTAAGGTATTTGAATTTCATCCACTAAGTGTCAGGTTGGAACCCCGCGCCCCAAGTACTTAAGTTTAGACAACTGGATGGTATCTCACTAGCTCTCACACTTGGAGTGTGGTTCATACCTAAGTACTGAGTGAATGAGTTCACTGATTTTGAAACTTTTCTGATAGTTCTAACATAATATAATAGTACACTCATGCACAACATACAAAAATTCATCTATATTCTTTGTTGATAATTCACTTTATTTATTTATTTATTTAAACACATACATATTGGTACAAAAGGGCACCAGATACATATGCGCCACACAAAATAATGAAAATAGGAAGAGAAAGGATGAAAAGATAAGAGGGACTGAAATGTACAACCGGAATACTCTTTCAGTTAAGAAAGTTAGAACCACTCTTTATGAAGAAAGTAGAAGGTTACAGCAGGATCGCCACTGGCTTCTATTCTGAGCCATATCTAATAACGTCTCTAGCCACTGTGTTGCACCATCTCTCGGACCCCAGCCAGGGAGTCGTGAAGGACCAACAAAAGCTAACCCTTTGCACCTTTCTTTCATACCACGACACCATGTCATACACTGACCACCTCTCCGTTCTTCCAACCAGTACCAGAGTCGGCAAATAATGCACGACGTGGAAGTCTCTGGGACGACATTCGTAAAACATGTCGAAGCTACCGAAGTCGGTGTTTCAAGATGGTGACACCAATTGAATTATCGTCTCTGCGCCCGAACACACGATGCCGAACCTCTGCATTACTAACATGGTGTTGCCACTGTATGTCAGCAATCCTTCAGAGACAACGATGATCGAACACAGAGAGACGTCTAACATCCTCAACTCGGAGAGGCCAGGTTTCACAAGCATAGAGCAAAACTGCTCTCACCGACGCGTTGTAGATCCGACCTTTTACAGCCAGACTAACATCACGAAGGCGCCAAAGATGGCCCAGATTGGCATAAGCCGCTCTGGCTTTCATTATACGTGCATCAATCTCATCACTCACGCCACCACCAGCACTTATGTGGCTACCTAGATACACGAAATTCTCGACTACTTATATCTGCTCACCACCCAGGGCGAGTACGGGATTAGAATCCTGCCAGTCTTGTATAAGTACTTTGCACTTGGAAGCTGCAATGCACATATCGTACCTATGGACACTGATTCCCAACCGATTAAGTGCGGATTGGAGTTGGAGTTCCTTGCGCACTTACACCTCGTTTGGTGGATAAGTAGTCACCGGCCGTGGGGGGGGCAGAACAAACTGGTTGATGTTGCCGGAGCAGCAGGACAATTGAAATGCCCTTCGAAAAATTACGCCCATCGTCCAAGACGTCGACAGATGTTAGTGATTGGCATCCCATCATCCTCGTAGATTGTCTCACTCACACCAGACTTCTTGCTGCCAGTGGCTCAGATGAGTTGGAAGAGCTTCCGGCAGTTACCAGATGAAGCTGCTGCTTCCATCTCATTAGCACGCTCCGACCACCAGGCTTCTCGGTCCTTACGCAAGCTTTGCCCGATTTCATTACGTAACAGCCTTCGTTTGTGGTCAAACTCACAGTCACCCGGAGTAGACCGATGGGCTTCGATCAGTTGTAAGGAGTCAGAAGAAACCCAGTGCTTGTAAGCGGGACGTCTAGCGAAGCCGCAAGCGGCTTTACTCGCCATTTTCATGGCGTCATGAAGATGCAACCAATGCTCATCTATACTTTTCGGTGGGATGGTAGCTAGCCTAGAAGCTAGCTCCGCTCGACACTTACTTGCAACAGAAGTTGCAGCCAGTTTATTAACATCGATCCGTTGGTGGTGGTCAATCCTTCGGCCACTGAAAAGTAAGGTGAGATTGGCGCAGACCAGGGCATGATCAGACTCCAGATAGGTACTCCAAAAGGAGCGGCAGTCTTGTACACAACCACGCCAGCGGTAGTTGATAATTCAACTGTTATATAAATTACATTTACTCAAATAATAGCAAATTCACACAAGTAGAATAAGTTATATTACAAGTACAATCAAAAATCTTACTTAATTGATGTAAGAATTTGAATTTGATGGAAGGAGAACGTAGAAATGATTTTTTAGGTTCAAGAGACTGAAGAAGACCTCTCAAACTAAAAACTGCTGATTCCCTTGTATAATTATTATTTGGTTCATGTATTTTAATAGATAATTCCGATGTCCTACAAAGAAATAACAAGCGAGAAACTATTCATATGATCTACACAATAATAAACGTATTGCAATTATCATTACCAAAGTTGAACTTGATAATTTCAAATAAATTGAGCATGGAGTAGATTGTTATAAACAAAAATAATATGTTTGTAATAACCCAATGGGTAGAGAAATTAGATTTCCTGATGTTTTGTGATTCAGTATAAGCCACTTCTTCTTCTTCTTCAGAGAAGTGGCTTCAACTCACATTCCTAGTGTAAGCCCCAGTGATACAATTCGAGTCCAAAAATTTGAATGTCTTACATAAAAAGCCACTGAGTTATATTCAATAATATACACGTAATACAGATGTGTAAATGTACTGGTAGTTGACATCTTACAAAAATTTTAAACTTGCTACTGAAATTCACGAGTTCATATCCATTGGAAATCTTAAGACTGGCTTAAGTGAAGTAGAATAAATTAGGAAAACAGTTATCAGATATTCGGATATTTAGTAATTTAATAGTTGAATTCATGAGTCAATTAAAGCTAGACCACCTTGGAAAACCTGGAACCACTGGATGGACGTTTAATCCAGGTATGGGATTCCTCAGCAGTACGCATCCACGATCCCACTCGCGGGATTCGAACACAAAACACTTAGTATTTGGAGAAAATCAGAGTAAATGTTCTTGGACCTGAGTAGTTGATTATAATTTATGCCATCCAAGAAGTTGATGATCATCAATTACTACTGACTAAAGGATTGTAATCTAGGTTTTATAGCTTGATGAATCCCTTAAAAAGTAACCCAGTGATAATTCCACATGAAACTCCTAAATGTTTGACACCTTACTTCAATTTAACAAAGGTGATGCATGGACGTGCGTACGAAGTTCTACGTTGTGACTGACTGATGCATTGAGAAAGAGAATGTCTAGGTGTGTTAAGAACGTCTAAAAACACCTTAATTCATGTGGATTAACAAGGGATTTTTGTTTATCACTTATCAGGTCAACATAGGAGTAAGTGAGGAGTTAGAATACAAGTCAAATATAAACACAACTAATGAAATTATCAGGCGGAATTTTCTAAACATGAAACTATCCTCAGAAGTTTGTGTTTGTCAAACTTTGTCTGAAAATCTAGAATTTTATCCAAAGAAATAGCATAAACTAATATTCATTGAACTAAATGGTGAACGCAAAATCTAAATAATCGTAAGATATAATGAAGAGTGGTTCTTCATAAAATAACAATATAATTAGAACTTACGGTACTTCAGGTCCAACAGAATATGGTGTCACAGGCTTTTGATATGTTGGGCAATATTTTACAAGAAGTATTTGACATTTATGAAGTTCCTGTGTACGCTCATACAAAGAGTCTTCAAGTAACGCGACCTGAGTAAAATATATGTACAATGATGTTAAGTTGTTTTATTATGTCAACCAATAAAAATGAATGCTTCAAATAAAAATCTATTTAACAAAATTCAACTGACCTGTTCATCTAATCCTTCAATAGTTGCTTTTAAATGTGCACGTTCTACAGTTGCATGGGATAAGCGTTCTTTCAAAGTAAGAAACTCTGCATTACTTGCTTTCAACTGATCCATAGCCATAATCGCTTCCTCTTCAGCTCCTTTTACTCTCTGTAACAACTGAGAATGTAACGAATCTTCACTAACACTTTGGTTCAAACTAACGAAGTTATCATGCTTTAAATCACTAATTGAATGAAGCATCGAATTTTGATAACTATTTATTACTGCTTCATTGTTATTTTCCATTAATGATACTGGCGTGGACATATTGGATACATGGAGATTATTAAACTCAACCTCACTTAAGATGCGTGGTTCGTTTGCACTACCATATTTTAAACTTTCATCAACCAAAATTTCACCGGACAAAGTTTCGGATGAAGTTATGTCATTGCCTGCCACCAGTTAAAACAAACAAGAACAAAAACTATGATAACTATGTAAAAAGCAAAGATTAAATTTCAGTGAAACAGTTTATCTGAGAAATCTCATCGTCATACCAGCTAAATATGAAAGGTAGCACAACAATCGATTAATTATTCTTAAAATACTAACAACTGTGAGTCTAACTCAAATACTATTTAGTTAGTTGTAGCTAACGAGAAGTCAGGTGGGGAAGATCAATTTATTATTGAATGCAAAAATTACCGAGTATCTTCGTAAAACATGAAAACCATATGTTAAAAACGTCATTTGAACATCTTCCATCAGTTGTCTTTTACAAACTTTATCGTCCCTTTATTCCAGTTTTTATTAGAATTACCATCTTTTTACATTCCTGTTCTCTTCAATTCGACCTTCTCAGTCTTATGCTGCCAGGCATTCCGCTTCCGACTAGTGTTACATACTACTTATGTCTATTGACGTGAGCAGCAAACACCACAAGTATTCAGATTTCTTTCCTTTGTAAAGATAAATGCAAACAAATGATAACTGGAGTATATACCCAGTTTGAATATATAAACATGTAAACAGGCTTAACTCTAATACCGTTAGGATATCGACAAGAAAAATGACAATGAAGTGCATAGATCAAGCGATCATTTCCATCACTAAATTATTATCGCCTACTGATTTCCCTAATTATGGAACATTTATAATCGTGATCAGGATGTTTCAAGTTGAGCAGACTGCAGAAATTAACGAAAGATATAGTCTGTAAAATGAAATGACAAAAACCAAGTAACGGGAGGATTGAACGTTTAAAACTTACCTATGATAAATGATTCTGTTTGAACATATTCACAATTTTCAACCGGGAGATGTGCTGAGACGCCATCGTATCCATCAATAGGGTCAAGAGCTATCTCAACCTTTTGGATAAAATCAGTTGTGGGAATAGCATTCAACAAATCTGTTTGAACGGAACTGTCGGTAAAATGTGGCTTGTGTATTGCTTTCTTAGTAGAGGTGCTGTTCTCATAAACAAAATTTTCATGATTTATTGTATTCCTTTGATGATTGATTAAATCAGGAAACGGGTTCATTTTAGATTGTTTACGTTGTAAAACATCGTTGAGACGTTGGAGTTTTTGACAATTTGTACAGCTTGAGGAATCAGATGAGTTTGTATTTGCCAACCCATTAGGTTTGCTTGAAGAGATGTTTTGTGATATAAGGCGACTTAACTGCATCCGTAGAGCTCTTGCATCTGAACTTACTTCAGCTAACTGACCGCGAAGTCTTGATGCCTCACAATCATCATCTTCTCTTTGACGTGTCATATCTAATCGTAATTGAGTAAGCTCATTTTGAGCAATAGATAATTTCAGTTTTAAATTATCGATACTTAAAGTATCTATATCTTGTAGTTCATCATTTGTGTGTAAACTTTTTAGTAAATTCCCAATGAGAACTATGAACAAAAAGTAAAAATAATAATATTCACATTATCGGAAGTTTTACTGATACTTATTTCTTATATCGATATGATATACGAGATAGAGACCACAAATCGAATAATGAAATGAAAATTGAGTCGAACTTGAACACGTTTGAATCCCACTCCATCTATTTCGGTTTGGGCGAACGGGTAATATCATTAGTCCCTACACTTTGAGTATGGCTCATACCCAAGTAGCTAGTGAGTGAGTTAATTAATTTATACTAGAATTGCCAACAAAAAGAATATGATGATATCAGAGCAATGAAACAGAAAACACTATCTAATAGACATACGGCAGTATGGAGTGATTAAAATGATCAAATTCTTTGTCTCCCAGAAAGTAGCTTATTCACCATTTGACATTGAAAGGATTTTAGCATATTTAATGATTTGTGACTCTGATAAGATACCTACAGAGTCTATTGAAAATGAAAAGCATAGTTCACCAGTGTTTCAGACTGTTCTATGGGGATATGAAGCTTAGTGATAAAGCAAATAGTCGAGTATTTAATCAACGATGGTGTCAACGCTCTAGTTGCATCGTATGAGTACCTACGAGAGATGAAGCATAGTTTTGAAACTACATCCAAGGGAGAAATACATTATTCATAAAGATAATAATTGCTTTGTTTCGTACTATACGTTTGAACTTTCAAGCAAATTCTCAGCTTAATCGGCTAATATACTTGTCCGAATAACTGAGATCACAAAAGGACTTTACAGTAAGACGTAATCGTATTAGCAAATACGAGTTGTTGATAGATCATTTATTGAGTACTACAACACATTGTTTGAAATACAAAGTACTATAATTCCGTCGAATTTACTTTACAATTGATTTTTTTAAAATTGCATATGGTTGTATTTAAACACATCTGGAACTGTATATTTGATTGAATGTTGTTCTATCTTATATGAAGCAGATGTAGCTTCAGAAATTAATTTTGATTTACTAGGCCACAGATTAGACCCAGACTCACCCACGTAGCATTACTAATTATAACATTATGTAAGCGTAACGCTAACGATTGTATAGTTAAGTTGAATTACTCCATTATTTTTCTGTTTGACGCATTTTTTAATGTTGAAAACCAAGAACTTAACTTTTAATTATATTTACGTAATAGTCTATTGAGTCCAAATCTTAGGCTATGCAGTCAGAACACAATGCTGTGAGTTTCTATAGTGTATGCCTTAAAACCTAATACATGGAGTAATATATAGTTATTCGGTTTCTTTTTTCGTTGCTTTAATCTTTAAAAAGTGTGTCGCATTAACGTATTGGGCAGTTCCAGTAAGTAATCATTTTAAAATGGTGAAATAAAAAATATTAGTAAACCGTGCGAGGAAGGAATCCATAGTTCAAAAGAATAAACTTGACAGAATTATTACAAAAACACAGGAGAGTACAAGCCCTCTTATAAGTAAGACGAAGCAACTTGTATTATTTATCTGTCAGTAAGGAAACACTATAACAAACGTTTCATACCATTAAACTAACGCTAAGAGATTAACACAACAAACTAACAATTGAGAAGCAAGAGACGGATAAGCGTGAGATCAAACCAGTCACTAGACACAAACAAATTACAACATATTTAAATCTTATAAATCACAAACCTCGCATATTTTGGTCCAAAGAACTAGTGTTTAGATTTGTTTTACTGAAGAATAATTTGAACTGTTCTAATAAAGCAGTTGTTTTAGCTAACTGATTACGCAAATGAGTAATTTCCATATAGTCTCTACGTTTTTGTGCTTCATAATTTTTTTGATGATGACGAATAGCATCTACACTGGAATCCAGTTCAGTTCCCATATGATCTAATCGTTCTTGTAACTGATCAATACGTGTTTTTTGACTTATACGATATTTTTTTAAACGATCCACTTGACCAAGTGCATTCAATAAAGCTTCTTGTAATTCACACTTCGTTGGTTCATCGGGTTCAGAAAAACTAGAATGTTTCAATGTACGATTGAGAACATTTCTTGGATTAACCAGTCCATATTTTAATAACTAAAAGTGAAGTAGTGAAAAATGATTTATATATTCAACGAATCAAAATATTTTATGAATAAACTGGTACCTAACGATTAAGTGTTAATCCGTTGCCAATCGGATGCATCCCATACTTGATGACATGAAGAATTTCATAAAGGTGAACAACAAATGACTGTGAATACATAAGAACTCCTGACAGTAAAGTCTTCTTGTATTAAATATTATTTTTAGAAACCAAAATCCAAGATGATAAACTGATTATGGCTTTTCTCATAAGGAATAACCACCTTGCTTTAAAATTCGTTCCAAGTGTTTTTGATCTGTGATACATCTCTAATCCCAACCACTCTTCGCATTATTTTAAATCGAGGATTATTGTAATATGTCATTTTCACGTTCTGCGGACATCCGATTCACATACAGACACATACGCTTCTTAACCTGCAACGTGAGTCATATAACTAGGGGTGGCTAGGAAGTTGCCAATGGAAAACCGAATGGTGGACGCAAATTATGGATAGATATACATCTGTCCTTTTCATTCAGACCTTGACTAGGTGTATAAAAAGGCATCAAACAATAGCGTCTCAAAATTTATCACCTCGCATTTGAGCACAGGAAAATGATACATAAGAACTCAACCAGTTAATCAGTTATTAGCAAACAACAAGTCAGGAAAAAACAACTATATGACAATCAAGAAGGATTTATTAATGAAGTTGTTAAGAAAAACTTCTTACAGTTTCGTATCTAATTTCTCCTGGATTTTTAAATCCATTAGGCTTCGGATTGGAAAACGTCTGCTGACTAATTTGTTCATTATTTGATATAAAATCAGTTTGAACAGCATTGTGCTTAGCAGTTTCAAGTGAATTTTGAGCTTTGATTTTGCATTGTTTAATGCGTTCTTCTAGTTTTTGTTGGAATGCATAAATAATTTTCAAATTATCTGAGGCATCATGTTCATGGGATAACAAGAGAGACTGAATATGTTTTAATTGACCATGTGTTGATGTTACGTTGGAACATATGTCTGAAATACTAGGATGTGGATTAAGTTGGGATAAAGTTGACAAAGTAACAGAAAGTGAATCACCACACTGGTTCAAATTATTTAATAATTGTACTAGTTGAAAATGACCTGTTGAAAGACGATTACATAACAGAGAAACAATTCGATTGCAAGCACTTAATTGTAACTCTAAATTTACGACTGAAGACAATTCACCATTATTCATAGCCTCCAATTGAGATTCAAATTGCTGGCATAAAGAAACAGTCAAATAGTAATGATAACAATGTTTTCTCAAAGACAAAAGCTACAATTATCAAATGTTATAATCGAATCATATTATAAATTAAAAGAAACAATCCACGCTGCACAATAGAACAGTAAGATAGGTGGATTGCAACGATCAAAACGACAATTAATTAGTGCAACAGACAAAAAATAAGAGGTAAAAAAATGAAAGGGTTACTTCTTCACTGAAATCCAAAGCTTCAGTATGCGTAAGTATCGGTGACAACAAAAGTTCCCTATCTATTTATTCACTTTACAAGTTAACGGTATACCCAAAGACCTACTAATTGTTTCCAACTTTTACGTCAGATATGAAAATTAAATAAATCTAGTACAATGTCTTCATATAATTGTACTGATATGTTGTGAACTGACACATTCGTGCCATCACATAAGGGTTTATCACTAATAGATAACTACAACAGCATTTCCAAGTCAGAACAAAAACAGACTATTCACCAAAAAACATTTGACCAAAAAGTCGCACTACTGAAACACGATTTTGCCAAAAGCTGTTGCCAAATATAGGTATTCGCAACTGGATTTCAAGGAACAACCAGCTCTCTAGGATGGTTTTCACAAATTTTCACTATTTCCTGAAATACATAAAAGGAACGAATTTCTAAACTTCAACTAAAAATATCCAAACTCTAATGTAAGACCTGAATATGAGCTAATCAAGGGAAAACAAGACTTGAAGCGTCGATGTGTCTATTTCTATCACAGTGACTAGTATTTTAAGCGCAGATTATTGCTGAAATCGGTAGAATAATGATAAACTCCTATAAAGAATACCAAAACACCCTATCGGTAGTTTGATAAATACCTCTGATTTGCTAGAATAACCAATATGACAAGTGTCCTCGCATTTGCCGTTCCACTGGTTGTGATCGAAATTGTCACCGAAAAGTACGTCAGACGAGGAGTACATTGTTATTGCGTATAAAATGATGGGGAAGCGATCCTTAACCAAGCATGGAATTATAAAATGGCACGTAAAAAAGTCAGAGCCCTTCAAAGTCGCCCGCCGTTCCGATTCGACGACCTTGAATGGCCTGACAAGAAGAGGTCATTCCGTATTTCAATTGCGGAGGGTCTGTTAGGTGTCGTTTGAGTTGCACGAATATCAGATTTTCTCATATTTAAGCGATATTTTTCTTCAGCAAAACCACAAAATCATCGCGAAGAACATTGATTTAGTTCTCACACTGCCTTGTAGTGCACATGTTGGACCGATTGTTGCTTCGTAACTTCTCAATCTCCCCATTTTAAGGGGAAGTTTGTCTGTTTTGTGTGAATTTCGTGATTATTTTTGGTCGAGAGCGTTCTGTTCTGTTTTTTGGAGGCGAAAAGAATTGAGAGCAGATGTAACCTGGATCGTGGAGAAATTGTGACATGCCGATGTCCTTGCCGTCATATGCTACTGCCAAACATAAGAAGACGAACTCTTACAGATAAGCTCGATCATCTTCAAAACAAAAACTGTGAAGTTTGTCATTTTCTTACACATTGCAGTCGATGGAAGATAGATAACACTCACACCTTCCAAAATAACAAAAATACTAAACAAACAATATGTGCAGATCCAACGAAACCATTTTTAATTAAAATTCATCAAGAAGTAGGTAAGACTGTAGTCTCTCTAACGCTTGTCTTTGTATAGTATGGATATGGATCGGAATGGAACAAAGTGTGGAAACGTGACAGGAACTGTTTACTATAAGAAGTTCCCTGTAATAGTATTTTTAACTTAACTATATATCCAAATTGTAAATTGAATTTTTGCATCAGATGTTGCTAGTTCCCTATCAGTAGTAATGATGCATCAATAAAATTTTGCCCAATTTTCGTCCCCATTTACTTCGTAGTTTCATGGGGAGACATACCGATAATCATAACGGGTAACTGTGAAAGTTATAAAAAACTATTAAGTTTTTGCTTTATACGTGCCCGTTTCTTTACGAAAACTTGTAGTACTGCATCAGTTTGGACGTTTTGCAAGAATGTTACGTATGCATAAATTTCTCCACTGTGACGATGTATTTTGATGAATACTTGTAGTGGCATTGTTTCCTAACCAAATGGTCTTTGAGGCCAAGCACACAATGGCTGAAAAGATGTATATTTGACATGTAACACCTGGAGAAGGTCGGCAGTGGTGGACCTGGAAATATTCATTCAGTCGGATGGCATGTCTTAGTCTTGCAGACGTGTAATTTATACCCATTCATATAAAATATATTATTCTAACCCAAGCATAAATGTGTTCTTCGGGAGCACTAAGTATCATTGGTAATTGTCACGATACGAAGAATCTGTGTGCACAGTGATACGAATTCCACTTCCTCTGCACCTGTTCGCAAGCAGTTGACTAATGTCTTCTTATGTTTCTTCTCTTGAGTTTCTATCAGACAATCTAAAGAGATCCATTGTTTATGACAGGGCTTCTTGTGACTTAGAATTTCCTGAGACATCTAAGTTAATCCCTTTCAAGCTGTTCTCCATAGTACTGTCATTTTCTTTGAGTAGATTTTGTAACATTTAGAACCCGTTACATTGAGCTATCTTGCATTCGTAGAGATTTTCAGTATCTAGAAGGAAGGCTGTATGAAACATTTATTATGCTGTTTCTTCAGTTCTTCTTTAGCCTCAGTTTGATGATCTAAAACTATGTCAGCTTTCGTCTTTGTTGTTACGTATTCAATGGATGTTGTGATGTTTTTGTTGATGCAAATCTGATCGAACTGGTTCTCTGTAATATTATTTGGTAAAAGCCATGCACTTTTCTTTACGCCTGCTAGGAGGAAAATAGTGCAACTTATAGCCACTTTGTTGACGGGAAATCGATTTTTAAATCTCTCACCTGTTTCGTACTTTTTACACAGTCCAGTTTGATCTAGAAGGAAGTTAGTCGAAAACGCCAACACAAACAAACTGACCGAATAAATTAAGGGGAAAATATATCGATCCTCGTAGTCTCCTATCAAATTTGAGAAAACGCTGCGAAAAGCTTGAGGATTTTCACAGAACTGTGACAGTTTTGAAACGTCAGGATGTGAAACGGAATATCCACAGCTCTTTATTTGCACATGCTGAAAGAGATAATTAGATGATGACCTAAGTTATCAAGTATTCTGTAATTGTTTTTTCCAAACTCTTAGAACATAAACTACAACTGACCACTTAATACACAGTCACAAAAAGCTAACCGTCTGATTAAGAACCAAGTAGCAATGACAACAAACGACAACACTCGCTACGCAACAGACGAATGCTGCAAACGTTTAGTACTGAGCCTAATGATAATTACAGGTAGTATACACATTTGTCCTTCACACTTGGAGGTGTTATGAGTTTAGACTAAGACAACACGCAATCTGTCTAGAGTCTTCCGATTGAAAACCTCTATGTCTCTCCTGAAAATGTCTCCCTAGTATTTTATTGGAGTGCATATCATACTAACCTTGTTGTTCTCGGTCAGTCGGTCAGCTAGAATGTAGGACCAGGCACACATATATGCATCATTCCAAGTTGCCAAACCTCATCAGCACAACAAGATCAACACCAAATTCATAGAAGTAGTTACTTCAATGGCAGTGATATATAAAAGAAAGATTGCATATAAGGATATATGATAGGAAGAAAGACAAATATGAAGCAATTTTACTCCCACGGTTTAAGAGAAGACAAAAAGTGTATACACTTACTCCATTGTGATCGATTCTGAGCCATGTCACACCTAGTCTCCAACCATTGGTTACGATAGTCACGCAGACCCCAACCAAGTAGTCTGCATCTTCCAACATGGCTCAGACTAGAAGTTAGTGACTTCATGATCTGATACCATGTTTTAGTTTGACCGCCCCTAACTCTCTTTCAACCATCGCCAATACTAGTCAGCATTAAGCGTCGTGATAATCGGTGTTCAGGCATATGTAACACGTGGCCTAACCATCTCAGTCGATGAAGATTCATGACCTCATCAACTGATTTACCATCATTCCCTAATACCCTACGTCTAACCTCACTATTACTTACCCGGTGATCCCGGCAGATGCGAGCAATATTTCTAAGGCATCTGTGGTCAAATACTAGTAACTTACAAGTATCCACGTTTCGCAGCGTAGAGTAGAACAGAGCGAACTGCTATGCAGTATACTCGTCTCTTAATTGATAGAAGTGTAGATAGTGTTGAGTCGCGATTGACTATGATCACCACTACAATAAGATTACGCGCCAGATAATGGCTTGGATCCCTCGATAGGCCGAAAACTGGAAGGCTGTTATTGGTCCAGATAAGATATATTTATTGGTGGTCTCGTGATATCAAAAGAATACCGTGACGTGCCAAGGAGTACATCCAGAATCCACTAACACTCATGAATATATGGGGATTTTTAAAACTCACTGACACACACATACTCACCTGTTTTCCCTGTGTGCTTGCTATCTGTACACTTGCTGATTTTTACCAATCTTTAACAATAAAATATCTCTGTAAATGGTGTTCAGGCTTTTGAGCATTCTCGAGTATATCCATAATTCTACTATGAGATTTAGGTCACGTTAAATATTCAGTCGACGGTATATTAGTTATTGGAGACAAATATAGAAGAATTATCCTTCTACAGGATAAGGCGAGTGGTGCATTTTTAGGATCGATCTTCGCCAACTCCAACCTTCCTCGTGGGAAGGCAGAATCACTGTTATGCTGGTTGTCTGAAAGAAACACCTTACTGCCGTCACACTTCCGTTCAATCAGCTCTACAGCTTCGCCCTTGAGTTTGCTGCTTTCAGTTTTACAGCTCTTCGACCGATCTGTCTGGCTTGGTAGAACATTGAGGAATGATTGTTCTAGCCAGTATAGCTCGATTGGTTCATTGCAGTAGGCAACCTTGACCATCACGTCAAGGTAGCAGCGACAGCCTGGACTCGTTTTTGAAACAATATTCAATGAAGCATTGGACATGCTATTGAATTGTCTATCCAGGTAATTGATTAGCGTACGGTATTTAAACAATATTATCAATATTTATATATATTTATATGTTTATTTCTATAATATTTTGGTAAGATGTAAGGTTTTCATTGTAGCTGAACCTGCAATATGATAGACAATGCTGTTTCTTAATAAGTTTTCCCTTTTTATACTCGAACTGCGTCTTTTAATTTTAAATATCTATCTGTTGTGCCAAATAGCCGCGTCCTTACTTCAAAGGCATTTACAGGTCCTGGCTGTTGTGTTGTTTCAGATCGCCCCTGCTTCCAAGTAAACGCCAATGGTACAATCGTATCTTCAGGCAAAGGTTTGATGGTATTGTCCATCATTGGGGTATGTCGAACACTTGAAGATCAAGTTGTCGTAGAACGATTGGTGCACCTCCTCGACAATCCGTAAGGCATTACAAAAGCGGTGATATCAAGACCATTTAAGATTTGATAAAATCTGCCCGTGTTATTCCTTTTGTATATAAATGGTCCTCCTCGTCTACTATCATCATCGGTCTTGCTACATGCTGAAGGTGTCATAATATGGAGAGCGATACGAAGTAAGGGTGACAGCCTAGAACTTCAAAATGACCTGGAGAAATTATTTCAAACCTGGCAGTTGCCGATAAATACTTCCAAGTGTATTGTGATGCATATCGGTCATACACATTAAATAATATTGAGCTACCTTTTGTCCAGACACAAAATGACTTGGGAGTCACCGTTAGCCATGATTTAAAGACTAATCCACACTGCCGTGCAATAGCTGCCAAACGTTATCGTCAATATGTAGGGCTTTTGTTCATGTTGACGGTAAAACGTTCTTGACTTTGTATACAGTGTTCGTTCGTCCTGAACCTGAATACTGCATACAAGCGACTAGCTATGATGATCAGAAGTATTTGAATTGTAGTATAAACTAGTAATCCCAGGAATAACGCA